TTTAGTCTAAGTTTTAGCGTTCGTCTGTCGCTAGTAGGTTACTAGATCTAGCGATTAGGAGAAGCTAGAGTTATAAAGGTCTTCTTTATAAATAGGAGCGTATAAGTAGCTCGTCGGACGTAGGCACTCGTCGTCGAGGTCTAGATTATAGTCGTATTTAACATTCTATTCCGCGCGTCCTAGCGTAGAGGCGGCGCTAATTAGGTTAAATGTTGTCGTCGTCGTCGTCGTTAGAATAGTCGTTTTATACGTAGGGGCGCGGTAGAGTAGGAGAGTAGTATGTCGAGCGTAGGTACTCGTCGTCGGAATGTAGATTACGGTAGTATTACGTCGTCTTATAGGTAGCTATTAACATTCTACTAGACGCGCCTAGGCGTAGAGGTAACGTTATTTATACTAAGCGAGAGTACCTATATTTGTAATTATACCGAGTAAGTCGAGTATAAGACGCTTCTAAGCTTACGTTACTAAGTCGCTTCTATGCTTGCTTACGTGCTATGCTATAAAGACTATATTTAATTACTCCTTATGCTCTAAGACCGGATTATAACATACCTTCTAACTAGAGCGCCGCCGACTTAGTTACCTTATAGAGCGCCTCCTCTAATTAAACTACCGCCGATCTAATTAGCTCGTAAAGCGCCTCTTCTAACTAGAGCGCCTCTTCTAATTATAACATGCCTTTTAATTAGGGCACCGCTAATCTACCCGCTACTTAGGGCACTACTAATCTAACCGCTGTCTAGAGCACCGCTAGTCTATCTACCGCTTAGGGCACCGTTATTCTACCTACCGACTAGAGCACCTCTTCTAATTATAGCATGCCTTCTAATTAGGGCACCGCTAATCTACCTACCGCTTAGAGCGCCGCTAATTTAACTACTCCGTATAGTGCCTCTTCTAACTAGAGCGCCCTAGATTCGAGTCATTCGACTACCGCTTAGAGCATCGCTAATGTTACTACTACTTAGAGCGCCTCGCTCTACTAAAGCGCTGCTTCTAGCCCTAATGACTAGTAAGACCTACGGTCATTTTTGCTTAATATAGACGGCCTAATAATCTAACTCTCTTTCTCCTTAGGCTATACTACCGACCCGGTTACGAACGCTATATAAATCCCTTACCCGAGCCTACTCCTATATTAGTTTTACCTCGAAGTATAGCGTATTAATGCTAACGCCGTCCTATAGCTATACCTATACCTATAGCTACGCTAACGTCTTAACTATTACCGACCCTAAACATGCCTATATTAGAATAACTTCATTCGCTCTATCCTATATTACCCCTTATTAAGCTCCCTCTAGAGCTTTATCCGTTCGTAATAGAACATAGATAAACGAAGACAACGAGGATAAGAAGGACGATAATGACGATTCTATGCCGGATTTAGAATAGACAACTCCCGCCGAAGACGATGCCCCTCTCTAATTAGTAAGGCTAGTTCCTATCCTCCTCTAGTTAGGCTAGATCTTCTACTAGTCTTAACAAAGCGGGTGCTTATAGATTAAGCTAAGGAGGTAGACTAAGTTATAGGTTACGATACGATTACTCTAGATAGACGAATGTATAATAGAGACGACCTTAAGTCTCCGAGCTTGCTCCTATAGGTTCTATATTTTAATGTTTTCTTTTACCTTTTGCCTAATCGTTTCCTCGTTTAAGTTAATTTATAGTAGAATGTAGCTATCGTCGATTATAATGATATAATTACTTATCTATGTCTAACTACTTGCTAAAATTCTAACTTTCTATTCTTTTACGAGATGGTCTTAGATTCTTAGTAGTGCAACTAATAACATCTTTAGCGTAGATCGGCATACTTAATCGAACTTTTTAGGATTTATAATAGGCATACGAGCGTCTTATACGTCTTAGAGATCCTATAACTCGGCAAAAAATAGTAGTAACTAGAGAGAGATAAGCGCGGGCTCGATGTTAAGGCCTTTAAGCTAAATTAAGTCTAGAGTGTCGCGATAGATAATACTCTAAGGAAAGAGCAGTAGGACAAGTATAGTAGATGGCCGTAACATTTAAAATGTTTAGAAGCTAAATCTTCGTATTAAACTTTATAACGAGTANCTCTAAGGAAAGAGCAGTAGGACAAGTATAGTAGATGGCCGTAACATTTAAAATGTTTAGAAGCTAAATCTTCGTATTAAACTTTATAACGAGTAGCTAGAGAGGATAGTCGTTTAGGATCTTAATGTCGACGCTATATATAGCACCGTAGTAGGGAGTATCGGGCGGGCTATAGAAGACGCACTTAAAATGTNTTAAGTTAANNAAAGTATCGGAGNCGGTTTAAGCCTTATCCNGNNGCTCGAGCGAGACGCCNNAGTNTAGATCTTTCTAGACGTCTTAAANATAGGCAACTTAAAGGGAAAGTCGTTTAAGATCCTAATCTTAAAGTTATAGGTAGTAGCGTAGTAGAGGGTATNNGACGGGCTCNNGAAGACACCTTTAAAATGTGTTAAGTTACTAAGAGTGCTAGATCNNGTTTAGAGCTAGCTTAGCGGCCNNGGTATNTAGTAAGGCATGCCTAGAAGTATNTAGCTATATACGACAAAATNAGANAGGGGGTCTTAGAANNATATCNATTTAGTAGCGAACGACGGCGTAATCTACGTTAATGTTGCCGATTTTAGAGTACTAGGGATAAAGTAGACNNACTCGAGCCGCGAGAGTAGGTAGGACGATAGTCGGAAGGGTAGAGCGGCCTTAGTAANAAGTAGAGNAGATAGAAGAATAGGTCTAAGGAGNAAGAGCGATCGAAGTANNAAGATGTTAGTTATAGACGCGNNGACGAGANGTAATAGCTAGCNNTAAGAGCGAANNAGGGCGAGGCCTTAAGCGCGTAGCGTAGCTATATAACTAGACNNANTAAGCTAATAGAGCTAGCGGTCGCGCTNNGCGGATTACTTAGAGGATATCTTNNGAGTAACTAGTTAGCTCTCGTAATNCTTAGGGTAGTCGGCACTACGAAGGTACTTAAGCGCGTTAAGTTATAGTAATAGAGCTCTAAAGGTTCGGTATACGAGGAGGATAGGTCTAGATAGGCATATAGCGCTTTATAGAAGTAGGAGTAAGCGGTCTTAGCTATAGTAATAGTAGTTCTATATATGTTCGATAATTATTTTGCGGAGCGCTAAGGTAGGTAGTTATGCCGTTCTTAGCTTAACGTCATAATTAGCGATGCCTACATGCTAGAGCGAAGCCTACTAGGTAGAGAATGCTAGTACGTATCTAGTTATAAGAACCTCTACGGACTAGTCCTCGAGATGATCTGCTTTTTAGATAAGAACTCTCTTAGAGCAGTCTCTAACACTGTCGTATAATCTAGAAGACGTAGTCTTATTATAACACGGCATATAACTCTATATATGAATATAGCGCGTCTATTCGACTAATATAGTATCTCCTTCTTTTAGCCTCGGGCGAGTAGTCTATAGATCCTACTCTTTACTTCATCTTAGAGACATATATCGAGATCCTAGCTCTACGGTCTACGGAAGGTATATAGAGCATACCTAGAAGCATATAATCGAGCTAAGCAATAGGGGGTCTTAGTCGAACAGTGCTCGATTAAGGCCGGATAGCGGCGAGATGTATAGCTAGTAGGCTATATTCCCTAGATAGCTATACGATGTAAATAATTAACTACGCTAACTTGTTCGCTAGTCATTTTAAATTGCGTTAGGCTAAATCCGTAGAGTAGGCTAATAAGTAAGCATCGGAAGCTCTATTTGGTCGACTGTCGAGTGTAGAGATTATGCTATAATTAGCTCCTATAACGTCCGTCTACTAATAGCTATACGCCGTAGATTTGTTAAGATCCTTTCGCTAACCTATAAACACTAACTAAGATGACTTTTAGACGTTAAAGCTACTAACAGATGCGTAACTTAATAATATAATCTATGTCTTCCCTTTTTAGACATTAACTAACCGTTACAAAACAAGACGACTAGTAGAGCACGATAAGTTAATTGCCCGAGATATTTAGTAGAAGACTAGGAAGACTAGGAAGACTAGCGGAGTAAGATAAGTTAATTACTCGAGATAGCTCGGAACACTAGTGTCGGATCTATTATAACGAAGCTCGCTATATAGTAGGTCTTTCTATTAGCTCGTAGAGCTATAAGTTAATTGCCCGAGATATTTTTATACTCGGTAAGTATACTACCCTTTTTTTTTTTCTTTTTTTAAAAGGAATGTCTTAGGAGTCTATATAGACGTACGTTCTAGTATAACTGCAGTTAGCAGTGTAACATACGAACAAGTCTAAACATGTACTATACTAAGCTTTAGCCTTAGCCTTACCCTTACCCTTAGCCTTAGCCTTAGTCTTAGTCTTAGTCTTAGTCTTAGTCTTCTTTTTCTTTTTCTTCTTCTCTTCCTCCTCCTCTTCTAGCTCCTCCTCCTTATCTCCCTCCTCCTTATCTTCCTCTTCTTTAGCCTTCTTCTTTCTCTTTATATATACTTTCTATATAAACGACGGGCTACGCGGTACGTCGGACTAGTCTATAGTCTAGGTAGGAGGGGCGGCAACGCGCGTAGGCGGCGAACGAGGCTATACTATAGCCTCGGCGGGTAGGGGGGCCTCTTACTAGCTGTCGTTAAAGTCGTCGGGCGGCGTAGGTATAGGCTTAGCCTCCTACGCACCCGCTAGAGGCTTTCTACTATTAAGATAGTACTTTTCTTCTATAAACCATTCCTATTAGTAAGTGTTCCTAAATGACTCGATGTAGACTAGATTTAGTTAAATAGTGTCTAGTCGAAGGCTTTATCTAGAAATAACTTACTTCCGAAGGAGAACGTTTTAGCATAAGCGTAACTAACGACCTGTTAGTCTATATCTAAACCGCGACATCTCTAAGGCTTCATACGACATCGTAGATTTTAGTATAGGAAAAACGAAGTTTAGGCTATAAGCTTTAAGCTATACTCCGCTCCTACGTTCCTTCTACTTTTTAGCAACTTATACTTTCCCCCTCTACACTTACTATTTAAGCAACTTCGACAGCCTCGACACCTACGACGTTACTACTTGTGCTAGCCGATGCACTACTAAGAATGGTTGTGTTTCTATTAACATTTACTTCGAGCGTGACCCTTCCGGTAAGCTTTTTTTTTTTAAACCTTTATTTATCTTTCTTTCCACTTTGAAAAATCTAGCTAACATAACCTTCAAGTTGATCCTAACGATGCTTCGTGCTCCAACCCTGCCTCGGTGACGATGATCAAATGCGTGTATTGGGGAGGTCCAGTTTCACAGGATAACGCTGTCAACACTGGTCAGACTCGTGGTAGCTTCAGCGTCGTAATTGCCGGATCCAATGGCTATGTCACCAACCAGATCAAGACTCCTGCTGGATACCAGGCTGGTACTCCCTATGGCAAATACGCCATCAACGCTCCCTATGATGCTCAGGGCTACAACACTTTCATGGGATCCAAGATCTTCACCTCGACCTGGGACGTAGCTTCTTGCTCTGCCTACTGCGATTCTCAGACTGCATACAACAAGGCTACAGCTCCCAAGGACGGTACTCCTTACAAGGTTTGCAACTTCTTCAACACCTATGTCTTGACAGCATACAAGGCCGATGGTACTGTCGTCCCCCAGGGCCAATACTGCGCTTTATACACTGAGGCATGGACAAGCACGTACGCTACCAACGCTGGGCAGTGGAGAGGACAGGACCAGTACCTGGTCAACTACAGCTTCGGTTACCCCAAGTCCAGCCCCGGTGTCAGTCCTACTGTCGGAGATGTCAAGGGTGCTGTTTACCAGGCTCGTCAAGATATGACCTACTCTCCCGCTTCTTTGACTTCGGTCTTCCAGCCTTTCTGCTCCAGCGTTCTTGGATACACCACACCCGTCATCACTGCTACCCAGACTACTACTGTCACCCCTCTGGTCACCTCGACCACAATCTCGACCGCGGTTGTGACCAACATCGTCCAAGCAAAGCGTGATGTCAGTGATGGCCTGGTTCTCACGACCTCCGGCAGTCTTGTTGTGAAGGCGCCTCTTGCAACATCGCTTGCCGCTCGTGCAGTTGCAGCGTCTTCCACGCCTGCAGTACTTTCCAAGTGAGTCAGCACAAAAGAAATAAGACCTGAACATCACAACTGACATGTTTAGATACCCCACATCTGTCGTCTCATCTGCCTGCAGCCTGATCGCCACCCCGGTCACCTCCACCAGCACTTCAACCGTGACCGCAACGGCCACTGCTGCCACTAGTACTATTGTCCAGAGCAGCACTTTTACCATATCGACTACCACAACCGCGGCTAGAGCTCTTCCAACATGTGTTACTGGTTCCATATCGGCTGCCGACAGCGTATACTCATCCTCGCTTAGTCTGAGATGCGACACATCCACCGCGTCGGGCTTTGTGGTCGAATCTTCTCACACTGGCGGTACCGCCCTGGATTGTCTCAGGGGTGCTGATGCCGATCCTTCTGCCCTTGCGATGACTTTTGATCTGGCAACCAACCTTTGCACCTTCTATGTTCTGGGCCGTTCTTCGCCCGCCTATACCCAATCTCAGGCTGGTATCGTCTTTGGATATTATGATCTTCTTGTGTCTTGGGGTGAACTTACCCTTAACTAATAGAGAAGTTAATCAGCTTCTGATCTAGCTCAGATCATATCGTTCGAAACCAATCGGCCGGAGTTTGTGGGATATGTTTAGGAGGGGAAAACGTTTAGGAAGTCGGGGCTTGCTTCTAGAATCTGGTTTTGATGTCTTCTTTTGTCACTTATTTCTTGTTCATTTGTACTTTGTTTTCCTTAAGATTTTGTGCATGCGGAAACGACACTTTTCTCTCTGTCTCTATTGTGCTGTCATTTGTTCTATCTCCTGTCGTTTCTCCTTGGGATACTGTGGTATCAAAAAACATCATTCCTCACCATCGCGGTATCGCTCTATACACGATTACAACAGTCTTTCGTCTTTCACCCGAATCGATGGTTACCTGCCAGGATGCCATTGAGCAATTGCATCAATAAGGGCATGGATTATGCCTGCTTAGTCTTGTGACCACGAGGCTGGAAAATTGCGGTCCAGCATATCCGGCTCGATTGAGGCAGTGCCATTTGGTCATCCCAACCAATCAAATATCTCCCGAAACCAGATGACGACCACAAATGATGACAATCTACCTGGCCATGCTTGGAATTGCTTACGCGTGTATACAGCCTGCCTCTTCCGCTCAATACGAGAATACGGAGTGGTGGAACGTCGATCACGTATCTCACGTATCCCAGCCTCCGTACGCGTACGGATGGAGAATATGCAGTGACCACTTGCAATCAACCAGGCAGCGAAGATCTTTGGAAAATAGAGCATATAAGAAGAGCAAATCTCGCTGTGGAAAATGGTTATCAACAAACACTTAACTCATTTGATTTATTTGTTTACTTTCGATTTACTCAAGATGAAATTCACCATCGCCGCCACAACCTTGAGTGTCGCTTTGGCTTCCGCATTTCCTCAGAAAAATGCTCAAGTAGCTATGCCGGATGATATTCATGCCTGGCATCCTGCTGGCGTCAATGACCGTATGTCACCGCGTCTTCCTCGATGCAGATTTTGAATCATACTCACACTTTCACAGTCAGAGGTCCTTGCCCAATGATGAACACTCTCGCCAACCACGGCTTCATCCCCCGTAACGGCGGCAACATCACAAAACAGAACGCTATAAGAGGTCTGGCTGATGGTCTGAACTTCGACGCCGCACTGGCTTCTTTGATGTGGGATCAAGCCATCATCGCCAACCCCGAGCCGAACGCAACATTCTTTACACTGTGCGCTACACCGCTCTCATCTCTCAAAACCAGAGGATGAGGAAAATGCTAATGAAGATGATAGTGAGCATCTGAACCAACACAACGTACTCGAACACGACGCAAGTCTCTCCCGCATGGACGCCTACTACGGTAACAACCACGTTTTCAACCCCGAAGCTTTCGCAACCAGCACGAGATACTGGACAGACGAAACGCTTACCGCAAACATGCTGGCAAACAGCAAATTAGCACGCATGATTGAATCCAGAGCTTTCAATCCCAACTACACATTCACTGCCAACAATGAGCAATTCAGTTTGGGCGAAGTTGCTGCTCCATTTATCGCTTTTGGAAATACGACTAGTGTGACGGTGCCCAGAGATTTGGTCTTGTATTTTTTCGGTAAGTGGTGAGAGTGAGATGGTGGAGAGATTTTTGGCTGACTTGGTGACAGAACATGAGAGATTGCCTCATGAGTTGGGTTGGAGCAAGAAGAATGAGACGATGACGCTGAAGGATATTTTGAATGTCGTGTCGTCTATTCGGAACGCTACGAGTCTGTTGACTCCAGAGTCGGCTTCGAATCAGACTGCAGATGGTGAATCTCATGGCATTCCCGAGGGAGTACAAGTCGCTCGCCGTAGTCTGCATTTGCCTGTGGGTGTTTGAGGTGGCAGAGATGTCATGAGCAGTCGCATTCGTGAGGACGCGATTGTCGAACGAGATTGTCAAGATTAGATAGCAAGTAGGAATATCGAAACAACATCAATTATTTAGAAGCCTAGAAGCCCTTCGTTGTTGAAAAGGTCCAGCCAATAGTCCCAAGCTTGAACATCATTTCCGAGTTCGCCCAAGTGCTCCTCAGATTGTTGACCAGTGAATGATGAGTCATTCGGCAGATTAGTCTGTATAGACTGCTGTAGCATAGTATTGGAGACCACTGGTTGGCTGTAGCCACTCGAGTGGTGCTGTTGAGACTGTAAAAACAGTATGAAGCTTGGCGGCAGAGCTTCTGAACTCGACGACATGCGATTCCAAGCTTTGAGGGCTAGACTTTTGAGATTCTGATGATAGTCCTTGTAATATCCACTGGCCTTGTTTGTAAGTAACTCTGGGTTGAATGAGTATGCCAGTGATACTTGATGCCAGGCTTCTGCTGCGATTTCTTCGCCCAACGAATCGAATGCTAGAGCATGCAGTACAGGGAACAATGCCTCGAAGCAATAGAAGAGCTTGGTATGCCACCTATAGCGGTCCAAGACTGGACTGGCGCAGCTCGAATGCTGTGTCTGTAGAAGTAGCAGTGCTGTGTCAAAGTGTTGACCCTTCGAGATTGCCGAAACATTGTCCTGTGAATCAGGTGGTGGATGACAGTGACGGAGAGAAAGCCGGTACCCAGTTGTTTTGATGAGACATCTCGAAACACGTTGGAGCGGAACAGATCCATCGCAGTATCTAGCGTACTTGTCTTCAAGTTGACCTTGCAGACGCTGGATTGCTACCGCCTTACTCTCTTGGCTGTTGGAGTTCTGACTTAGCTCTCGGACGAAGACACCAACCTCGTATCTGATAGAGCAGAATAACATATCCGTGACACCTTGTCTCTCGAGTGGCAAGATCGTCATGTCCGGGTGCAGATCTGAATCATTGAGGTTGTGTGGACGGTTCGTGTCGAACAATAGAGTGAGAGCCGGGTCGGTGTCGTCTATGCCTTCGCATAGATTGGTGTAATGTCGATTTAGGAGGAAGATCTGCCACCAAAGCCGACGACTAATCTCCGCTGTGAAGACAGTCATGCGTTGTAAAATCTTTTCTCGATGTATGCCCAAGCGATGGGCTAATCGAACAGCAACTCCAATCACAAGCCAAAGTTTGTCCGGAGAGCTATGCTGTCGAGCCGCTATCTGTGTTTCACCCCGTTAGCAGTGATAAACATTAATCGTCAGTCGACACTTACTAGGTACAACACAAGGGCCTGCAATACGTGCATATTTGCACCCTCCATAACGTCGGCATCGAGCAGGCAGGATTTGGTCATGGCGAAGAATTTCTCTAACAAGCATTCTCTGGTTTCCACCATAGTTCTGAGGCATTCTTCATCGTTCATGGATTCCACGGCTGTGAGGAAGACGGACGACAGTATTGCTCGTGATTGTTTCGACAACTCGCCATACTTGCGATGAGTTGCTTCAAGTACCAAATGTTGGGTGGTCGGTATGTGAAGCAAATTCGTCATTGGATTGACATTATCGATAAAGGTCTGCCACAATTGAAATATCTGTACAGGCTGAGGCCAGTCATGCATCGATGAGCATGTAGATGGTTGGTCAAACAAAACAGATTCAACATGAAATGGTTCACTATGTCTTGAACATCCCATGAGTAAAACTCACCTCAAAAGATCTAGTGACTTACCTTGCCACGGCTCCTAGATCGTGTTGTGGAACGACATCGATATTGCTTTGAGGCGGAGAGACGAGGCTCTCATTTCTCGGTGTGAAGTGTAAGGGCGATTGAGCACTAGAAAAGCCTATACTGGCCCGAAGGCTTGTACTCGTTGATCTGGGACCGCGCTTTCGTTGTCGCGTGCTGAGAGGGGTCTTGTTGTTACGCTCACAATTCGCATCGACCTTCAAGCATGCCGCACACGGATTCTGGCCATCGCACTTGATCTTGCGGCGCTGACACCTAGTACAGCTGTGGTTACGAGTAATGACTGAGCTCATGACAAGGCGACGGCCTGCATTATTCGATGTGCAATAGCGTAAGTCTCACAAGAATTCGAAGTGGGACGAGCGAGGGAGGACACGGAGAAGGAAGGAAAGGACGGCGGCCAGCGAAGGACGAGGGACGGGACCGACGGGGCCGACGGAACCGCTCGATCTCCGTCTTGGCGCTCCGCCATCGTGGCCTGATGAGCGTCACGAACGTTGAGATCTTCATGTCTGCCCGCATCAAACCAATGACCTTGCATTAAATAGGTCCACCTTCGTGTCGACAGGGTAATGGGGAGCGACGGACATCCATGATGATGAGCACACTGGTATTTGAGGACACTACTTGAGTATGTGCATCTCAGGAGTCGCGACGTTGCGCCACCTTGCCGAACGTGTCCGAGTTCGAAAAAGAAAAGTCCACTGGACGACAAAGACAATAATGACTGATAACCATGAACAATTCCCGAAACGGTCAAGAAGCGATCACCTGCACGACTTTGCACCACGTCGCTCGCTGCTCCAGTCGTTCACACCAGACTGCGACATTCTTTCGAGACAAGATTTCGTCTTCGATCCCAAGGCGGGGAAGAAAGTGAAGCCATGGGAGATGGAACAAGTCAACCAGTGATACTTTCTGTAGGATGATTTGCATCAGCACTGTCTTCGGAAGTCGCGCGAGATTGACTTACACTTCCGGTCAAATATCGCTGGCTCGCAAGAACTTGATCATAGTAGTCGAGCACTTCTTTGAGATCATTTTCCGACTTTCTCATTTCGGCGGTATCTGCTTCACCAAGACCAAAGAATCTTTGGAACAGTTTGGTCAGCAAAGTCATTGCTGAAACCCCTCATTCCAACACTCACTGCTTGAACATCTTCTCGTATGCAATCTTGAAGATGCTGGTATCGAAGTATGAGCTCTCAACAGAAGCCACCTGCTCGAAACTTGCAATATCTTCTAACTTCGTGGGAGGTAGCATCACCGAGTCTGGAGATGCATACTTGGCAACCAGGTATCTGCATATGGCTCTTGATTCAAAGATATGCAATGATCCATCCTCGAAGGCGGGAAGCTTTCCGAAAGGATGGACATCTCGGATGAAGTCTGATGTCTACAGCATATTCAGCATCGCTCGAGGAATCAGACTTTTGCTTTTCATACCTTGTGCTCTCCTCTCTTCATATCGATACTGATCAAAACTCATAGGAGAGATCGAGCTCATTCAACACGAGCATCACCCTCTGTGTACAAGTTGACAGCTTGGAACCATAGAGTCGCATAGCCATTGTTCCGTTCGCGCACTGTCGTCATCTTTGTGGAGACTCATGGGAACAAGGATTGCTCTTTATATCATTCGACGGAAGTTGTGATGGGTTCTCGGTTCCATCATCTAGAACTCGGTCCCGTCATGAAGAAGCGGGTGATACATATCTGATCGGTCCCGCCTGTTCCATGTCCGCATGCAATCTCCTTCCGCTATGCAGGAGTCGTTGGTGGAGCTTTTGATATGATTGCTCCTTGACTGTCTTGAATATAGGGAGGTGCTACCACATGTCGCGTCCATGAATCATGGCCCTCTATGGTTCGGCTTGTCGCGGCTTTCGTCGCTCTCTCAAGAAGAGTCAAGCTTAGCAAAACTCCTCTTACCTCTTTTGCTGTACAGCAGGAATATTTCATTCCAATTCCGAGGCGTTCCGACTGTTGTACTCAGCTCAACCTTGCCATGAGCGCATCCAAGGCGAGCTCGAGATTTCATACGACTCTATCCATGACGAAACAGATAACTTTGACGGAGTCGCCGTCGTATGGAAGTCTCGGAAGGCCATGTCTGTTGATGCGAAATTATCCTTCTTGCTGTCAACTCCGGCCGACGAAATACGAACTATCCTTAGTCCACATCGTAAAGCGATATCATAAAACTTGGAGTGAGGGCAAGCAAAACAGAAGCGAGAGGGGAACGGTCTGATGTCATGGCCAAGAATAACACAGTTTGCATTTAACCGCGGCCAAGACCCTGAGATTTTCTATTTTTGACAACCGTTCGAACGCCTCTTGCGGCTCCAAGACATTTCAAGCTTCCAGACTACACCTCAAAAAAGATCACAAGGTCGATTTGCCGCAACGTTCTGGGCGCCGTCGATTGTTACGAGAAGATCGTCTTAGGGTAACCCACAAACGTGGGGTCGATCTTTGTAGTACGAGAATTTGGCTTGAGTGTAGCATCGTAAAGCCTTAGACATTGTAACGTTGAACAAGCAAGACCTCTGGGCCTCTGTCATGCAGCCAAAACCCACACTTCGAAGGCAAGACCATCTAGATATATAACAGACCAGGAATCCTTCCCCTCAGCATTCTTTTTTCATCATCAACTCACATCTTCTCATCTCATCTACCACAACAATCCAACACAACACCACTCCTGCTTCTACTTTACATCAATCAATCAACCAACCAACAACATATCAAAGATCAAGCCCAGCATCATCAACATGCTCTCCAACACCCTCATCTCCATCTTGGCTTTGACCTCCGCCGTCTCCGCCTCTCCCGCACTTCGCCGCCAGGCCGACCCTTGCCAGGATGCTTACAAGTCCTGCATCGCTGCCGGTACACCTGAGGTCGCTTGCTCATGCACATTGACCGCCTGTGTTGGCGAGGACAACGCTCGCAACCGCGAGTACTGTGCCAGCGCAACCGCCAACCTTCCCAAGTCATCTGCTAAGGCTTCCACCACCGCTAAGCCTGCCGTCTGCCCCACAGCTCTCTTCGACGGATGCAACCCCGCCAGAAGCGCATGCCCTGACGGCCCCGGTACTTTCACAACTGTCAGCCCCTCCACATACCCCACCAGCTATGTCATCAACGGCCAGACTGTTTCCTTGACTGCCGCTCCCACTTCTTGCTTGCCCACTGGAGCTTCCAGTGCCGCTTCCAGCGCCGCTCCCAGCGCATCTGCCAGTGCCAGCGGCTGTGTCGCCAAGTACAACACTTGCCGCACTACTCGCGTCAACGGTCTTTCCGCCAACCAGGCTCAGTGCGCTTCTGACAACGCTGCTTGCCAGGGTGATTGTTACGCCAAGTACAACACCTGCAGAACCACCCGTGTCAACGGCCTTTCTGCCAACCAGGCCCAGTGTGCTTCCGAGTACGCTGGATGTCTTGGTGAAAACCCTATCGCATCGACTGGTGGCCTGATCTCGAGCTTCATTCCTTACTCCGCAACCGTCAGCTCCAGCGCTGCTCCCACCACAATGGTTTCCTCCAAGGCCACCACCACCGCCGCAGCCCCCAAGGCCTCCGGCACCAACGCAGCCGCTCCCGGATCAAACCCCAAGAAGGTCGACGGCAAGACCTGGTCCCTCAACAACGTAAACCGCTACTGCGGTGACGGCAACACCGGCTGCGACTACAACTTCGACATCATCGCCAACGGCAAGACCGAGCACTGCACCGTCATCCGCATGCCCGGCAGCAACGCCGCCACCGAGTCCTTCTCCAACCAGCCCTGCGGTGACTTCTCCGTTTCTTGGGGATACGTCAAGGACCCTGCTCCCGCTTACGCTGTCCTCACTGTTGTCGACAAGGCTGGCGAGCTCGCTTGGTTCGGTGTCAGCAACATCAACGGTCAGGCTGTTACTCCTTCCAACCCCTTCGGCTCTGGCCAGTACGGCAACGTCGGCCCCGAGCAGGTTTACACCTACAACTAAGCTACTCTTTTCTTGAAGAGTTGAACTTTTGAATGAAGAAGTTTTGTATACATTTAGAACATGATTGGGGATTTTGGGTATTTTTCGGGGTTTGATATTGTTATTTTAGCCACACTTTCGTTAATGTTGAATGACCTCTTTTTCACTTTGATCTTTTTTGACTTGTCTCCCCCTTTTGTCACGGTGCTTTCTGATTTCGCTTCCGCTTCTTTCGAGCCGCCTTCTAATTTTCTGCAGCTTTCTTCCTGCATCTTCTACAGAATGATCTCCATTCTTGGATTTGAGGCCAATATGCGAAAGCTCAATGTCAAGAACCCTACCCTTGTCCTTCCATTTCCTCTCCATTGCCCCTAGAACTGCCCACCGAGGAGTTTGAATCATCATCAGACACCTCGATCGCTTCGCAGTCGACATGGGAGAATGTTGTTGGTCTTCTTTCTGACGTGAAGAGGCGACTGTAGTGCCATGGAAGTTTACAGGCTTGTTTTGGGATGAGCGATTGGGCTTATCAGAGTCTCTGGTTGTTCGAGTTTGTGCTGGCAAGCATTGGAGATCTAGATATGAAACTCGGATCTATTGGGGCTCTTGATATGAAACTCGGATCTATTGGGGCTCTTGAAAGATGGATAAAGTGGTCCAGATCAGGGCTACAGATGTATTGGGAAGGGACAGGAGATGATGGAAGTTCTTTCTTGTATCTCCAGTTGTGATTGGTAAAGATGAGCAACGCAAGAGCTCAAGTGAGTTGACAAAGAGAGGTTTCTCTTTACGCGTCCTGCGCGATTTTAATAGACAAAGAGAGAATGGACAAAGGGAAAAAGAACGAAGCACAAACAATCTCCAGACCGAAAACCACCGCCTCGTCATATCTTCGTACACAATGAATACCGTCAACGCCATTCAAGTGGTGTGTGAAAGTTCTCTTGCATCACTATAGGTCATCCAGAACAGCATCAGGCTCCAGGCCCGATCACTCAAACTTCTCCTTCCTGATAAATAACATTAGCATCACACCACAACATAAAATACAAGCAAATACTCACAAGGTATCAAATTCATCAGCATACCCCTGCATCTCATCCACCCCACCTCTCAATCCATGGATAAACGTTCTCAATGCTCGCGTACTAGCTGGATCATAAGCACCAGGGTCATACGTCTCCCTCTCCCACGTCTCAAAGCTTTCGACAAACGTGCGTTGGCGATTGAGCATTTGGTTAGCGACGCTGGAGAATTTTTCTGCGGCGTTTCCGGAACGAGGTGGGTTTGTGGCGGCATTTTCAGGATGAGTTGGGTGCGTGGCGTTGATTGCGTTGACGAATAGGGCGATGTTGACCATGGCTGTTTGGTCTGGAGTTGACTTGGCATTGGACTTTTCTTGTGCTTCATGGGCTGTTTCTGCCTTTTTGCGAGTATTTTCGGCTGTGGCGGCGGGTTGTTTCTCGGCTTTGCGAACTTCAATGGTCTCGTTGTGGGCTCTGAGGGTGTCTTTGTGGGCTTTGGTGACTTCCTTGCCAGCTGTGACGGCCTCGTCACTGGGGTGAGGAGATGGTGTTGGAGATGGCTCGGAGTAACAGTCGTCTGCGGTGGGAGTTGCTGGCGTGTGAGTCTGGTCGGAGAATCTAGGAGTCTCATTCGGAGTCACCTCATCTTCGGGGACGGACAATAGTGATCCAGTGTCGAAGTGGAGGCGGTGAGTAGAGCGAGCTGGAGAGGGCGAGCGAGTAGCTTTGCGCTTCAAGCTGGAGTGAGGAACGTCAAGGGACTTGATCCAACCGGCAGTACGACCTGCGCTCGTTACGGCCATTTCATCCTCAAAGGTCTTGAGAGACTTCTGATAATCATCAGGATCGTTATCTGCGTCGCTGACAGCCTTGGTGCTTGCTTGGTCAACCTCGTCTTCGACAATCGACTCTGCATCTTCTTCTTCTTCTTCTTCTTCTTCTTCGTCTTCGTCTTCGATGATGACTGGCGCTCCAGCAGATTCTTCAGTTGCAAGACTCAACAAAAGCTCTCTGATATCAGTGTAGCCACTGGTGAAAGATTTGGATTCACTTGTTTCAGGTTCACTTCTCCTCGTTGCTCTCACTGGCCTAGCCAGGTTGACAGCCTTACCAGGCTTGCTCGTGCCAGCGCTTGCGATCTTTTTGTGAGATTGGGAGGTCATGGTGAGACGCTACTTGTTATTGCATCAGCATGACTCGTTCGCATAGGTGGAGAAGAACCTCATGAGGTGTTGGGAGCGCCATGCGCTTCATAAAACGCGCGATCGAGACCTTGGAGATGTCGTTGTGGGCATTCTTACCTTTTCCGTCTCTGTCGGATCACAGCAAGCGAGTTGGCCGTGATTGACAAAGGATCGTTGAGTTGGATTTCTGCGCGCAGGTTGTGTTGAGAAGAAGTGTGAGTGAACAATAGGCGCGAAGGAAACACAGATGTAAACAAGCCACGAGGGTGTCCGGCACCGCTCGACGAGAGAGCTTGGACCAAGCGACGGCGAGGGTGACGGCAAGGGTCCGCATATCCTTTCTTGTTTTTCCTCGTGATCATAAGGTATATACAGGAGAGTCAAGTGGAAAACTGTGCTTGACTTGGCTCTCAATGGTTCCATCTCCAGTCACTTCTAAATAACATCGTTCCGTCTCTCCAATGGGCAATCTCAAGTATCGATCATCTCTGCAGGTCTTTTACCTCCTTCCCCTTATCATGGCAGTCGTCCTCTCGCGTTGAATGACCAGCTCTCTCTCCTTTCTACTTCTTCCTCCCTGGCCTGACATGTGATGATTGCACATCTCCTCCTCTTGCAAGCCTTCAATTGTCTCTTGCTGCCGATCAAACTCCGGCTCATTCATTCCCTGTCATACCTTGTGGTAGTTGCGTTGAGTGGTTGTTGTTGACCCGTCTAGAGCTTCAAGTTGTGGTGTGCTGCTCTTTCGCGCTGTGATTCTGGTTGATAGGGCGAACACTCTTCTGACGGACTCTATGGTCGACACCCAGGGCACGATCGTCTGCCTGCTTGTGCTTGAAGGAAGGCAGAGGTTGGGACTTCTCCTGTTTCTGGGAACTTTTGGGGCCGTTGGTGGTGGCGAAAGTCTGGATTTGAGCGTTCTGAGGTGGGGTAGGGCGAGATTGGAGGGACTCCCTGGCAGAGACGCTGCTGAGATATCTCTCTCTGCTCATGTCGATGAGGCTGTAGATCAATCCGGGATCGGTACCGAGGCAGGAGTTATTGATGATGGCCTGAGCCCACCGGCTCGTCCGACTGCTGTCTTTCTGCTGCTTGACCATCTCCTTCTGATCCTCTGCATCAGAATCCCAGGAACTCTCTGAGCCAGTATCATCGGTGACCTGGTTGTGGTCTTTGGCGTTGGCTGTCATATTCTGGGCCGAGGTGTTGTTGAGTTTGGGGGTGATGTTGACGGTGTTCCTAGACACTTGCTCTGTGTCTGCGCGTTCGGCGAGAGCCATGAAATATTCTTCTATACTGGGCAAGGGGCTTTGTCGACGAGGAAAGAGTGGAGGGATAGACCGTGTTCTTTTACGCGTAGCGTGAGGGATGGAGAAGGGTGTATGATCTTTTGTTGACATATGCGCACTTGATATGGCAGAGGATTGAAGGTGTATGCGCGTAAGAAGATAGAGCGAACAGGAAGCAAGTGTGAGACAATATCGAGAAGTCGTGCGAGGAAAGGAAAAATTTCCTCTCGAACACAAGTGAACGCGAAGAATTCCTGCGCACGGTAGAAACGAGCTAGCAAATAATGGACGAGGAACGTCAAGGGATTGCGAATCCTCATCTGGCATCCTGGCAGAGGTTTCGCTGTGTATATATCGTCCTGTACCAGAAGCAGAAAGCTTTACGTTCAAACGTTCTGGAGTCGCATAGGTGCCTACCCCTGAATAGTTCAGCTAAATTCCAAGCTGCAATCAAGCCTCTATTTACAGCCCTTCCTCGTCATAATATTTGTCTCTCTGCGCCGTTTGTTCCCTGACTGCCCTCGGACTTCTCCTTGTTGAAATTGTTTGATGTTTGCATGTCATCTCTGGACTCGATGCTCCATCTCATGCGTCTCTGTTTCATACAATTCTTGGAGGACTCTGAACTCAATCAAAAACCCTTCCCATACTGAACAACTATTGTTGCAGTGTTGCTTGCCTCTTTCCACCACCTTGCGTTTGAGTGAGCCCTTGGAGACTGTTCACTCTTAAATATACAATCAGTCACTTATGTTCATCCATTATGGATACAACCTCAGATTTACATCAGCAGAATCCACAATTGGTGCTTTGATCTTCCTGCTTGGGTACGTTGGTGAGAGAGCCGGGTTTGTCTGAGCCGGTCTCCTTCTTGACGGCTACGGTGCCATGATCAGATTGAAACAAGCGGACGTGGTTGTCATCTTCATCCAGTGACTCGCGATAATGCTGATTTCTCCGCTGTGGTGGTCGCTGGGGCTTTCAACATCCATGTGAGCGTGGCCGTGTGGAGTGATGACACTGACCTGATGCACGATGGCTGAGTGTTCGTCCAGGTGGGCAACGTCGGATGACTCGCCAGAAAAAGAGTCGTTAACCTCATCGACCTTGTTCTCGACGCATCCCGGCCACTTGCGATACTCGTTGTAGTAGCACCTTCCGATGGTGTACTTGTTGAATGCTTTGAGATACTGGCGCTTGGCTTTGTCTTATGGCTCCATGAAGTTGGACGTGAAGTGGGTTGTAAGCATTTGCTATTGCGCTATTTTGCAGGAGATCTCGGACTGTCGGATGAGGGTGGGCGCAGGAAAGAGACCATGGTGGCTCTTGAGAGGACTTTCCGAAATAGGAAGGCGTGGATAGGCGAGAAATTGCGTTTGTGACGTTTCGTCCGCTATGTTTATAACCTCGAGAGGCAACATATCCTGCGATGTATACGGCAATATCTGCGTTGTCGTGATTGATCTCATAATCGTTATTGGCTCCTATAGAGCGCTTGATGTGGCTGCTATTCTCCTGAGGGTTGTCCTGGTAGCCCCTCATAGCTTGCTAGGAATATAAAAAGTTGTTCTGGAGGTGAAAAACGAAAGGTGACTTTGCTATCGAGACCGAGTGTTTCGCGAGCAAACAAGTGAAAGTGCCATACTCGACAGGCTTGATCACCTGCGAACACGATAATTGGAATAACGCAAACACATTCACCCAGAAATAGTGAATGTCAGATATCTCTCTAGCACCTTACCCTATCTTCCTCTCCACAGACCGAACCTACCAACTCATCAAGCCGATGAGGAAAGAACATCTATTGCGCGTGCGCTTCGTGCCGCTAGCAATAATATCTTGTCGGTGATCCCGATCTGTAGTCGTTGTTCGAGTGCGTCAGTCAATGATAGGGAAGCATTAGTAAGTGGATGGAAAAAAATCTTGTAAAAGGTGTATGGACAATAACAGTGAACCGTTACCCATTAAGCAAAGGAAGAATCCAGCCAGGTTTAGGCTTATGCCAAAAGCTACCATGTTCTCATACTTAGTAGCAGCTTGCACAGGATTTATTGTTTCCGCTTTCCAGCCGCAGTAGTTCCGCTCCGCAACCAGATTACCATCAGCGCCCAATCCTCACTCAATTGTTGTTTTAAATGTAGATGCCCTAGTAAGCAGTAGGCCAGCCATTATCGTAACGAATAAGGTTGATGCCAAGTTGGGCGGTACCAGCAGCGTTGTAATAGTGATAGACAAGCACGTCGGCGTCATTATCAGTGAAGACTGCAGGGTGTCCAGGGCCATGGATGTTGCCGTGGCTAGCGAGAATCTGGGTACCGCCGCCTTCCATCATAGACTTGCCCGACTTGTCCACGTGAGGACCGGTGATCTTGGAAGAGCGGCCGACCATAGTGCGGTAAGTGCTTGCAGTGCCCTTGCAGCAGCTGTCGAAGGCGGCCCAGAGGTAGAAGTAGTTGCCGTGCTTGGTGATGAAGGGCGCTTCGATGGCCCCTCCATTGTTGGGACGAGCGGCGATCGAGGCGATGCTTTTCTGGTTGATGGGTTTGCCGGTTGAAGGGCTCAGCTCGATCAGCTTCAGACCACCCCAGAAAGAGCCGAAGGAGAGCCACCATTTGCCGTCGGAGGCCACGTAGAGGTTGGGATCGATGGCATTGTAGTTGCTGTTGTCGAACGACTCAACGACGAGGCCGTAGTTGGTCCACGAGCCGGAGGCACCAGTCTTGCTCACTGCGAGGAAGATACCGGATCGGGACGTTCCAAAGCTAGAAGCAGAGTAATACATGTAGTATTGACCGTTGTGGTAGGACAAATCAGGGGCCCACAGATTTTTGTCGCCCTTAGTGTAGGTAGTCGTCCAAGAAGCGCCGTTGGGGAACGCAGCGCCCACATCCTTCCAGGTTGTGCGATCGATAGATGTCTTCAAGCCAACGCCGTTGGCTGTGAAGGCAGCAAGATATGTGCCATCGGGTTTCTTGACTACCGTGGGGTCGTGGATGAAGGTATCTCCCTTGACTGGGCCAGGGTTGACATCTCTTTTATGGATATGGGACGACAGTGCGCCTATGGCAAGAATACTGCCTGTGAGGAGGGTGCGCAGGGATACCATGTTGAAGTTGTTCGGTGGATGCCGATGGAGAATGTCGCTAGAATGAAGCAAGATGCTACGGCGTAACCATCTCTTTTTGTACTCGTGTTACTAGATGTTTGAGCGACTGGCTTTGAAATTATTTCGACGCAGGACTGTCGTCTTAGGACCATGGCAAGCGAACAATTAATCCTGGATGTAAGCTCTTGTTTCAAACATATGTATCGCCTGCAACATGAGGAGAAATCTAAAGTGCCGGTCAACTCCATTTGTAGGGCTCCAACAGACTATTAGGCTACCTGCATTGAAACCGGACTCTCCAAATTAGCAACGGGCCGCGGGACACTGCTTATTGATCCTCCAATATACAGAATTCACAATTGTTCGTGCAGACTTTGAGCCGAGTCAGAGGAGGTGCGACTTGTCGCAGGCGAGGCACTGTGGGAATGAATCCAGCCGCAGACGGCAGGATTAGCTTGCCAAGACACTATATCCAGAGGCCTGGCCTATCAAACCGCGCGCCACAATGTGTCTTGGAAGTCGATAGCTCTATCCCTGTCGCAGGCCTCATTATCAGGTTCTCACTCTTGTGAGCAGAGGATCTAGCCGAACCAAGCTTAGAGTCTGGTTTCGGCATACTTCTCTGGTCGTGAGGCTCCAGTTGTGGTCGAGGACCAGTCAAGACTTCGACGTCATTTGAAGTGCTTTGAACTTCATAATTACGATAAATCCACTGTCTTCAAGCTTCGGAACGCTGTAACACATTCACGACCTTGTATTTGTGCTCGGTCTTCTGAGCGAAAAGCCCGTACTGCTCTTTGGAACGTGAACGTGGACAAACGTCTCTCCAGCACCTTACCTTGTCTTCCTCTTCACACACCGAACCCACCAAATCATCGAGCCGACGAGGAAAGAGCGACCATTGCGCGTGCGCTTTGTGCCGCCGTGACCATTGCGCTAACATCGACTGCGAGACGCAGGGAGGGAGGAAAGGAAATTCAATACGTCGGTGAAACACACGCCAATTTTTAGTCATCGATGCATCGTCTGGGCTCGTAAGACGAGAGCGATAACTTACTTCCGTGTAGAAGTCTTGAAGGGTTGCGAATGTGGGATAAGGAGATAGAAAACACGGAGAAGAGAGAGGGGAAAGATGCCTTAGATCGATCAAGGTTCGTTAGGCAGTCGAGTAAGATGTTTCGCCCTCCAAGAGTCTGCGAAAAATTCCCGATCATCGTCGCGAGTGCCGTATGACCGACTTCCATGCGTGAGCAGAAGGAACGATGATGTGAAAAACTGTCCTTTTAGAATCATTGGGACTGGAAATCCGGGGCAACGCGCGAGTAGTTAGCTAGATGTTTGCTTCGAGTATCTACTCGAAATCTACGTTCTCTAGCGTAGCGCGTACGCGCTGAATCCGGCGGCATTACAAATTTGTGGTAGTTATGTTTAGCTATGTCTACGCTATATAGCGAGCTACTTGTGCGTAGTAAAAGGCATACGCCGTCGATTTGTAGCTTATTAAACACAATAAAATGGCGATTTTAAAAGTTTCAAAACTTGGCAAAATTTCAACTACCCACGTCGCCCTGGATTTCTAGTCCGAATGATTTCTAAAAGGACAGTATAGAGACGGGCCGGCTTCCGCTTCCAGGCGACCCGATCTCACGCCCTGAATTTGACAACTGCTGCCTTCAAGAAACATTCCAATGCCTTCAAGAAACATTCCATCTCGCTGAAACTCTGTTTTTCTGTTCGGGTCGCTGACTTAAACGAAAATTCAAAAATGCACAAAGAAGAGTCAATTGTAATCGTTGGAGCTGGCGTTTTTGGTCTCTCGACAGCTCTGGAACTTAGCCGTCGCGGTTACACCGACATCACGGTGCTAGATCGCCATACTCCACCTGTCCCGGATGGATCTTCTGTAGATATTTCTCGGATTATCAGACCAGACTATGCCGACAAGTTCTATGCTCGTATGGGCATTGAGGCGCTCCATGGTTGGCAAAAGGACTTCCCGCAATATTTCTATCGCAGCGGCTTGCTTTGCGCTCAATCTGGAAGAGAATTCAACAACGAATACTTGAGGGAAGCAAGAGATAATCTGGAGAAGCTGGGTGATGGCTTGGATCTGTGGACTTTCATCGGGGAGGAAGCGAATGTGAGGTATCCGGGTATCCATGGAGACCTCTCCCAGACTAGTGGATACTGTAATTTGGATGCTGGATGGGCCAATGCTGCGGAGAGTATCAAACATCTGGCCAATCTTTGTAAAGATGCTGGTGTGATGTTTTTGTCAGGCAAACAGGGCACAGTCACTGAGCTTGTCTCGGAGAAGTCTACAGATCGGAAGACCATCAGCGGAGTGCGAACGGCAGATGGCGAAGTCGTCAATGCTGGTACGATCATCTTGGCAACTGGAGCTTGGACACCGCATCTTCTCGAATCTGGCAATCGCTTTCTGTCTACTGGCCAGCCAGTCGGCTACATGCAGCTCACACCAGAAGAAGCTGCTGAGATGCAAGGAACTCCAGTCATGATCAACCTGAGCACTGGTTGGTTTGCCTTTCCACCAACACCTGGAGATCATCTTTTGAAGATGGCGAGGCATGGTTACGGCTTCGAGACGACTCATGCTTCCGAGAAGAGCCAATACTCAGCGCCGAATCTGAGCTCTCAACATGATTATCTGCCTCGTGACGCAGAACAAGCCTTGAGAGATGGCCTTGCTCTCTTTCTGCCGAAGTTCAAAGACCGAGCGTTCTCAAAGGTAAAGCTGTGCTGGTACACAGATACACCCAACGGAGATTTTATCGTCGACTACCATCCTGAATACACAAATCTTTTTGTCTCCACAGGTGGTAGCGGACAGTAAGTTTACATTTCCTCTCCATGACTGGCACATATCGCTGACTCTCTCTCAAGCGCGTTCAAGTTCCTGCCTATCTTGGGTCGGTATATCGTTGACAACTTCGAGGGTATTGCTTCGGAAGAGCAGAGGAGGAAGTGGGCCTGGTCGGAAACAGCCGAGCCTATCATGCCTGGAGATGGCAGTCGTGGTGGACCGGAAAGACGTGTGCTTACCGAGGAAGAACAAGCTCTTCTGTTCTGATCCTCAAAGAATCTATCCGCAGACCTGGTTGATTTCAGACTTGACTGTAGGCACTACGAGGAGAGCCCCTTGCTGCTCAAGATATTATCACTCTAAGCCGCTGGACAGTGCATGCTGTAGTTAAATCGCAACTCAGACCTTTGATCCGACACACTGGGCGTGAAGGGAACGGGCCAGGACAATTTCGGCAGGGGTGCCGGATTGGCGACCTCCGTGTTGTTAGAAGAATTACCACCGGTTATGCTCTTGTCTCCTGTTGACGAACTAAGGTAGTTCTTCAGGGCTTTCGATATGACGTCTGGTAGCAAGCTGTTCTTGTTAGAAGGCTCGTTGTGTTTAGCTGCACGCTTATCGTCTTTGAATGTGGGAATCCAGTCGCCGACAGTGGTGTCAGCCATTTTCTGCTTCGCATGTGCCTTGCTTACCATGGCCATCATTTGTACGTGCCAAATCTCGCCAGCTTTAAGCTGATTACCGGTCTTGGGATCACCCTTTTGGCGAGTGGAGTCAACGAACTCGACGTTCAGAGGCTGGTCAAGCTGTTGGCCAATCTGTCTGAGCTCGCCTTGCTGTCAAGTATGTTGTGATCACCTTTTCAAGAGATTCTTTCTTCCAGTGCTCCGATGTTCCATACGCAACCATGTAGTCGTGCTAAAGGTAGAGGGTCCGGAAGTGCCGAGGCATACAGGGGCTAGAGCCTACAGCAGAATACGAAGGGATTGCAATGAAGCCTCTACGTAAGACTGCCCTCGGACATGGTACGGAGGCTGTTTAGAGTGGGCATAGCCGTGGGTGGAGGCGAACTCGAGTACTTCTTCACACAGGGAAAGGCCGGCTTCCTGCTCAGGTTGTGAGTGGAGGTAGAAACTCAGGATGTGACGAGCTAACACATACCTTAACAGAAGGAAAGTTTGAAATTGTGTCAAAGGGTCACACTCAAGTTTTGCCTGAGGATTTTATGATATCGTAATGCTGTAATGTTGGTAAAAGAGGCAGCAGGCTCTTTGTTTCTTCTTGTACCCCTTAGGGTTAACCTCATCGTTATCGCCGTCGTCGTCGTCGTCGTCATGGGCGTCATCAGTGAGCCATGTCCAGAGAGGAACGGCCGTCTGTAGCAGAATGATAGCAGCCTCTTCCATCTCCTGTCGTTCTTTCTGACTTAACGAAATTTTCTAAAATGGTTAGAATAGGGAGCCGTGGAAGAATTAATGATTGACTTACGTTGCTAGCGGTGCATTTGCGTTGAAGGAAAAGGTGTGAAAGGTCTAGGTCTAGGTGCACAAGATGATATCCGGTATAAATAAGAGACGTATTACGGGGCAAGGCTTCGCTGACCGAGAGCTTAGAGAGCCTTTGATCCAAAGAACAATGGTAGACGGCAAAGGCGCGAACGAGCTAGGCTATATACGCATGGGAGGTGCTTACTGTCATAGAGCACGGGATGATGAGTAGTTCCATGGCACCAAGATTCGCTGGATCTACTGTACGATAATACACGCGTCAAGGGAGGATGCCATCCCTCTCCACCGAGATGTCGTGTACGGACAGGCTGCACCAACACGCCCTCTGGACTGGGATAACTACGTCTACCACGGTCTTCGAGTTGGCTGTGGCACGGGGGTTTCTGCAAAGTCTGGCCTCGACAATTATCAAATCCTGCATTCTCTGATCCCTAATGGGCATAGCGGCAGGACGGTTGACAGCGTGGCCTTTGGTAATAGCAGCATCCGCGTGTTTGGTAGTGAAGCCGCTATTAGGAACGATTGGCTAGTACAGACAATGGCAGACGAGGGGGTTTTCCTCGACCTACGCTCCATCGGTATATCCGCACACGAGACAGTACCACGGTCCAAGGTGGTGGGCGCATCCTAGATGAGACTTCACCATGATATCATGGCTTTTCCTGTTATAGAGCGCGCTTTCATGGGTGTTGAGTTCAATCAAGCCGTTGTAAAAGAGTCCATGCTTCCAGAGTATAAGCCAACACTATCGACCCTCTATTGACGACTCAACTCTTTGTCGCAGAAGGCAGCAACGTCGATTTGGGGGATGGCAAATATTTGCCCACCGAAAGAGTTAGAGAAGTCGGTCGCTTCAAACTCAGCCAGAAGAGGCAGATCTGGGAACATGTTTTGATAGAAGCTAACGTCCTCGATGGCCTTTCGAAGACAGTTGGAGTTGTCCCGCCAAATTCCGGTGGTCTAATCGCCATCTCCAGCTTTGACGGTGATGTTGATCTTGCGCTTTCTCGCCAGCTTGATCAGCAGCTTCAAGGCTGAGAGGCATCCTTGAGCTCCTGTGTACCAGCGGGATCACAAATGTAGACTCAAAGTTGCGTACTCGCGCTTGATCTTCTATCCAGTTCTCCATAATCATGCAGTACTCCGAGGTAGCAGGATTATTCTCGTTCAAACGACGATCAACGTATAAGTTTATTAAGAGAATAGCGGTACTTAAGGGATTCAAAGACCCTGCGCAATTTGGCGATCCGCAAACCGCTGGAGCCTTTCGAAGTGAACTATTTCCTCGTCGATGGCGCCAATCTCTCCCTCGTCTCCCTCCTCCTCCATAATCTCACGATAGTACTCGACAATTGTCGTAATCTCGACAAGGGCCTCGCGAGCAACGTTGAAACGCTGAGCGTATTCGATTTGGGCGATGTTACTGCGCAGGGCGTCCTCCATCCTGAGTCTGTAGTCGTAGGTGGCTGGGATGGGGTCTTGCATGACGCGTCTGAACCAGGACTCGATGAACAGCATGACAGTGTCAATGTACTCGGGGAGCGTGAAGGTGGTGGTGGCGGTGGCAGGTACAGGGACGTTGGGCACGATGGCAGTTGGAAGGGGAAAGACATTGGCGGTAGGATGAGGACACTGGCAACGTCTCGCCTCTGCAATGACCATGTCTTGCATGTTCTGATCACGTACAGGGACAGCGGCTGTATGGTTGATAGTGCTACAAGCGGTGGTAACGTGCTTAGCAATATGGTCCCTAGAAGACAATAGATCAGTACGTATACATGTCATAGCAGAGAATGGGTGTCTGTCTCGACATACGCTCTACCGTCGGTATGCCCACAGATGGAGCAATACCATAGTCCGAGGTGATGGAAGCATCCTAGGTGGGATTTCATGTGGGCAAGTGTTCTGCGGTCGAGAACCACGCGGTTGTGCAGGCAGATTCTGCATCTGAAACCGAGTGTCGGTGGAGGGGGGTTGAAAGGAGCAACGAGGTTGGTGTTTGTAGCCATGTTTCTGAGGGTAATCAGTACTGAACGCGCAAGAGAGGATCATATCATGACAAGGGCGAAGGATGGGAGGGTATCGAGAGACAAGAATAGCAATGGTAACATGGAAGAGGTCAAAAGGAGCGGAGACGAGTCAAACGAAAGCGCAAGACGCCATACCTTGATTGTAGAGAATGATGCGCCGGGAGGATTCATCAACCTCGTAGAGCTGAGTAAAAGTGCACAACAAACTTGTTGATGAAAGACTGATAAAATCGCGTCAAGAAAAGTGGTCGCGCAGCCGTAGGTAAATGTACAAGTTGGCGTTTGACGCGCAAAAACATAAACAAATTCAAAGGGATATCAAAATCAAAGCCAAGCCAAATCATCAAAAGACGGCGGTACTAGCTTGACTCCCGTCCGCAAGGGCTAGTACATAAGCATCTTCGTGACTGTGCTTCTATATTTGATCTTTGGGACTTTTCGGCACCATGAGTATATCAAGCCACTCAACTCAGATAACGTTAGCACAAGTACCACGCCTCTGTTGTCGTCTGGTAATTTTTAAATCAGAACTTGAGATTCCTCTGCAGTGATCTCTCTCTCGTTGACATCATCTTCTTGCTCGAGAAGAGCTCTTGGAACTTCCCGTTCTACCTGGGCCGCGAAGAGGATAGCATGTTGTCTACTCCGCCCTATAGGCAGAGTAGACATTGGATGGATCGGACCGGACCTACCCTCTGATCCGGTCTACTGGATCTGCTAAGCGATCCGCTCTAGCTAGATCCACTGGATCGGATCGATCTGGTCCGGTCCGTCTGCTATATAGAGGGTCTCGGCGGAGGAGGTAGTGTAGCTGGTCGATGGAAGGGAGTCGTTTATTCGGCCTCTTGAGGCACGCTATTTACAAGTTCAAATGAGGCCTCTAGCCTTGTAATAATACTAGTCTTTATCTAGCTCTTGACGCACTGCGTCTGACCAATTGCTCTTATAGATAGCTTTCCTCGTAGCGGTGTTACTATAAGGCCGGCACTCGAGAACACACGCTCTAGCTCATTAGACATTGCAGGGATGGTAAAGAGGTCTCTAGCCATCTTCGAGAGGCGAGGATAAGTCTCTCGCTGTCGCTTCGTTAACTAGAACTTAAGAGGTCTAAATTCTTTTAGTAGGCGCCCTTCCTCGTTCTAGCGTATGTATTCGTCATTTGTTTCTTCGCCGACATTAGAGAACTTACTAAGCATGTCGTCGTCTATCTAGCGCGCATTATCTTTAACTATGGCGGATTGTTTATCCTCCTCGGTAATGGGAAGAGAGGCATATTCCTACTATAGATCCTCGACATTTCTACGCGCTTAAACGATCTAAGTAGGGCGGTCCCTCTACACCTTCTCGATGTACTTCTACTTAAGGCTAGGGTAGAGGACAACTACCGTAACATAGACTAGCGATTAGTCTATCTTCTAATAATATTTATCTAGCTTTTTCCATGCTAGGTTAACGCCTATATAAAGCATGCGGTATTCTAGTAAATTCTTTAAGGGCTCGGCGGGAGCAGGAGGAGGACGTAGTAACGACGGTTTAGGCGGTAGAGGAGGCGGTTACATGGGTTATAATGCTTAGTTTCTACGTAGGTTAAAACGAGTAAGTGGTGCTAGTTTGTCGAGGTCTTAAAGTGCGCCTTAGGAAGGTTAGGAGTCTTTATAAACAGTGCTAGCCTACGAGCTAAACATCGAGTAGTCTTAAGAGGGCTAGACGATAGAGTATTTAGTCTTTGCTGCCTCGAGGTAGGTTAGCAACTTCTCTATTGCAGGAATTACCTGCTATATAGCACTATAACTAGCACCGCCTCCCCTTCCCTCGAGACGTTAGGTAGTATAATAGAGCGGCTTAAGAAGTTAGTTATATATCGATAAGATAGACTAGTCATCCTACGATAGATAGTCGTTAAGTTAGGTAGGCTTCTTGCGGTGTTTCTAAGGGGGTAGCTTTTAATTAAAATTAGTAATCTTGTTCTAATAGTCTTGCTAGAGCGACTGCTGCTTTTAATAGAACTCCTCTACTATAGGGCGCAGTTTAATAAACACAATAATAGCGTCCTACATTAAATTCTATCGGGTGTCGTTTAGTACATAAAGCTCGTAGATCTAGTCGATTAATGGATGCTCCCTCTGCAACTACTTAAATGCCTCGTTCCTTTAAGGGGAGGAGCGTATCTAAATGATAGTGTTTCTTATCTTACTAAGAGGACCGCGCCGGCGCTAGATAAGAAGGTCTTAGTCTTTAATAGTGACATACGTAAGCTTATTCTCGAAGGCCTCCTCGTCGATACCCTATAACATTGCGCGCGTAACAAGGTTAATCTTATAGCTAGAGCAGCGCAAGCGACGGTATAATAGATTAAAGCCGAATTCTGTCCTAAGGGCTTCGATATAGGTGTCGTTATTCGTTACGTTGTCTGTTATAAAGTAGCCGATTTTATCTGTAAGGTTAAAGTAGTTAATAATGGTAGCAACGTTGTTAGCAATATTAATGCTAGAGTAAGGACTAGACTGTTCTAGCAAGGATAGAAGGAAGGTCTTAAGATTACCGAACTTATTAGCGAAGTAGCAATTAATGCCTAGCAAAGCGCGCAGGTTACGAGAAGACTAGAGATTAAATAATAGATAGATCTTGCTCTACGTAGCATAGAGCTTCTTAGTAATAATGCCGAGATGACTTGTATATGCCTATTTAATCTAGTTAACGATAGATAAGTAGTTAGGAAGACATCCGCGCTTACTAATAGCAGGATTAAGTAATAAGAGCATGTCTTAAAGATAGGAAGATTCTATCATTTAGAAGGCCTAATTGTTATAGCATATCTATGCTACTACCCTAGCCTTCTAAGAAGCATAGTAGAAGACTGTTCTAAAGCGCTCGATGTCCTGCCTATAGTTAGAACTCTTAGTAGAGGAGGCAGCAAAGCTACTCGAGAGACGACTACGTTTCTCGCCTACCCTATAGACGGTAATATTATAGGTCTTAAGTAGATGTTTTGTTAGGGGTGCAGTGCCATTACCGTAGGTGAACGTAGACCTAATAGCCTTTTTCTTATAGCATGTCTTACATACCTAGAAGTAAACCTCTAGTAGAACACCTTACTACTAAACCCTCTACCTATAGTTAAATATCTAGCTCTTGCTTAACCTAAGACCGTTATTATAGGCCTCGAGCTTAATCCTTATCCTGTCTCTTTCTTGCTACTATAGACGTAACTAGTCGATGTCCTTATAGTAGTCGATGTTTCCTATAGTCCTTAATGTATCTGCGCGAGCTATAGTACTTTAAAAATCGTCGGGACGTTAGAACTCGGTAGGTACATAGATTTTAGAGGTAGCGGCAAGGGTAGTTAATGGGGCGTAGTAGTCGCTTTAGGACTCGAAGGGAAACGTATTATCGAGTAATAAGAGGAGCGTAGAGGATTAAGAGGTCTTAGTAGGGGTTTAAGAAGGTTAAGTTAGCATATTGTTATGATTTTTTTATGTGTATATAGGAGACGACGTTAGAGAAGATATCGCGGGGATTAGCTTGGCAGATCTAAGCCCTCTCATTGGCCGACGGCATATGCCGGACCAATTAGAGGGTCTAGTGGAACACTCTAGTAGATCCTTATACCGATCCGATCTACTGGACCTAGATCCACGATCTGGTCCAGTTGCTAGATCCAGTGGATCCTGGACCGGACCGGACCCTCGATCCATCTAGTGTCTACTCTGCCTACAGGAGGTGATATACTATGGCGGCTAGGTAGAGTGTACCTCGAAGATACCTGCAACTATACTAATGAGTTCCGAGTCGGCTGTATAGAAAGGAAACATGATCGAGTGCTACGAAGAAAGAATTAAACCTGCCATCACTAGCGAGACGTGGTTGGTGAACAGAAAACTCAGCTCGGCTTCGGTGACCTCTTTGGCTGCGAAGGTCTGGCCTCGAGCAAAGACAGCTCAGGATCGTCCGGAGAGTGGTCGAACTCGAGAACTGGCTCGTAGGGGCTTGCCATCGTTCTCTCCCCACTGAACTTTCTTGTGGCCTATCTATTCATGGCAGAAGCGAGGTTCTCGACCCTGGTATGTATGTATACTCGTCTGAGTCGATTTGGGTTCAATGCCACTAGTGTGTATGTCATCGTGAATGGAGATGTTGAAATGACTGATGGAGAGCTCCCAAGATGCTGATAATGATCACCCCGATCACCAGTGCGCTGGCAAAGTACTTTCGAACATGGCTGGTTAGAAACGTAGCTGCCCTACTATAACAGTAGAAATATGGAAGGAGACGATAAGACAGCTTGATTCGCCAAACTCACGGTGAACCTGAGCAACTATATACCGCATTTCTGCAACGAAGCATTAGCCAACTACAAAGGGGATCTTGGAACAAATCTATAGCAAACACTTAGCAAAAGACTAGCTAGCCATCTCAACACTGATTAGTGATTGCTGAATCTGGCACAAAGAGGCACGATTGCTCAATTTGTGAGCGTATCTCATTCAAGCAAGGGCCATTTCTAGGTTTCATGGAGACGTAGAGAAACGTGAGCAAGAACAATTCGGAGACAGGCTACTAATTCTCAAAGGCAGTTATGTTTTTGTTCATTCTAGCGACAGCAAACGGTTTGTGAGTATGCTTGAAAAATGCACAATGATTTCATGAGCAGTAAGAGGTCCGAACAAAGATCGTGAAATGTCTGTTTTTTGTAGACGACGACGACGTACAAACAATCCAAAAGTGTCGTGCAGGAGCGTGATCAAGTCGAGACACTGCGGCAGGAGAGACAAAGTAGGGAAGGGCAAAAAAGGCTTACTGCGTGAGTTTCAGCGACGCTGCAAGCCAAGAAATACAGCGGTCAAAACGCAAAAATCTAGGTATCTACCAGGTGGTGGATGGCCGGAGAGAGCCCACCACCGCCATTCATTGGCGAGATATGCTATGCGCTCTCAATCAGGCAGTGTACCATGAAAACCGTCTGTCAAAATGCAAAAGCACATTCCGAGAAGTGCATATATCCACTGAGAGCACGAACTCTGGTGATTCTCACAGTGGAACTTCAGAATTTGTAATCATTTCTTTGCATTGTTATGGTCTTCTAGTGTTATTGGGAGACGTTTGTGTTCTGTAGTCTTCGGTTCTGTAAGTGGTATCCTCTCGTTCACTCATAGAGTTCGTCAGCCTGTTCTTCAGTGAGGTCCTTGAAGGGACTCGGGGGAGATTGCATAGGCTCATCCAGGGGACTCAGAGGAGATTGCAAAGGCTCATCCAGTTCGTCCTGACCGTCCTGACCGTTCTGAACATCTTGGCCTCCACTCTGATCTCCATCCTTGTCCTCACTCCAGCCTACATATTGATCCTCACTCTGATCCTCGTCCTGACTGTGCTGGTCATTCTGATCGTCTTCGTCTTGAACTTCGCCACCATGCACTCCCACACCACAAGCCTTCCGAGCCTCCCGATTCTCCTCAACACCCGCAGCCATCTCCTTCAACTTGGCAACATCCTCTCTCAATGCACCCATGTGATGGCCAAAGAGGTCCTCGTACCATCTGATTGCTTCCACCATGTCCCCCACATCTACTTCGATTCCTATTGCAAAGGTGTTATACGCGAACTGACTGGGGCTGTTGTCGAAGATCTCTCGTCCGTCTTCCAACCCTTCGATGGCATCACTTATCAGCTTGATATTACAGCTTGTCGAGAACGAGGCTGGGCGGTCTTCGAAGCGATCCAGGTAGTAGCGGCCGATAACGATAGCTCTGGTGGCGAGCTTGGAGAGAGGAAGACGGGGCGGGGGGAATCTCAAGGGAGAAGGCAAGGCGAGCATCGAAGGTTGCTGGAGAGTTGGTGAAGGAGATGCAGGCGAGGGCGAAGACGGCAACGAGGTATGGTTCGATCCAGGGAGCTCGTCTTCCATCTCTTCATCTATGTCGTTGCTGGTGATCAAGTCGTTGTCAGTTGTCACCCCGCCAGTTGGAGACACATCAGCTTGCGAAGGAGCAGAAACAGGAGGTGCTGCCGAAGCGGAAACAGTTTGCGAAGAACCCGCGGCAGGGGCTGGCACTGGCGGGATGATAGGAGCGACAACAAAAGCAGCACCAGCAGCGGCAACAGCAGGAGTTGGGTTCAACACAGGGCCAGCAGCTCCAGCAGGGGGCGTCCAGGGTGTTGTGTGAGGCCAGCGACACAAATTTGTCTCAGCATCGATAGCTCGCTCCAAACGTTGATTGACCCGTGCTTCTGCCTTAGCGTGTCTACCACCAGGTTGGGACTTCTTTTCGGCGGTGACGTGTTTTGTGACGGCATCCCTGTCGTGAACACATTAGCATGAGGTACATTGTAAGTATGAATTACATACCGCCTGAGGGCTCTGTAGTCGCAGTTCCTGACGGAACAACAGAACCAACCCATTTTGTGTACAGAGCCCAAATGCGATTTCATATGGGCAAAGCTGGTGAAAGATTTGTTTTCATGACGGTACCAGCATTCTCTGCAGCGAAAAGCGGTTTTCTTAGCCATGGTGAGAAACTGTTGAGAGACACAAATTAGCACACATTACGCATAGAATCACGAGCAAAGGGGGTGTAAGGATAGGTGTGACGTGATCAGATAGCTTAGAAGAAGAAGAAGAATGGTTGCTGCAACATACTGATGGTAGGCACACAACTTGAACAGGGAGTACTTGTCTTGTGAGGTAAGGGCGAGAGTGGATGAAGGGGAAGAAATGTCGAACAGCAGAGCCAATCTTATGCCCTGGTAGAAGTTTGGTCGGATGAGAAGAAAAGGACGGAAGGGACAGGCTAGCGAGAGAAAAGCTATGTCGAACGAACTAAGCGAAGGCACGTCGATCTCTGTCGAATGAACGAAGCGAAGGCACGTCGAGCTCTGTCGAACGAACGAAGCGAAGGCACGATGAGCTCTATTAAACGAACGAAGCGAAGGCACGATGAGCTCTATTAAACGAACGAAGCGAAGGCACGATGAGCTCTATCGAATGAACGAAGCAAGGGCACGATAAGCTCTGTCGAATAAACGAAGCGAAGGCACGATAAGCTCCGTCGAATAAACGAAGCGAAGGCACGATGAGCTCTGTCGAATAAACAAAGCGAAGGNGCATATGTTGGACACATAATAAGGTGAATAGTAGTGGCTGGTTCTAGCAGTGTGACCCCGGCAGATAGGTCGGGTCCTAAGAAGAAGCGAAGAACGTCACGAAACTCGAAAGTACGATAGTATACAGGTAGCATCGTAGCGATAGAGCAGGCACAAAGTGGTGATTATAAAGGAAATGCCACATACGGAAGGGGCAAGCAACGGTCTAGAAGCATAAATCTGCCGATGTGGTGTTGCATAGAGAAGGAAGAGCAATGGAAAGACAGGTAATCCGGCGGGACGCAATCGCTTCTCCAGGCTGTGATAGCAAACGGTTTGCTGCAAGCGTTAGTACAAAGAAACAATAACGAGTGGCTTTGGGTCAAGATGATACCTTGTGACGACCAACGAGGAACTTTATCCTCTTGTGCAATGCCTGTCCGCTGCTTCCATGCTCTTTTCGAACAACGAATCAATGCCAACAGGCTTTATCTGACCTGCAATTTCCTTGACTAGCGATTCAACCCTCTCAAACATCTACAAATACCAGAATCAGTCATAAAGATGTGTTATCTCTCAGGGCCATCACGCCTCCTCTACCCTCCCCCATCCAAACAAGTCTTCCTTAATGGCTCTCTCGGTCTCCAACCCACAAAGCAAGGACCCAACTTCTACGATCGCCAAACAGAGCTCCGGTATACCAGGTCTAGGCAATACCATACTGTTCAGTCCTCGCCAGTTCCCTACTTTTTCAAGCGGTGTTCACGTCAACAGACCTGCCAAAAGACGTCGTCTGGCATCTCCTCCAAGCCACGGCTTGGTCTTCAAATTTGGTCTAGTTTCCAACGCTTCCCGGAATGAGTCTTCTCCACCCAGCACTTATGAACCTGGCAGAGATATCGCGCTCGAAAGACCGAAAATTGCACAAACTGCTCAAATTGATCTTTCCGAGCTTTCGGAGGAGGCCAAAGCCATCATTGGTACACAACTGAGAAGTCATTTATCAACGAGCAAGTCCTCTCCACCTCCCGATCTCGACTGTATAAGGACAAAGCTCTTGCCCCTCGCACCGGCGAGAGTACAATCGACAGAACAAATACCATAACAAGCCCAGACCTGTCGGCAGGAACCGAAGCTGTGACCGAGCTGAAGAACAACAGTGTCTCAGGTTCTCTACTCTCAGAAGAGTCGCAAGTCAGAGCCGCTTCCGTGGCCGGGAGCAAGAGAAGATCCAGAAACAAAGAGTACGTTGTAGCAAAAAAGGAGCCCAGTACAGGTGGGCAATACCTCCAACTCTCGAAGGAGCAGAGGACCCAGCGAGGGAATGCTACGCAGCTGGCCGCTGAAATGAGAGCAAAACAACTGGTTGCAGCCCTGGCGGAATCAGAAACAGACGATGACAGGGGAAGCACCTCTCCGGGGGCCATGACGGTCTCTGGTCCAGTTGTTCATCTTCCCACCGCTCGCGGTACCTCCTTACCGCTCACCTCAATCCTCAAACGCATTGGCAGAGATCCAACACCCACCAAACGTGTCCACTTCCTGACCTTCGACAAGCTCGTCAGTCATACTGCTGCGGGTCTTCAACGCTACACCGACACAAGAACATCCGGCCCTGTGTTGAGTATGTCTTTCTCACTTGCTCACGCTTCCTTCTTGAACCCCTTGTTGACCCCTGCCACCCTGATCAACGCCCTCGAGCATTTCCAGGGCTTGGTAGGACTACTGTTGATCGAGCTAAACAGGTTTATGCGCGCTGCAGAGACAAAGCAAGATGATGGTGCTATGAAAGCTGAACTAATGGCGTATGTAATGCAAGTCAGATTGGCAGAGAGTAGTGTTGCGTTCATAGAGAGACGGTGAGTTCTATTGTGTTCCTTTGCGATCTACAAAAGGAGTAGTTGCTAACTTCCATGTTTAGTATCGTGAATTGCCAGCGTTTGGTATCTGGTGCTTAAGCATTGTCCAGAGACGAGAAGCGCACACACGAACGACGTCCATCGTTACTAATATACACCCTCAGATTGGACACAGTCATTGCCTTCTTGACTTGCTTTGTTCGTATTACTTTTCTGCAAAAGCCTTGTTTTTCTCGAGTTACTTCGTTTCTCGATCGTGCCACTGGTATATCTTCATTTCCAGAGTTTCTGAAAAAGTGTTCGAGCATGAGTTCCGATTCCCGTTTGTTTTCTCTCGCTAGGGATAACAGATACATGATTATATGGTGCAGATGTAACAAGCATCAGGCAGATGTAACACGCATCAGGCAGCACAACTCTAGCAAGTCAAGGACAGGCCATCCATCCGCCCAAATACTTCTCGCTCGCTCGCGCCAATCCTATGCAGTGTTCATCGTTGCCACTCATCACGTTTATCATCAGCTATACGCATGAATCGATCGTGAGAGAAATCGACGACCTCAACCGGTCCAAGGCCATCAACATCATCAATTACCGAGGGGACACGCACGACACATCCCGACACAGCGAGACTCCTGTCAGTAACGCGTCGCTTGCCGGTGACTCCCCTTCTCTTATCGGAGGTACAACGTCTCGCGCTGTCTCTCAAGGCAAGGTCGCGCCTTCTAAGCCACTGTCTCAACCAACTTCTCATCGGTTGCTCTCTCAGTCTCCGACGCACGTGGAAATCATACGTCTTCTGCTATTTTCATTGAGAAGCGAAATTCTGGAGTTCCAGGTCTAGGAAGAACCATACTATCCAGATCCCGACAATTGCCCATCTCCACAGGAGGGATCAACGCCGGAATGCCATCCAAGAGACGTCGTCTCGCCTCACCTCCCAGGCACGGCTTATCCTTTAACTTCGATCTTGATACCAACGCTCTGCCACCCCCATCTGTTACGAGAGATAGGGGCGCACCGCCCGGTACCAAAAGTTTCAGCAGAGATATCACTCTTTACAAGCCGGAAATCGCAAAGGCCGCTCAGATTGAGTTCTCCGAGCCCTCTGACCAGACAAAGGCCATCATGCGCTATGCCATCGAGAGACCAGCTGTCGACAGAACACTTGCCTCTATATCTGAGCCTCGACTATATAGCGAGGGTGGCATAAGCAGGGCGATCACAGCGACTGCCGCAGGCCCTGCAGTTGAGGCTGGAGCCGAGCACAACAACAAGAAAATTCTTGACCCTTTATCTGGAGAAGCCCCTGACGCCAAACCGACTCCCGTGGCCACCGTGATGACAGCAAAAGAGCTAACGGCACGCAAGCATCATGACGAGCTGCAAGAGGAGAAGAGGGTCCAACACAATCATTCTGCTCAGATCGCAGCCAGGTCCAGAGGCAAACGTCTTGCCGAAGCGCTTGATAAGATTGAAGAGGGAGATTTGCAAGCAAGTGGTGTTGACCGCGGATACGTGGCTAGAGTTGACCCCAGCCCGGCCGTCCGCCCGATTACTCCTCATCGCACATCCCCATGGCTCAAGTCAATACTCAAGAGCGAAACCAGGGGTACAGCTCCGCCTACCAAGCGCGTACACTTCTTGACTCTGGAAACGCTGGTTGACCACACGAGCAAACATCTAGAGCGTTACAACAACAAGAGAATTTCTGGTCCGGTACTGAGCATCTCATTTGCTCTCGTTCACGCCTCATTGTCGTCATCCCCTCCGAATTCCGCAAAACTGCTCTCCGCCCTCCAGGATTTCAAGGGTCTGTTATCTTTGCTCTTGGAGAAGCTAAGGGGGTTTCTAAGAACCGCACAAGCTTCAGAAGGTGCTGCTAAAAAGGCAGCTTTGTTTCGCGAACAAGTTGACCTAGCTGAGAAGGACATGGAGTTTTTGGGAAGACGGTAGTTTTGTTTAATTGATTTGACGGTGTTGGGAATTGTGTTGCTGACTTGATGCGATAGTACGGTAGACTGTCGGCGTTTGATGCCTCATGTTTGAGTGATCCCCAAGAAGCGCAGACATGGACGGCATCCATGGCATGTTGCCTAGTGTTAATCAACAGGATCAATAGATTGGCTATCGTTCGTAGCTCGCTTTATCCATGTTGTCGTACAAAAATGCTCTTTCCTGAAATTTGTCTTTCCTTCTACAATGCTACTCGTGGGCAAAATGGGACGAGTCTTATGCTTTCCGGGACACGCCGGTCACAGATATGGCTCGTCACCCGGCTTTGCCTGTGACAGCTCTTCTACACCTTGGCCGAATGCAGCCTAGAAATCAATCTAGCCGGCTTTTTTACTGTCTTCGCGTTAAGCTTCCACGACCGAAGAGAGACGCGATAAACAAAGCTTCTCATGAAGGCGACAGGTGCGACCCTGTCCTGCACTCTTCACATCCCTAACCACCGACATCGGCATCTCATCTCTCTAATTTTCCTATCCCAACCATAGCAATTGTCCACCCCAAACCTTTCGCATGGTCTTTTCTTTGTGAGTATTCTGACCTCTCATCCTCATCACTGCTTTAGTGTCTATCGTGTCGCTGTTGTCGCATCACATTCGATCAATCAATTCTCGGGCAAGTATTGCCCGGATGACTAAGCTTTAGGACCCGCAAATCGTGCCATTCTTTGCCTCTGTGTCAACATCTCGTGGCCAAATCTTTGAACAAGGCAAGTGTTTGACTTGTAACCTTTCAAAAGCAGTGTATCGCAATTATGTTTGCGGAAGTGGCTAATTATGCTAATGATGCTGGTAAGTGATTTCCTCATGTCTTTGAGGTGTTTCCTTCTTCGGTGGTGTTCGGAAGACGCTTTCCCGAGATTTTGGTTGTGTTGGGTATGCTGCTATGGCCGTCTTTCCGCGACAGAGGATGTATTTGATCCTAGTGAAGGTTTGACAGAGTGTAAAATCTATGGACTGTCCATTCCAGGAAGCTTCTGTCGCTTTTGCTTGTCGTTTCCCCTTTCCAAACTCCAACGGAGGCTTTGCTGGCAGGCGATTTTCTGTTATTCCTTTGATTCTCAACAACCGCCCACACCCCGTTTCTTTCATCTCTCTTAATACGACCATTAGTGTTATGAAACTAGAAAAAGGACAATAAGGCTGTAAACTGCTGTATACTGACATTGCTTATGCAGCGGCGGTCGAGAAATCATTGAGATTACTGCAAGCATTTGTGCAGATAGCAGCTGGTACCACATCATCAATCACTGATGCAAAGACATGGAACATGGCCAGAGGGCAATTCGCACTTTGTAAGATTTTCCAGTGAATTTCTTTCCAATCACAGAATCTAACTGATGTGTGAGAAATAGCGCGTCGTTACCTCCGCCTATTCAAGTGGATAGACTTCAGTCAAGCGTCCACAATAACCTGGACCTCTTCTCCACCTTCATCCCGCCGCGTCCTCGCGACTGCCAAAAATATGCTTTTGGCTATATATTTTTTCATGGAGATGTTCTGTATCGTAAGCTGCCACATGCTCCCTGCCACCTTCAACACCCCATTCTCTCCCACAAATATACTAACGCAACACAGACCAATGCAATGGGCATCACCACCTCTTCATTCTTGACAGCTTTACAACATCATGCCCTCCAAGTTTGGTTTTTCGCTATAAGCACCTCCCTTTTACTCACGACTCATGACTACCTTTCTCAAAACATGTCGTCCGCGACTTTGGCTTCTGACCTCGTACTCGATTGCTGCGATATCCTCATCCCTGGCTCCGCGGTCGGCTGGATACCGGTGGATTCCGTGACCGTGGGGATCGCTTCCAGTATCAGTAGCATCATCGCAGGCCAGCAGATCTGGGCACGAGTACAAAAGGAAGCCAAGGACAAGGAAATGAGAAAGAGAGAAAAGTCGATGAGGAAAGTGAGATTTGAGAAAGGGACCAAGGTGTCCGAGGAAGAAGAAGAATTGAGTGAGAAGGAAGGGAAGGAGGAAGAGGCGAGTAATGGCGTGGTTGATGGGAGTGTCAAGGTTTTGGCTAATGCTGCTGGTGGTGCAAATGGAGGTGTGAAGAAGAGATCGAAGAAGGCGTAGGATGTAGATGTGATGAATCGGTAGATCTATCTAGGTATACACATGTACATGCTTATGATCTTTGATCTGTTTCCTCAAGGTAGACGTTATCGCCCATTCGTCTTTGCAACACGAAGACTGTGAGCGATGTAACATGGATGATACTGCATCCGTCACACGACCGCTTAGCTATACCGAGGTGAATAGAAGTCGCATCGCAGGACTTCGTATTGTTTGTCGTCGGTTAAGAGAGATCTTTCCCACATCTCGCTCTTTTGAGCCTTCTCGACCGGTCGAGACTGACACACCGCATGCGCTTTGCAAGTTTCGTGATTAGTAGAGCTTGAAAGACCTTTTCAGGCTAATCTGCATCCCAGTAATGAACACGAAAAGAGGAGTATGTTCCAAAAGCGGATGGAATTGGAGCATTGTTTGTGGAAAAACGTTGGTGTTTGCTGATGTTTTTTTGGATGGTGGGAAGGAAGCTGCGAGAGGTGCTGGATTGATTATGGATAAATGTTTTAGAGGTGATGGGGACTGTGATGGGAGAAAATCATGCTTGGGCTAGTAGATGTCTGTTGATTCATATTCTTCAGGGTTGAAATATGCAGGTTATTCTGGTGTTAAGCGAGTTAATCCAGTGTTGCATATCATAGTCTTTATAAAAAAAAAATGTGCAAAAAAGGGGCCTTTGCCCAACTTGAGATATTGGCAGTATAAGCGGGAACTGATCGGTTCTCGCTTTGGACTTTTTACACCAGTTCTAATCTTCCACATTGGGGGTTTGCGACCACCAGAATTCGCATTGTTTGGAGCCCCAGGTATCGTTGAGCAATTCTGCTATGACACCTTTACCCTTTCCACCGGCACGTTCGTCGTTACCCGCGCCGAAAACCATGGTCTTGTGTTCTTGCTCTCCTTGCTTACCCCATGCTTCCCAAACCGGTCGTTTCCACCTCCCCTCCACGGCATTCGGATCCCCGGTCAAAACGAAACTGACAATGTAGTCATGAAATACGCCAGCGAGTTCTTTATGCGTGGAAGAGACGGATGTGGTGGATGGGTCGAAGGTCTCATACCACATTTGATCGCCGTGATTAGCGCCGCCGAGGATGGTACGATTGGTGGCCCAGTGGTATAGATACACCGGTGTTTTGGAAAATTGCGCGGTTTGCCGGACAGGGCAAACGTATGCGTAATGTCCATACGCAGCTTCTAGACGTTTATACTGCGCACCTACATCCAAACCTCTGGTATCAAGATACTCAGAATCAGGATAAACAGCAGGATCAGGATATAATTGTTCAACAACATCCAACTCCTCATTTCCCAAATGCGGAAGCAGTTCGGCCCAAAATTCGCGGAATTGTGCGGATGTAGTGGTGGTCTTGGGTACATACATTGTTCCTTCATTGTGATTGAAGCCAGTGAGAATGGGCACGTTGGCGTAGTTTCCTGATTTCCAGGCTGACAAGGGGCGTCGGGAGATCAAGTCGTTGTCGATGACGGGTTGCCATGCCCATCTGACGGAAGGGTTCCAATGGGCAAAGACTGTGTTTGAAGCTTCCACTATACTTGCTTCGGAGGCGTTGCGGAGACAAGGGAGGATCGCGGTGTCGGAGAGACCAGAGCAAGAGGTCAGGGTGAGGAACATCTGGAATTGTGCTTCATGCAGGGCAGAATCGTAAGGGTGAAGGGCGCGTGAGGTGGGTCCACCGGATTCGATTACCGTTTTGTGGAAGAGGGGGTATTGGTGTGGGGAGTTGATGTTCATGATATGATGGCCAATCTGTTCCTTGTATGAGTAAACTTTCTCCCTTCATCATAACGTCATGACCGCCAATGCTGACGAGAGTGAAAATGAATGGAACTCACCGAATGTGCACCAGCGCTCAACCCAACCAACGTAACATCTCCCTCATCACCTCCAAACGCAGCAATATTATCCCTCACCCATTCCAACATAAGCACCTGATCATGCAACCCCAAATTTAACACTCCCTCCTTTTCCGTAACTTTCGAATTCAAAAAGCCAAGCGCACCAATCCTGTAATTGAAGCTGACGGCAACGAAACCCTCAGTCGCAAATCCAACCATAGAAGCCGTATTATGCATCTTCGCCGTACCGCGATTAAAAGCTCCTCCGTGGATATAAACCATAACGGGCACTTTTTTGTCCTTGGGTAAAGAGGCAGGGCGGAAGATGTTGGCGGTCAAACAATCTTCAGACCAAATATCTTCGCCGCCACCGGGAGGAAGTAGTTGTTTTCCAGGACATCTGGGGCCAAAAGCATCAGCCTTGAAGGTCTCGTTTCCAGGCTGTACGGCAACAGGTTTGGCAAATCTCAAAGCACCGGTGGGAGCGGCTGCGTAGGGAAACCCAAGAAATGCTTCCACTGGCGTTGGAAAAGCGTCATCGATGATTGTGCCAACCAGAGTAGCTTGAGGTATAGTGACAGCAGGTAGAGAAGAGACGGTAGAGTGGTAGCCGAGAAATCCCAAGACTTGCTGGTGTAGAGAAGCGTAATTTGCTGCTGCCAGCACCAGAGGGATGAGCAAGGCGAAGGCGAAATGCCTTGATGGGTTGGAAGAAGACATGCTTGGTAGTCGATTGATTTGAAGACCAAGGACCAGTGGTGCAGTTGACGCGGACGCAGCTGGCCTTTTGGTTTTGACAAAAAGTCGCCGATCACGCAATTGGAGGAGTGGAGTTCGGAGCCCGATTCAGCGATGTTGTTCGTACGGCGGGGCGGGCAACTTGATGATCTGTCATGTTTGTGATACTTGCCCTGATGTCTAGTCAAAGGAAGTGTACGGAGTAATGGTAGTGGTACCAAGGTACTTGATGGTTATCGATAGGCCATCTGCCCTATCGCGGGGAAGCACTTCGCCCGGCCGAAAAAGGAACTGGGGCGCGGAGACAAGTGCCGATGCTGAGATAGATAAGATCTTCAAAGCAGTAAAGATAGACGGCGTGACTGACTCGAGTAGGTATTGTGAAAGATTGGAGTTGTGCTCGAGTTGTTTGAAAATGAACTGAGTTGCAAGTTTGTGATCTTGATCATCCAGATAAAACAGCACCCAAGTCTTTTACATCTTGTCGATGCGACTTGAATGAGGTGAAGAGATTCGAATGACAAGAAGACCAGCCCTCTTCCGACATCTTTCGATAGGCGTAGGAGCCGGAAGATCCATGTGAGGGCTGAGAAAAGAGAGCGGGGGTTAAGATAATGGTGATATGTTATCTTCCCTGACCACCACCACCACATCTTGGCAACACAACTATACAAAGTCCACCTCGCAGATCCCTTGTGCAAATTCATTCCCATCCACCCTCATCATGCCTCCAGTCTCTCTCCCCTTCAAATCCACAATATCTGCATCAACTTCAGAAAAGATGGCCGACCAAGCTCCACGCACCGACGACATGTCCATCAAAGAGAAACCCCTCGCCGACCCAGAAACCACAGAGATGGATCTCAAGACCGGAGAAGTCATCGAAGACCTCGACGCCGCAGAAGTGTTTCTCCGCCAACACAATTTCTCACACGCCTACCTTGCCGAGATCCTTCAAGACGAAGCCGCTTGCAAAAAGCTCGTTCGCAAAGTCAATTGGACATTGATGCCATTGCTGTGCGGAACATATTTGCTACAATATATCGATAAACAAGCATTGAGTTACTCTGCTGTCTTTGATCTCTTCACCAGTACTGGCACTACCAGTGATGAATACTCTTGGTTGACGAGTATATTCTATTTTGGCTACTTGGTGTCAGAATGGCCCAGTAGTTACTTGGCGCAGCATTTCCCAACTGGAACGGTCTTGAGTTGTTTCGTTACGATTTGGGGTAGTGTGTTGATGTTGACGGCGGCGTGTTCGAACTTTACTGGACTGGCGATTTGCCGATTCATCTTGGGTTGCTTTGAAGCTCCAATTGTGAGTCTTGGTTGGGAGATGATGGCTTGATGGCTTTGCTGATTCGACGGACAGACACCTTGCTTCATGATGTTGGTCGGCATGTGGTTTACACGAAAGGAACAACCTTCTCGTGCGGGTATCTTCTACTGCTTCAACGGCGTTGGAAGTATGGTTGGTGGTATCCTCTTCTATGGTGTCGGTCAGCTCGACGGCTTTCCAGTCTGGAGTGAGTTGAACTGCGATATTCGGATATATGCACATGGCTAACATCTTGCAGGAGTCATCTTCTTGCTCTGTGGAGGCTTGACAATCATCTGGGGCATTGTCCTATTCTTCTTCCTCCCCAACAACATCATGACTGCAAAGTTCTTCTCGCCAGAGGAGAAAGCGTTGCTCATCGCCCGCAGCCAGACCAACCGCACAGGAGTTTACAACCCCAAGATCAAGATGTCTCAGGTCAAGGAAGCCCTGTTGGACCCTCAGATCTGGATCTTGTTCTTGTTCGTGTTGTGCAACGAGGGAATCAACGGAGGTAAGAGATGTCTATTCTTCGTTTCCGTGTTCGAACGCTGACCAAGACAGGTTTCGCCAACTTCGGCAAGCTGATCGTCAAGGGTATCGCTCATGGTGATGCTCTAAAAACGACAGCATATGGCATTCCATCGGGTGGATTTCAAGTATTCTTCGTCTTCACCGGACCGTATCTTGCGTCCAAGTTCAAGAACATCCGCACATATATTATGGCGTTGTACCTCCTGCCAACAATCATCGGCACCAGTCTTGTTTGGAAGCTGCCGAGAAGCAACTCAAACGGTCTTCTGGTCTCATACTACCTGGTGAGTGTCGCAAGCTCCATGTTCAAAAAGCAGGACTGACAAGCAGACAGATTGGCTCATTCGTCGCATCCCTGGTACTGGCCCTGCAGATGCCGGCGAACAACGTCGCAGGCTACACCAAGAGAGTCACGTCGACAGCATTCGTGTTCCTGGCGTATTGTATTGGTAACATCTGCGGACCCCATGCTTTCCTGGCAGCCGAGGCACCCGTATACCAGACAGGTTGCAAATTCATCATCGCATGCGCAGTAATTCAATTGGCTCTGGTAGTCGCTTTGAGAATGTTGCTGATGCAACGCAACAAGAAGAGAGATGCAGAGTTCGGGCTCGTGTCTGACATGGACACAAGTGAGGAGACGATTGAAGATCTGACAGATTTCGAAAACCCTCGGTTCAGATATTCGTACTGAGATGAGATAGTGATTCAATGTTATACCAAACGTCTTTCAGCCTTCTTGATATCCTTCCTCAATTTGCGAATTTCGACAGCGACGAGACGGAGTGCTTGTGCAGAATTGGCGGCCTCAATGAGCGGACTCTCGATAGCAGAGATGAAGGACTTTTGCGAAGCTCTCAAGGCAGGAGGAACCAAGATACCGTACCAGTGAAGGGGATCACGAGGTTTCTGTTGTGCCTTGTCCTGATGGCTTGTTGTCTTTGATTTGTCTTGTTCTTCCGAGAGCTTCTCTTCTTCTGTGTCTCGAGGCGGAGTTGAGGGTGGTGTTGGCTGTTGCTGTTCCGGTTGATCCGGTTTCTTTCCCTTTGCTTCCTTATCGGATGACTTCTCACCAGATTTGGTCGAGTGCTCGTTCGAAGTGTCGGTAGATGGTGAGGTGTCATCAGCCTTCAAGGCGAGGCAGGGCACATCGTTGTCGTTGGTGGAAGCTTCGAAGCGGCGAGTGGCTTGCATACGGTCGTCATAATATTCTTGTCCATAGCGAACACGAGTGGTGGATTTGAAAGTTGCTTGAGCGAGGTCGAAGAAACCTGATGAGAAATGACGGGCCAATTGTTGCTGCGCTTGGTGGTATGAGTCGAGCAGAGTCAGGTGCTTCTCCCACAGCGCATCCAATTGATCGCGAAGCTCGTCCACGCCGATCTCTGGCTTGGCTTCTTCAACCATTGCGTCAACTTGATGTTCGTGGTGTACAAGAGGAAAAGAGTGGTATACAGGAGAAATGTGGTGCCGGCCAATCACGGAGGAGACGCGGAGAGACATTGAAGCTCGACAGTCTTGGCAATCACCGCCGCCGCAATCGAATCATCCATCCGACATGACCACAAGAAGATTGTAATCACAACAAAAGATGGTGTTGACATCACGACCGCCGTCGCTATTACGGCATCTCCGAACCAAACGACTGCCGAATCAATCAAATCAATCATCCCTCCGCCTCTTTACGCAAAAGCATCCGCTCCTTCTCATAACCCGCACATCGTCACCACGCCCGCAACTTCCCTATCTGTCGCAACCTTCCCGAAACGTACTTGCCTCGCGCCAAACCGCCCGTTTTCTCACGACCGAGAATAAGAATTACGTCAAAGAGCAGGTCTGGCTGGCTGCCAAATGGTCCGCCGTAGGATGGTCGTTCTTCCTTCTCGGTGTCGTCGCTCTCTACGGCATCAACCAGGAAGTGCTAGAACGCAAGACTCCTTCGCCTGAAGAATGGTCTTTCTTTTCGCGCAACCATTTCCGATGCGCCAATGCTGCTGTCAAACCCGATCATGAATACACCGATTGGGCTCAAGTCGCGACAGAGTTCAGAAGATGTCTGGAAAGATTGGAAGATGAAGCCATTGATGGAAAAGGCACAACCCCCCTCGTCCCTGGTATGGAACACATCCGCGGAATCAATCCCTCTGCCTTTGACGTGCAGGATAAGAGTGCAGCGTGGAAAGAGGGTTATTTCCAGGTCGTCATGAATTGCGCCAGGGCATCTGAACATATCGACAACATGGTTCTGGATACCTCTCGCGGCATCGTCTTTCCAAAAGATGTCGTTATTGGTCCTTCCAACCCTTCCCCTCGACCCTGTCCTCCTGGCGCCGAGTCTGCCCCTCGCGAAGAAGATTGCGAACAAGCATACGCGCCGCCAGAAACCTTCTACCTCAAGGTCCTCACCGGTGTCGGCTTTTCTACTCGTCACAGGATTCAAGCCGCTCTTGCATACGCCAATTGGCTGGAGATCAAGGGCCTAAGCGACTCTGCCGATGAAACTTACAAATGGGCTGTCGACATTGCTGCTTCAGCACTGCCAGCACCCGAGCAAGTCATTGATGCCGAATCCTCCATCTTGCGCGTCAACGAAGTCACTCCCCCATCCCCTAATATCCTCACAACTGCAACCGCTCTGGCCACTCACCGCGCTCGTTCCGGCAACATCACTTCCGCCCTCCCCATCTTCCTCTCTGTCCTTCGCGCCCGCCATGCCGCGCCCGTAGACATCGCTCCTCCTTCACGCTCAGAATACCGCGACTTCACCGTCTCCGATCCCACATCCACCGACATTGGCGCCTTCTTCAACATCGTCAAATCTCTCTTCACTCCCCCTACTTACCCTTCTCTTCCTCCCTCGGGCGATGAGCCTTTCCTCCGCCTTCCCGCCAACATCCCTGATTGCACCGAAGCAGAACTTATGCTGTATATCGGTGAAATCCTCTTCGCCACCGCAATACCAGGCAGAGAAGATGAAGGATTAGGATGGACGAAAAATGCTGTTGCTATTGCCGAGCAAGGTGTTGCTTCCGATGCTCTTCCTGCCAACAAGAATAAATGCAGAGCTTGTCTGGAAACTGGAATTGCCAATTGGGGTGCTATGGTAACCAAACTCCTTCGCGAAGAGACAACCAAGGGCACAACTACTTCTTCGTCTTCATTATGGGGAAGTTGGTTCGGCGGCAGTGACAAGCAGCAAAATAAGATGAGTTGGGAAGATGAGCTGAGAGCTGTCGAGGAGGTCCGCATGAATCTGGTGGCCCAAGGGATTAACAATAAGCTTGCTGCTGCTCCCCAGCGCACAGGCACTTTCATCGGATGAACGACCCATACACAATGAAGTGGATATCTGCAACATTATCACCAGAGCACCGCTACAAGGACCATGAGATATCGGTCGCACGCATCGGCATGGAGAAGATCACTCGACAGCCATGGACACCGCAAACGCTTGAAGCCCATCGAACCACCATCCGAGTCCCGGGAGGCTGTGTCTACCATCAATTCAAGGAGCAAGAGGAACACCAGCAGTCAGCTCGAGCATCTTTGACCGTGGAAGATCATCATGGATCTGTAGTCAGTCCACGATACAGTGAATACTCATCTTCGTCCGCACAGCCAGCCAGCTTTCCTTCCATACACGTTTTAACAAGCACACTTGAACCAGACATTTGCAAATATGTACAAGGTCTTGTTAAGGCAATATACAGTACCTCTCCCATAGCTTTCAAAAACCCAAACAATATAGAGTTGATGTTTGAATTTATAGGGTCATCTCCTGCTCTCCGTGCCAGCAAGATCCCACCGTTTTTCCTGCATCAGTGAAACATAAAAACAGAAAGACAAAATCTGTCAGGCAGGTTTGGACAAGAAGGACAGCGACATCATCCTCACGAGCCGATGGAAACTTTCGGTGGCTTGGATGTATACGGGTACCATACGCAGACTAAGCGTATGGGCTGGGGTATACGGTACCATACGCGCTTCCCGAACATTTATTCCCACGACATGACGAATGTGGTTTTGAAGATCCTGCTCAACGGTTGTCTTTTGTGCCAATGAGACAGATAATTGTGCGATGGAAGAATTGTTATCTGGGAAACGAATGCAAGATGGATGGTGAATTGAACAAGTTGGACGACACTCAGCTGAACTCCGAAGCTTTAGACACGCAAAACAAACGTAATCACTTCAAACAAACGCTAGCATATCTCCTACCCTCTGACAACAAGATTTCAAACACTACAGCACCGCTGACATTATTCCCAGCCCTAAAAACCCAGTCTCCCAACAGATCAATTATCCTCCGACACTTTGCCCACCCCTCCAATCTCAACACCGTCCTCCTCATCCTCCCTATCAGTCCTCCTAGTGATCCTCCTAGCAGAACAACACCAACTGATCCCTTGAATCCAAGTGACCAACCACAATCCCATTCCTATCAATGCAAAAGCCACACCCGCCCTCATAGCTTGCACACTTTGCGTAATTCTCCTATCCGCATCTTCCACAGCACCCAAGTATGCAGTTCCAAATGTCCCCGATAAAGCTGCGTATAACACGCAAAGCACCAGATCCCAGAATATCCAGCCCAATCGCTTTACCGTGAGGAAACAGTGTAATACGCAAGTTACAGCAGAGAGTAAGGCGACCACGATAGCGAAAATCCAATTCGTGCGTCCTGGCGAGTTGATACCGGTAGAGGAAGGGAAGTAAGAGAGATCGGAACCATAGATGCCGAGAAGGATTATGGAGGTGATGAATTGGAGGGTGCGGAGGGTTGCGCGCGCGATTGTGCCGGTGAAGCCTGTGGAGTGCCAGTATTGCGATATGGCGGCGCGTTTGGGGTCGGGTGGTGATGGCATGGTTGGAGTGGGGTTTTGCTTCGTATCTTGCTCAATGCTGTAATGTGTTGTTGGTTGTGATGAATAAATGCGATGGAGCACGCTGCTCTAAATCTCCTGACTGCAGGCGAGGATGTGGCCGAATTGAAGAGGTAGGAAATGGGAGAGCAAGGCCTGTGCTTGGGGAGTTGAGGTAGTCATATAGGTCTCCAGATAACGTTTTGCCCAGGGCAAAGTTTCTATTTTGGCACTTGCGCTTGAGAGTTTCATGCCGGGAACAAGACCTGCGTCACCCCCCTTTGGCTTACCATTGAGACTAGCGCGCTGTTTGTTATAATACCTTGATACTTTCCTCAACATCTGTCGTCTTTTTTTGCACTTCGCGTCCAGCGCCTCTTATCAGAATGAAAACCACAAACTCGAATCACTCAATTTATCAGCACGATGATCCTCCGCCGGCGTACGAGTCAGTGGCTCCCAGTATACCGGATGCACTGGGAGTCGGCATGCGTGACGACGGTCGCATGGACGTAGATGTGGACGGATCTCTAGGTCGACGACTTACCAGACTGGTACAGAACCACGACCAAGATACAGCACCACTACACCAAGGCGTCCATTCATTACGAGAAACAACCCCTATACTCACCTGTCCGGCAAAACTCAACATTGTCATCCACGTCGTAGGCAGTCGAGGAGACGTGCAACCATTCGTCGCTCTGGGTTGTGAATTACAGCAACAACACGGCCATCGCGTACGCATAGCCACCCATGCGGTGTTTGAAGATTTCGTGCGTAAATCCGGGCTAGAATTCTATCCCATCGGCGGTGATCCGGCAGACCTCATGGCCTACATTGTCAAAAACCCAGGCCTCATCCCAAGCATCGCAAGTGTACGAGCAGGAGATATCGGCCGTAAGAGGAAGATGCTGGCGAAGATCCTGGAAGGATGTTGGAGCTCGTGTTACATGCGGGATGAGAAGACACAACGACCATTCGTTGCGGATGCGATTATTGCTAATCCACCAAGTTTCGGACATGTGCATTGCGCGCAGGCGATGGGAATACCTGTGCATGTCATGTTCACTATGCCATGGACGAGTACAAGGGCTTTCGCGCATCCATTGGCGAATCTGAAGTACTCTTCTGACACAAGTCCGCGAATAGCAAATTTGATGTCTTACGGAGTGGTTGAATGGATGACATGGCAAGGGTGAGTAATGTTTTTGACGCTGAGGCTGCATCTCCTGACATACGAGCAGCATTGGAGATCTTGTCAATAAATGGCGGAAGTCGCTTGATCTCGAGCCGGTGCCTAGCTCGGAAGGTCCTTTGTTGTTGGAGACGTTGGAAGTACCGCATACGTATTGTTGGTCGCCGGCATTAGTACCACGGCCAGCAGACTGGCCAAAACATATAGGTATGCGTCCATCTTCTACGAAATCGTTGCAACGACTGACCTTCCAAAGACGTCTGTGGCTTCTTCTTTCGAAACCCACCTTCGTATAAGCCTCCACCGGATTTGAGCGCCTTTCTTGAAGCCGGACCTCCACCTGTGTACATCGGGTTTGGTAGTATCGTGATAGAAGATCCTGAGGCTCTGACGGATACCATACTGGAAGCTGTTCGCATGACTGGACTTCGCGCGCTTGTTTCGCGTGGATGGAGTAAGTTAGGACAAGGTCGTGATTCGGATGATACAGTGTTTTATCTTTCCGACTGTCCACACGAGTGGCTGTTTGACCACGTCGCGGCAGTCGTCCATCATGGTGGCGCCGGCACCACAGCCTGCGGTCTGAGCAAAGGTGTCCCTTCCTTTCTGGTACCGTTCTTCGGAGAGTGAGTATGTTAAGAGAATCACACTATTACCCACACTGACTTTATGGTAGTCAACCATTTTGGGGGATCATGGTTGCAGCTTCAGGAGCAGGTCCAGGGCCTATACCATACCAGTCGCTGACTGCTCTTGGACTCGCTCGGGCCATCACGAAATGCCTCGCGCCTGAGACCAGACTAGCTGCAAAAGAGGTGGCAGACAAGATGAACACCGAATATGGTGTGAGGGCAGCCGTACAATCATTCCACGCTCAGCTTCCAATGGATATGAAATGCGATGTCTTGAAAAACGAGGCAGCCGCGTGGACGCTACAAGAAAGCAGCACTACCATCAAACTATCGAAGAGGGCAGTATCTGTACTGATGCGACAGACGATGTTCAAGCCGAACAAACTCTCGCAGTGAGTCCATGTGATTTGCCGAATCTGGACTGCTGATGCTGACTTCTGAATGCAGCTATCAATCGAAGCCGATCATCATTGATCCGAAGCGATGGGAGCCCGTCTCTGCTGTCGTATCGGCTTCCCTACACACCGCTGGTGCAATGGGTCGAGCCGCTGCTGGTGTCGTATCCGAACCTTATCAGGTCTACAAGTCAAACAAAGCCTTGTCCAGTCCAGTAGAAGCGGACCCCGGCTCAAGCAAAACAGAACGACGCGAACACGAACTGCTGAGCCCAACGGCCGCAACAGCCAAGAACAATCCAGAGAATTTGGAAAAAGCACCAATCGACTCACCACCTACTGCAAACTCGCCTGATCATGTGAGTATTGAACAACATCCAGGTCTGGCGGGGGCCACCGCAGATCAGGATGACTCGAAGAACAGGACAAAACAAGTTGTCAAAGCATCCGCCAGGAACGCTGGGAAACTCCTCTTCTCACCAGTCAAAGGCATCATCCTAGACATCCCCCTAGCAGCAGTAGAAGGCATGTGGAACCTGCCCCGCCTCCAAGGCGACACAGGCTACCAACACACCGCCGTAACCGACTGGAAGACCGGCGGCAGCGTAGCAGCGAAATCCTTCATCCACGGGATCCATGAAGGCATGACGGATATCTTCATCAAGACCTACGCGGGCAAGAAAAAAGAAGGTGCCAAAGGTGTTGCCAAAGGTTTGAGTATGGGATTTGTCAATTTGACTATGAAGACTGGGGCCGGCACGTTGGGACTGATTGCGTATCCGTGTCAGGGTGTTTATAAGAGTATTCATGCGGCTATGCATACGAGGGCGAGAAAGGCGATTGAGCAGGCGAAGCTGGAGGAGGGAGAGTGGTTGGTGGAGAATCAGCTGGATAATGGTGTTGAGGTCGAAGACATTGTGCGACGATTTCTGACTGTGACACCCGGAAAGGGCAAAGGAAAGGCGTAGAACATCAGGAATCAGTGGATCTCGAGGCTCACGCGCATCAACTGATAATGATGATGATGGTGTTCATAGCTGGGAGGTAGAAAAATGCGCTGCGCGTCAGCTTTGTCCTTGCTGCGCATTTCACATTCCAGACGCGTGCCCAACAAGCCGGGTAAATCATCGTTGCAAACGCTGGTCAAGACTTCTGACCAGAACGTCTTCAACCTCAAAGCCGCGCAACAATCGATTCCCGAATTGACAATAGGCATTGTCGTAAGCCTTGTCTCTCTCTCCCTAAGAATAGGGGAAGTACACAAGTCACATAAATCTCGATGCTCGTTCTATTGTTTCAGAACTCGAATTGTGACACGAACCCCTTGTCCAAGCTCTCCTGCTTCGTTTTCCGCCGTCCCGAAGAAGTACGAGGATGATGTCTGCGCAAAGTGTACGAGTACGTCAGGAGGTGGCCATTCAACAACGGGCGCCAAAACTCTTGAAACACGAGTACATCAATACATCAACAACCATCTAAGCTTCTCGTTTGACTCGTCGATTGAGAAGGGAAACAGTTATCGATTATCGATCTGGAAGGAAGGGAAAAGGAGATTTGTCAAAAAACCTCATCTGTCTCGTTGTAATCACAAGTTGGTGGTGGCTGCGTTGTTGCAGTGATTGCGGGATTGCGATGTTACGAATTACAGGTAGCAAAAAGGGGAAATGAGACAACCGCTGTTGTCGATCGCAACGCGCAACGATTTGAGGCTTTCAAAGTTCAGGGGCGATCAATACACATACGTAGTTACGATAAACAATACAATCACATGTGAAGACAATGCATGCATGGTTTGGAGAGATTGTTTGAAGGATGAATGAAAAAAGTTGAAATTGGTTTGTTCGAAAGAGTGATATCCAAGAAGAGAATGTAAAGGGTTATGTACATGAAGCTTTGAAAGAGAGGTCGTTTTGGTTGGTTGTTGTTTTTCGGACGAAGATCCAGTCGGTCGTGAAATTGTTTCTTTCGCATCTATGAGAAGACGGTCTTGATGAAGGTGTTGTCCTGGCCAACGAGGCAGCCACCGCTGGCAGCACCGGCATACATGCCAGACTCGGCACCCTTCTGGGAAGAGCAGTTCTCGAGGGTGTAACCGAACTCGCAAGAGTCGCCAGAGTCGCAGGTGAAGACGCACTGCTCCATGTCGGAGACACACTCGGCGCCAGAGATGGACATGTTGCGGCCGTTCATGTTGACGAGACGGGAGACATCGACGGTGGAGTATTGGCCGTTGTAGGTGAATTCACCCCAAGTGTTGCTGACTTGTCCGTTGACCATCTTGGTGTCCTCGTAGAGGGCGGCCCAGCCGCCAGAGGTACCAGTAGCAGTGGAAACGTTGACAGAGCTGCCGTTGGTGATTTCGTAGGTGATCAGGGGAGCCTGGACGTTGACCCAGGAGCCGACGGGGCCCCACATGACAAGGACGAGGTCCTCACCAGACTCGTTGCTGAACTCGGTAACGTAGTCACCGTCGTTGCCAATCCAGGAAGCGTGGCCAGCATCGGCGGACTTGGCGTTCTGACCAGTCAGGCAGCCGAGAGTCTGGAGGAGGGATCCGAGGAGACCGCGTTCTTGAACGACGGGCTTGGGGATGGCGGCAGCACTGCTGAGGGCCAGGTTGGCGAGGAGAACGGTGGGAAGGTTGAAGCGCATCTTGACGGCTGATATAACGATTGTGTGGTGAAAAAAGGGTTGTTGTTTAGATGTTTTTTCGTTTGATAGTGGTGGTAAGTGAATGTGGAGCCGCGATGGCGTCGACTGGAAAACAACCAAAGGAAGGAAAAAGAGAGTGACTTGATGAGAGGAAGAAGAGTGAGAGTGGGATGGGCTTACCGTTCTTTTATGAATCTGAGCCCTTCCACTGTGTATTGATCAGTGTTTAATCAGGCCGTTTCCGCCATGCAGGGCCCATCAATTCGTGGCCCCCCCTCCCAGTGGACGTAATCAAGCCGTTTCCCATCATTTGGCGCCTCGTCAATGCGCCAGACTGGAGACAGAGATCCATGCGTTGTGGAAGAGCTGTGCTTTGCATGCAGTTTGGCTTTCACTTTGGATTTGCGTGGACCGAGAGACCCAATTTTTCTTTTCCCCAGCCAATAGGAATTCTGAATCGAGTCCGAATATCCTGTCTCCTAAAGTTCGGAACATCGTTGCTTTACTGGCGACTGAACTCCAGTCTAGAACCCGCTAATTAGGAGCGAAAGGGGGAAAGCGTCGACGGTTGCTCTGCCGCGTACACTGCTCGTGGCTTTCATATTTTTCGGCTACTTTGACGGGAGTACCTGACGATAACCAGACTTTGAGATGGATAGTTTCGACTCGCGACGAGAGACCTCGGAGCGCTTCGAGTTCTGAACGTCGCGCGACGCTGGGATCTCTTCTTGCATCCGCGTCACCATCCTTGCCTGCTGCGGACAGGCCCACACGTTGAGTGACGTTACCCCGGTTGATTGGCCAATGCTACATATGGGCTGCCTGTCCGCGGCAAGGCTGCGTTGTGAATCGATGAGAATAGGTTGCGGTGCTGCGAACTCCGCGCCGACGGCGTCAACAAAGGGCATGGATGAAGATGCATGGATTATGCATTGATAGGCTGAGAATCTTCAGGTACGGCGCCGTAGATTTTCAGGAACCAACGATGTCGCAGATTACACTTTTGCCGGAGTCCAGGCACCAAAGTTTGTTTTCCGACTTCTCTCACACAGCTATCCACACCACCACTTCTGTGACCTTCTTCGTTCACTCCAAGCGCCCTGCATCGGACATTAATACAGGTAAAGAAACTGTTCTGTGTGAGTGGGGCGTTATGTCAATATTGAAGTGCCGACTACAATTTTCACCAGCAATGGAAGCAGCCGCGCGTTGTGAAATTTTGGCAGATTGTGACAGTCGTGTACCTTGTGTTTTTCGCTGAGGACAAAAGTTGTGGTGGGCTGAAGCCTGCAATATCTGCAAGGTCATCGCACACGGATCGACCGTCATGCAAGGCCCCAGCGCTTACATGCAGTCGCACCTTCCACACGTGGTTACAATGACAGTAGATCAACACATGGGGATGGAAGACATGGAAGTCGTGTGAGCGTGAGAAAGTTCAACACATTTCACCTTCTCGAATTTCCGTTGTCGAATCTCGAATCTCCAAACTAAATCTCCAAACTCTCGAACCCAATAGTCTGGCTACTCTGCTCGAAGGATCAATAGAGCGATTGAAAACTCCTTTGTGTCTCGGTTGTGCAATCGCTTTGTGTTTAACGGCGCAACAACGATTGACTAACAGCAAGTGCATCTTCAACAAGACTTTGGACAAATCAGACAAATCGTTCAGACTTTCTGACCACTGCAGGAATGCATCACACCCTTCGGACCGCGAGTGTAGCACTTCTTTTCCGCTGACATCCTGTAATACATTTGACTTTCGGATACCTACTCGTAGCGAAGCGGCTGCCTGCAAGGACGGGATGACTGAACAGCGTGGATCCCAGGATCCTCGATTCACATGCATATTCAGGCTCGGCAAGTGAGCACAGCAACCAGCACCAAGCAAAACGCACGCGACACTCAGAACATCTCGAGCATTTTCGGCATGCCACCCGCATCAACAAACTGTTTCTTTGCCAACGCCCACCCAAACCAAAAGATGGAGTGGACATCCTCCACTTTTTCTCACACTGGCAAGCACATACAAAACCGTTTTCTCTTGGTCTTTTCGTCTACTTTTTGAGGCTGTGTAGAAGAAGACACATGGACTCCCGGAGTTGCGCAACACATTGTCTGTCGTCCACATCCCGGAATTGACCCAACAAGTCGGTACAGCCGACGGCGGGACGGTGCCTGGGTATGCAACGTGGTGCGCAAAAATCCTTGGGACGCCAACAACAATGCACCATTGGACAGCGGTTTGCCATCTTCTAGAGTACTACCATCGCACCAAGGACTCATCCACTATCTGTCCTATCGATAGGTTGGAAGCCTCTTTTCCTTTGCTTTTCTACCAGAGCTGTGAAGAATTGCCTATTCTGTATTCTGGTTCTTGACTAGGGCTGCCCTGACTTAGACTTCTGTTGAAACCAAAATGTGGAAGAAGTTTATCTCTCGTACCACGATTCTTTTACCAGGTCGAGTCTGCAGGGTCAGCTATGCGCGAGAAGAGCTGAATGCGATGCATGAACGCAAGCACTAGGTCGACGGTCCGAAGGAAGACAGAAACTTTTGCAAGCAACAGCGCAGTAAGTTCACTGCATCGGGTAAGAAACCATTGAACAGGGTGGTGTTCGTCGTCGAACCAAATATTCAAGCGAAATCGAAGTACGTGGTACCCCGAGTACAAAAATCTTAAGTTGAGAAGAGACGACTGTTCCGACGAGGGTCCGGCGCCTGAAAAACGCCATCCGTGACCCAAAAGAAAAATCGAAAAAAGCCACCAAAAATTGAAAGAGTCAAGTAAAAGTCCGCCAATCCAAACCTTGACATGTCGGAATGTTGAGTGAGTCTCTTCAGCCTTCTTCAGCCGCGGTCCACCTTTCGACCTCAGGTACTTCTTGTCGGTACTGCTCACTCACACGGTCTTCGTCTTGGCTGGCTTGGTTGCTGCTGAACGTCTGCGCTGACTTTGACGAGCGCATGGAATGACTGCGGATTGGACTGCCTAGTACGACTTTCAATTCCGTCCTCTCATCCGGCTTCGAGGGCCGAGCAGCCAATGTATACTTCTTTGCGCTGGTGAGCGCGGATTGTCTGTGGTTGAGACGGAAGCGAGGTGTTTCACGTGTGTACCGCTTTCACTCTCAAGCGACACTGCATCAGCGCGAGAGCCGTCATGTCAAACGCCAATCCCTCTGGCAGTTCTCAGGCCATCGCTGACATCTTTGCGACGACTTGATGCTCTTCATGATGTGCTCCCATGTGTACTATTGCTCTCCCTCTCTTTCTGGTTGCCCAAGTCAACTCGCAGTTGATGTATTGGTCTCGTGGCGAGCTCTTGAGCCATCGGCCGAGATGGCGCGATCATTGACACGTTATGTGAAATGAGGTCGGCATCCAGTGCTTATAGTCATCCGGAGTTGCGAGAAACTCTCACAGCGGCGTTTTGTAGATGAGCACTTCAGTCTAGAAGACACAACTGCTTGATGTCGATATTGTGTGCTTCTTTCATCTCCTCGAGTGTGCACATTCTTCCCCGCATCAATGTTCACCTTGGCTCAAGCGGATCCCAATCGCATCGCATCATGATACTACTTCTGAGCTCTTATTACCTACTCCTTTCAATTACGCATCATTTCACATTCTCAGACCTTCTGTTATGTATACAGTCTTCCAGCTATGAAGTGGTTGATTGATGTGATCTCATCGGTCGGAGCTTCAGGGCGGGCTTGTTTCTGTGACAACGCATGGTCAAAGAACTTCCCGAGGCAGCGCCGAGAGGATGATTTCAACGATCAAACCGGAGTGACGAGGCAGACATGTGAAAGAGAGCAATGGTGATGGAGATGATGAGAGATGAAGCTGTGAGCTTACGAGAAGAGTACAGAGAGGGTGGTTAGTGATCTTGTGTGAGTTTAATACTTCCACGTCCTTCGTAATGGATGCTGCTTATTTACTCCTTCTTCTCTTCTTGCTTATCCTTCTGCTAGTCCTTCTCTTACAAGTCCTGTCTCCAGTCATTCTAGACCTGTCGCTCCTGCTCGCCCGCATCTTGAGAGTCATGAAGACTAGTGTCGGACCTCCTTGCATCAAGTTGGTTCTGTGGTGTAGTTGGTTATCACTTCTGTCTAACACACAGGCGGTCCCCGGTTCGAACCCGGGCGGAATCATTCCTTTTGCTGCTTGGCAGTCATACAAGCGTATACTTTTAAACATTTGTAACGCGGTATAAACGGGCATTACTTTCTCCAGTGGACTTTCTAGATGCGAGGTATAAGTTCATCTTCACAATGCCATTCTCACGTTTATAGATACTCAAACTCCTATCTTTTCTCCTCCTCGATGAGTCTACGAAATAGCTAGTCGTAAATCGCCGAAATAATATTGGAATTAGGAAAGTCGTGGTGAGAAAATCTTTACGATACTGCGTTTTTAGTTAAGCTTGTTGAACAAAGTAACCCTGTCCTTTTTCCAAGTCGCGATGATACGCTATTGGAATCAATATATATCCATCCGCCTGGATCAAGGGTACTTTAAGATCTTTATCTACCTGTTATTGGTCTTCTTCAACTTGCTCTTATCATATTCATGTATTTTGGCAATCTATTCGAGTCATTTGACATCTTGAGTGAGTTCCACCACAATTATGACCGTACTTTCAAAACAACATTTTCGAAAACACATTCTTGCCTATAGCGATCGAAGGAAGTAACAGAACGAAATTGTTCAGAGCCCATCATCTAGAACAGATATCAAAGATATAATAGCCAGAATATGAAGACGCAAGATTCCAAGGTCGACCCGCAATACCGTCGTTGTTGCAAAAAGGGCTTGTTAGGGGTACAACCCTGATCTCAGAACCTCCATCAACACGGAACAAAATTTGAAGTTTTATCTTTCAAGACGAAATTTCTCCCAATAGTAGAGTGTGGTAAAAGCCTTTCGATATGCCCAAGAGAAAAAACTGTACATTAGAATCGAAAAAACGAGGGTATGTGTAGCGGAAAAAAAGCCAACTCCTGAATACCGGGGCAGGTGCAGAACAATGCGTGCTGCGTTGTAGCAGCAGCGTTTGCGTATGCGTTGTGTCCGTCCAAAATCAACTCCCAGAGACCTCGAGATTGAGACTCTGTCCAAAAACCCATATGTTCATGATAATCCATTCGTTCCCCTCGTGACCACAGGCGCCTAAGATGTGCGTGTTATCCTCCATCTCTTCGTTCTTTCCCAAGCTCTTTATTTTCCCTTCATCGCAATGCAATGCCAGTGCCGTTTTTGGTCCAGCGGTATAGTGCGAGAACGGTGTGTCTGCGATATTGTGTTTCTTTCTGTGGTACGTAGCGGCCTCGTGCCTGTGTGACTGCGGATCGGAGTATTTGGCGGTAATTGCGCTGTTTGGGGAAACTCGTCAGTATTGGTGCATAAACAAGAGCGGGAGGTTCAGCAGGGCAGGGCAGGGCTTACCTGATATTCAGTGTCCAATGTCGACACACAAGCCTCGGTCGCTCGAATGATGACTTCACAGGCATTTATTATTTTCGGATCCGTTTCTGTCTGTAATCGATCTACGATGAGGAGGAGTGGTAGGCTGCCTTGCAAGAGTTGTATGCCGAGGAAGTAGGGAACGAAGCCGAGATCCGGATCGACGTCTAGGATGTGAGAGACGTTGTCGGCGGCTGCAATGGCGTTGGCGATGGTGGTCGTGAATGAAGGAGTGGCCATGAAAAGGTCGCGGTCGTCGAATAGAGACATGGGATCCCACTTGCCCGCCAACAAGACGCGGGACACCTGGATGACGAGGTTGGCGTACGCGACGACGGTTTTTGTGTGGTGGATGTCTTGGTAGTCCAATGCGGACGCCTGTTGCTCGAAACGAACCAGACTTTGTGCGTAATTGTCGAGTTGTAGCAGAACTTGCGATTGCACGCGTTGTCCGTCTGTGTAGAGCTTTCCAAGCGTGTGGTGGTTTTTGAGATGGTTGTAGTCGAGTATTGTACCGACAATTGTCATCAATGGCAAGAACCAGCCATAAATGTTGTGACCAGTGCATTCGAATGATGGGAATTGTGGGCGTTGTGTGAGGGATGAGAAGTTGCCGGACTGCCATGATGCCTCATCCAGGGGCAATAGGAGGTCCTCGCATTCGGCATCTAGCAAGGCATTTTGTCGGTTGTAGCAGAGCGCCAAATGGCGATCTTGAATATACAGCAACCACCAAGTTCTCCTCCGCTCTTCGAGAGTCTCTTGGTCAACTTCAGGTTGTGCGGTATCTGCAGCATCCATATACTGTGCGAGACCATTGTCAAAGTCGAACGAATTCAATCCAAGCCAAGGGTCGCTCTCAAACTCGATCATGCTCTGGTTGTTGGCTGTTGGTGACACGCCAGGGATGGAAGAACCTGAGATGGGCTCTTTGTTCAGGCCAAGCTCTCGCGCAAGAGCAAATGCAGCATGCCACCATCTCATACTCATAGCCTTCTCCTCACTCGCTGATGTGATGGCAGCGATGTGGATGTATGTGATGACATCGTCAAGCGTGCCAGAGCTTGATTCTTGAAGTTTTCGAGTCGGCCCATCAGTCAACTCATGAACACAGCCAATATCCGAATGCACCAAGGGGTGGAGCAAGCGAATCGTGACCAGTCGCAGTTTCCTGCAAACATTGGCACGCTTCGAGTGTGACCACGACAAAGTTTCCGGACCTCCTGTTTCGGCAGCTGCCCACAGCATGCTTGCGAGAAGTGCTGGACTGCAACTTCTTGGATTCTCCTTGCTCATGACTGATGCTTTGCGGAAGACAAAAGCGTGGATGTGGCGACATACGGGATGCATGAATGTGTTGAATTGACTGGTAAAGTAGAGTTCAAGCAGACTCGCAGCCTGGGCTTCTGTCAAGATGGAAGCGACATATGGTAGGAGAGGAACAAGCACAGGGTATTTGGATTGACCAGCACCTCCTGAATTTGTCTCTGAAGCCCCGTCGTCGGCACCAAAAACTGGCGCGGCCATTGATGCGTTGAAGGCAGCGGTGCCCAGATCAATTGAGTATCGGCTGTTCCACATGTTTGCGTTGCTATCCAAAGTCACGGTGGATGCATGGCGTTCTCCCATGCTCGGGCGGTGCATAAATGGTTGCATGCCATGATCTGTGCCGAAGGAGCTGTGTCGGGCGTATGCTGATGATTGTTGCGACTGCTCGGTTAGGGCCGAGTTGGCTGTGATGGCGACGGTGGCCGGGGGTGGGGGCTGCGTGTGTTGCGGTGGTTGCTGTGTCGGGGCAGGTACGGGCGGTGCGGGCGCGGCTTCCTGCTTGTGTCCATTCTGTCGCTCAAGCAAGGCGGAACGACTGGGCTTTCCCCGCTTGTAGACTGCTCTCTGATACTCGCAAATGTCATGCCCTGCACATCTCGAGCATGGCTGCTGTCCATCACACTTGACTCGTCGTTTGTTGCACAAGTCGCACGCGCGGGTGATGCGTCGCTTCTTGCTCCTTTCGGCTTCGTCGTCCAGTGGCCCGTCTCTCTTGCGATCCGGCGATGTCGAGTCCTCGCCGGGGCTGTGGCTCACTTCGTGCGTGTGTGTCGTGTCGGGCGGGGTCGTCATCTTGTATACTTCCTCGTGCGTGGGCCGGTTGATGAGAGGGTTAAATGGAAAAACACAGCATGCTTGATCCAAGGAAAAGGATTCACATTCACACTCTCTCTCCTTCCCCGGCCCCGCCCCGCAATGACCTGGTCTAACTTTCTGGACCGCCTCAAGCCCTCTCCCTCTACACGAGCTGCGGGGCAAAGACAAGCCACATGAGCTGTGCGTCCCTGCATTTGGAGATTGCTACCGAGGTTTAACTGGAATATCGTTGCTCAGATGACCGCAATACACCAACCAGGGACCTGAATCCAACTGTCGCATCTGTTTCATGGCGTTTCCACACGGCCTGGCCTTTGGTCACAGTCTTCTGCTTGATGGTCGCTTCGTCTTGGACGGGGATTTTCATGACCGACAGCATCCACGCGAACCGTCTTCTTCGGTCTCGGATGCGGCTTTACGAACTGCTCGGAGAGGTCCCGAATCCACCGCTCGCCTGTTGGAAGATGAATCTTTCGAGGATTCCACTCTCACACGTTCAAGCCCTAATCACGCCCTAGACAAATACATTGCCATCACGTAGTGACGCCTATTACTCCTCTATCAAGCAGATGGCGCATGATATCCTCAACATCGCCGACATGCCACCGACTCCATCATACCTGCTTTCCCACGGAGGCCCCGGAAGTGCCCCGCTTCGCATCCTTCTCCAGTTCGCGATCAAAGCAAAAGATCCATTCCATCAACTTTGCTGTTGAAGAATAATCTCTCCGCAAGTCGTGCCGACGTGGACGACAGACATGTTTGCGACAATGTATTTTTGTACAAGACAGATCTGCAAAAGACCCCGTTGGTAGTTTCGTGGATGCTTCGCTAATCTCTATTTTCCTTAACCTTGTGCTTCCTTCCCATTGTTATTCCAAACAAATCCCAAGAACCACAATCTCGTGCCTTGCAAAGCCATTTCCTTGGGACAAGCGACAGCGCTATACTCTTGCACTTCTCCAAGGCTAATCTAGTTATGGCAACTATTCCACCACATCCAGAACTTCTGACCGCCTTTCCTTGACACTCTTGGGACTTTGTCAAACTTCATAAAACTACGCCGGACACGCGAGGAAATGTGGCACTTGCACACCTCTCCACCCCGCTCCCCCTCTTCTGCCGCCTTCGGCTACACACCCGTTTCCCGTGCCACCGTGCGCTGCAAACCATTTGCAAACCATTTTCTCCCCTCCAAACGCACGGTCGTCCTCCAGACGGAAAAGGTAAAAAAGCGAGATTGGATTTTCAAACAGCGACTTCGCTTTTGCTTCCTCCAGTACTGCTTACGCTTACAGAGTATATAAACGAGCTGACGGGAGCAATCTTCATCAATTCACCACAATTGATCAGGTCTCGTGGTCTAGCGGTATGATACTCGCTTAGGGAGATGCAGCTTCATGCTGTTTCTTGAAAACTCTAAGCCAATTGCGAGTGGTCCCGGGTTCGATTCCCGGCGAGACCCCATCTTTTGCTTGTTCTAGCATCGTTTTTGGTAGTGGGAGTGTGAAAGAGGTGGTGAAGTTATAGGAAGTCTCGAGATTTCTTGATTTTTTGAAATTTCGAATTTTGAATAATTATCCTTAGCGGGTGGGTATATATGATTGTATATAGCAGGACAAACACGTATCCGGCGAGACCTCATCTTTTGCTTGTGATGGCATCGTTTTTGGTAGAGGGAGGAAGTATGGAAGTGGTGGTGGAGTTTTGGGATTTTCGAATTTGAAATTTCAAATTTGAATATCCTTGGCGGTTATGGGTAGGTACTTATAGCAGAACAAAGAACTTTATGGCGAGACCCTATCTTTTGCTTGTTATGGCATCGTTTTTGGTAAAGGGAGGAAGTATGGAAGTGGTGGTGGAGTTTTGGGATTTTTGTATTTTTCCAATTTTTGAAATTTGGCTATCCTTGGCGGGTGTAGGAAGGTGCTCATGGCAAGAGAAAGACCTTTGTTCCTGGCGAGACCCTATCTTTTGCTTGTCATAGCATCGTTTTTGGTGGAGGGAGTGTGAAAGAGGTGGTGAAGTTTTGGGAAATTTTGACAATTTAGGCAGGAGCACTTTTGGTTAGGAAAGAGTATTTTACACCTTCTCCTTTACAACGACTCCCGGCGAGACCCCATCTTTTGCTTGTTATGGCATTGTTTTTGGTAGGGGGAGAGTAGTGGTGAAGTTTTGGGATTTTTGAGACTTTGGAAAGTCGGATTTTGGATCGTTTGGCGGGTGTAGGTAAGTGCTTGCAGGAGAAAGACGTTTATTACTTGTAACGAGAGCATGTGTCTATGTCGAAGGAGTCCTAACTTTAGCTATGCAGAAAGAGGAGTGGGAGGAATATGAGCCTTTTGGAATTTTGAACTTTTGAAGTTTTCCTTGCAGCAAGCAAGGTATTTAATACCTACCTCTTCTTGCTATACTAATAATCCTTCGAGAAGTACGTCTCGCATGAGTATTCGATTGCCTGGACGCTGCTTGTCTATATTCTTGTCGACAACAATTACGCGACAGAAGGAGTCTGCGTATTTTAGATGCGAATATCGATGCTGCGACCGGTCACGAGGATATTGTTTTAGTCTATCATCGCTGGCTGAGCATATGCTGACTGGGATCTCAGGCTTGACGTCTTTGCATAGAAGCTAAGACGTGTACTCAATTGATGTGGTTGATACTCGCTGCGGCGACGTGGAGCTGGGTTTTGTTCGGGGATGACTTGGATGCTTCGAAGACTTTGCGGTACTCGAGGTAGATGGATGAAGATGGCTCCTGCCATGGAGCTAGGCAAGCTTTGAGCATTTGTGTCCGTAGTATTCTGAAGTTGAAAGTTGAGAACCGCCGAAACCGACGATTGGTAAAATGCCAGATGTGAGATGCAGTCTCATTCGACTCGGACATTTGGTGCTTTGTTAGTCGCGATTGATTGTGATCCAAGAGCAGCGATGAGTAGAAGGTCTGGTGTAGGTCTTGACACTTCATGGGGAACCTTTTGACATCCGGTTAGCGTAAGCGCAATTCCGGGGGAGTTTCAATGGCAGAAGTGGGGGAACTCACCAATCAAACATCTACCAGCGTGTCTTCTTGTCAATCAAGACACAGGTAGGAGCCAAGGGACAGGATAAAGACGTAACACACTCGCCAATCGGGACACTTACCGTCTGTCTTCCATGATCCGTAGCGTGTGATCAGCCAAGAAGTGATTTCTGGCCGTAGAAGTGATTGCGAGACATTGATGAATCTCACTATAAGAGGCAGATAACATTGGTCCGATGCATGTCCGGATACGCCCAGTGCAAATAAGCTCGAGGCAGTAGCTACATATCAAGGGAGTGGATATCCTACCCCTCAATTCGCGAACCTTGTGAAGCCCAGGTAGCTTGAGATATATTGAAACTCCTCATGGGCCGACGTTGTAGCGGCAGAATGCTAGTGCATGGAGACAGTATGATTAGGAACAGGCACCTGCCCTTCATGAGAGAGTCGAGTCTTAGTAACACCTCCCTGACGAAGGAGTGAGGGAGTCTGGAGAGCTGAGGTGCTACTGGGGTAGTTACAGCCACGAGCGCAAACGATTTCCCAATCCGGTCCTGTTACTCGGGAGGCCTTGAGGATTTCGACATAGATCCGAGTTCACAGCGAGAATTGATAACAGTCTTTGAGATGCTCGGCTTGAGTACACATGCGCTCGTGACGCCATTGCAGTAGCGTGCGCAACTCTTGTCCACGAAGCAGAGGTGCCACAACTCGTGATGTTTGCGATACGGAATCCAGGTTTCGTAGACAGCAGAGAATGCTAAGAATCCTGCTGAATCATGGCCCTGGTAGATTCCTGCATATCCGAGAATGCCGAAAGATTGAATGTAACCAGCCCCGGTATGATCATCATCGCTGAGACTTTGGACCAACAGAACCTTTCACATCCTCCGGCAGTAGTGGGATTGTTAATCTCTAGCTGAAAGTGGTATGGACAATACCGCCTGGATGAAAGCATCGTGTGGTCAAGCCGATAATAAAGCCTCGTTCGCTGAGGGTCAGATGTGCGCAACGTGTCTCCACACTCAGCGCTTGTGCTAGAATGTTCTTACCTCTGATGTCTTGCAGGTTGTATTAGCCTTCATGAGGAAGTGGAGCAGAACTCGTGTTCACTTGGTATTCCTGATTCGTGAACTTGTGGCTTCCGCCCGCGAATTCGCGGCATTCGGACATCCGATATTCTTAAGTCCTTCTGATGGTCGATTCAAGGCCAGCTGATACCAAGCACGCCCGTTTGATGAAGGATTGAAATGCATCGCAGAAGAGTATCCCAGCCCGGGGCGCCAGTTGCAAGACCACGCAGAGTCTCTTACCTTTCATTCGAGGTCTGTAAACATCGCGATGAAAGCTGATCCTGATATGCTCAGAACATCCGGACGAGTAGAAGAGGCCATCCTTTGACGCTCCGCTCTTCTGCAAACCTCACTTATAGACACGTGAGGACTTCCACATATCTTTCCAAGAAACACGAGCAGTGAGCGAAAAATTGATTTCCGAAACACTTGCAATGAAGCATGGATCCCGCAAGTAATGTACGTTCCAAAGATCAGTCGTCCGATGAGGCGGAGTTTCGCGGGCAGCGTATGGAGTGCTATGGTATCGCAGAGACGTCTCGGGAGCGGTCGAGTACGGACGAGCTGGTATGACAAGAAAGTACAGCGGATCTGGAAATGATTGGAGAAGAACAGAGTGATAAGAAAGCAGACATGAACAAAGCTGGCATCGACTGCTATGGAACTCGACTTGTCAGCTCTCTTATTACTCAGTGTACAAGTATTCATCCATCACGTAGATGGAGTGCGCGCAATGCGCCTGATGCTAGGGCGTGGATTGGTCATGTTGGTTGTTTGATGCCGTGTCGCTTCGAGTGCATCAACAATGTAGACATCGCTTGGGCGTGGCTTCGATGGTCTGCCGTTGGTCGCGTTTGGAAATTAGGAGATGAATGTTCCGTCAAATTTCTTGGTTTCGAAGCATCGCCTCTATTTTTCGACGTCAGAGTCGAGTCTTGAAGGCGAGGCGGTGTCTTGTTGTTTTGCAAAGAAGTGGGCTCCGAGCGCAAGAAGGACGACCCCGCGGCCGAGGATTTTCCTCTGCGCTTTCCAGAAAAAAACTTCGCAAATTCTCTCGAAATCTCGAACACGAATGTTGTTATTTTCACAATTTTCAATACCTCCATCTCATCAGATCAGTCATCCACCTTCGTACCACTGGCCAATTGGAACTGCTACGTCGGCCATCTCCGTGGGGAATAGTTCATCCATGTTAACGGCCTTCCGACAAGCTATCCCCGAACGGTTCGACGGCAGCCGCCGACGTCAAAGTGTTGGGCCAAGGCGGGCAGGCTAAGGCGTGCGAGTCTCTGGAGCCCCGCATCTTCTGCTCACGCGGAGGTACCCTGAGACCTTGCGTTGCTGGATGTTCTTGCCTCTTGCAGCGCTTGTTCTAACCTGGCCTTGATCCTGCGCAAGGCTGTGGTGAAGCCGCTGTTGTTGCTGCTGCATGAAGATGGTGATGATGTACGTGGAGAAGCCGTGCGGTAGTTGAAGCGCCTCCCCGTGATGTCGCAAATACTGAGATAAACGGTACGCCCTTCCGGGCTTAGCGGCCAAGTCGCATCCAAAGGGCGTGAAGGGAGCTCATTCAACCAAGCCGTGTCAGATCCACTTCTCTGCGGCAAATTGACGAATTTTGTTGGTCGAAGAGTCTTGCTGGGAAGGCGAAAAAGAATAGGTGTCAGAAGACTGGATTCTAATCGACATCTGTATGAGGTAAGGGTTTCCACTCCGCTATCATGCATACTGATAACAGCCAATTCCTCGGCGTAACATTTCGAATCCTTCATGCAAACTGCCATGATCTGCCATACAGAATTCTGGGTTTAGCAAGGTTCGGTAAAACAAACAACCCCAGGATGGCCACTAGGCTAGCGAACCAAGTATCCAGATCTGGGTTTGAGTGGGTTTCTTCGCCCCATCAAGTAGCGTTATTACGAGCGGGAATCCTTGCCATCAAGTGGCCAAGAACGCGCCTGGATCAAAAGAGGCCCTTTCAGTATTTTTCTTGACTGGTCATCAGAAGTATTTGTATCGTGTGCCCGCCCGGAATTTTTCTTGTTACACCCGCTGGCCTATTTTCTTGGACGACACTTTTTTTACTTTCTAGGTACCTACTTCATCGCCAGTCATGCCGTTCTGGGACAAGAACGAAAAAGTCGGCGACTCTGTCTCGCAGTCGCCATCAGACCCTTTCCACCGAGACTCAACTGAGCATGGAGAAGTTCACTCGCAATCAGACCATCTCCAACGCCGTCTAGGCAACAGACAGATTCAATTGATCGCAATTGGTGGTTCAATCGGAACAGCGCTGTTCGTGTCCATTGGTGGTGGTCTCGCCCGCGGTGGACCTGGCAGTCTGTTCGTCGCCTACTTCATCTACTCTTGTTTTCTCGGCCTGGTCAACAACTGTATCGCGGAAATGACGGTTCTTTACCCAGTCGAAGGTGGCTTCATTCGCCTCGCCGGCCACTTGGTCGACGAAGCGTTTGGCTTCATGGCTGGGTGGAACTTCTTCCTCTATGAAGTCCGTTGGAATTCTTCCCTGTGTATGAATGGTTCACTGACAGACTCCAGGCGTTATTGATTCCTTTCGAAATTACCGCTCTCACTACTGTCCTTGGATATTGGAGTGACAACATCCCGCCATGGAGCATCCCAATTGCTTGCATTGTGAGAGAGCACTGCGAACTGTGTTGTACTCTCTGAGCTGACATCTCGTCTAGGTCCTCTACGGGTAAGACTTCCTATGCGACAACCCCCTTGCGACTTTTCCTATCCTACGCGACTTTTTCTGCCGAGCGCCCTTTCCTTTCCTGGAGAAGTCCCTCGCACCCATTTTCTTTGCCTTGCACCTTTTTCCTTGCGCCCAAGAAAGACCGGTTTATCTTACCGCCCCTGCGACTATACAATCGTGACGGATTTCTTTGTGTCATACCCTTGCGACTTGCGCCCAAAGCAACTTTTTGCGCTCAACCCTGCCTGAGCGCCCGAATGTCCTGATTGCTGACATGTCATTCTAGTCTTCTCAATGTCCTCGCTGTCAAGGCTTATGGCGAAGCTGAATTCTGGCTCTCCGGCGGAAAGGTCATTCTGATTTTCTTGCTGTTCGCCTTTACCTTTGTTACTATGGTTGGTGGAAACCCTCAACACGACGCCTATGGATTCCGTAACTGGAACGATGGAGCATTTGCAATGTACAGAACCATGGGTACACTCGGTCGCTTCGAAGGTTTCTGCGCCGCCCTCTGGTCAGCCTCTTTCTGTGTCGTCGGCCCAGAGTATATCTCCATGGTGTCTGCTGAGGCCAAGCGTCCCCGTACCTACATCAAGACTGCGTTCAAGACTGTTTACTGGCGTTTCGGAATTTTCTTCATCGCTGGTGCTCTTTTCGCTGGTATCGTCGTTTCTCACACCGACCCTGAGCTCGTCGCTATTGTTTCTGGTACTGGAGAGGGTGGCGGTACCGCTGCCGCTTCGCCCTATGTCATTGCCATGAAGAACATGGGAATTGTCGGTCTTCCTCACTTCGTTAACGCCCTGCTGGTCACCTCAATTTTCAGTGCTGGTAACACTTACACCTACTGCGCTACCCGCAGTCTTCACGGTATGGCTGTCGAGGGCCGCGCTCCTGCTATTTTCCGCAAGTGCACGAAGGGCGGTGTCCCGATCTTCTGTTTCATCTTCGTCATGTGTTTCCCATGCTTGGCATTCCTCCAAGTCAGCAGCGGTTCCAACAAAGTTCTCACCTGGTTGGTCAACTTGATTACCGCTGGTGGTATTATCAATTACATCGTCATGACCACTACCTACATCTTCTTCTGGCGTGCTCTCAAGGCTCAGGGCGTCGACAGAAAGCTCTTGCCTTACTGTGGTTGGTTCCAACCTTGGTCCGCATACATTGGACTTGCCTGGATGATTATGATTGTCACCTGCTACGGCTATACCAGCTTCGCACCGTGGTCGGTCCAAAACTTCTTTATCTATTACACCATGATTCTGTTAGGTGAGTGCGCTGCGGAGGTGGTCGTCGTCGAGGAGACCGAGAAAAAACAAAAATCTGAAATTTCTAAATTACTAACAAAATTTCAGCGATTGTCACATTTACCTTCTGGAAGGTCTTTAAGAAGACCACCCTCAGGCGTCCTCACACCACCGATCTCGTCTGGGAGCGTCCCGCCATCGATGCCTACGAGGCCTCCTTCCTCGACCCTCCCAACAGCTTCTGGAACGAAATGCTGGGTCCCCTCAGAAAGAACAAGGGCAGCGATCGTCAAGGCAGCGATTCTGGCAACTACTCCGGTATGGAGTAGATGTCCACCGCGGATATTGCATTATATCATGACAGCCTCTGTGCTATGAACATATTCCTTGTATCAGCATAATGTAAAATGATGACAGGCCCAAAAGCTATTTTTTCCTCCAAAGATTTTTGATCGCGTCATTTCCCTGAATATCTCCACTCTGTCATCAGGTATCGTCTCAACTCTCTCTCTCAGCTTGCGGTGATGCACCCTGATGCATCCATCCAAATGCACAACGCTTTTGAAATGGGGTGCACCATCCACCGAGGACAAACAACTTTCGTCCAACTATCTCCCCCTCTCCTGCAAGGCTACTGACATGGCTGTCTGTCAAAATGCAAGATGATGTTGACATCGGTCAGATTGCCCAGAGAGAGTACGCTGAAGCACTTACTCCATCTGGTCACGCTCTCAATTATCAAAACTTCTTGCAAAGTGACATGGCAATGTAGTGACTAATTCACCCTTGAGCAGGTCGAGATAAACTTTCTGCCTCCAGGCGATTTTCCTGACTTCTAGAAGCGCAGCTCTCCGACCAGACTTCACCTTTGTCGCTCCTGACATCTATCTCCTAGACCCGGAAGTCTTCGCGCCAAATAACGTCTTTCTACCACAAGAAGCGAGCTCCAATCCAACACCGTCCCGCCAGTCCGGAGTTTCGACGCTGGGGGTTGCATGGAATTGAGAAGTTCAGGTATGCGAATAATGAAATTAGATGGAAGAACTATCATCTAGCGCCTAACTGGTAAGATGTTGCAAAACAAATAGCTCGCCTCCATCAAGATGTTTAAGCAAAAGAAGAAGAGGACGACAAAAACAAAGCAAAACGTACAGCAGCAGGGATTCCCACGTGGTCACCCACCGTAGTACTAATCTGCCGTTCAACTGCTTATGTATGGCAGAGCGGACGGGATGCCCAGTTTTCAGCTGACTGTGGCCGTACGTGCTTGAATAGCAAACGGATGGCTTCATCAAGAGGTCCACGTCCATGTGTCGTCCAAGGAATGGCAAGCATCTTTGGCGTGAACATGTACTTCCAACCACGTCGCATCGACATGAAAGCCGGCCATCTGTCCTACCTCAATCGCATGGCAAGGCGCAACCCTCTTGTATCAAAGAGAAACGATTGAGTATCGTGGCCTGGACGCCAACTCGTAGCTCTTCCTGACATCCTGTGATTCTCTGCTCTTTCAAAAGGACGGCGCCGAGCGGCGTGGTGATAGCGATGCTCCTGTCTACGTTCGCGTCGGGTCTTTCTCAAGTTCCCCGTACGTTTCCAGATCGATAGCGACAAGTGTTATACGGTGATGAGCTCAGGCGGGCTGTCTTCGTTGTTCATCGAGGCGGTACGGTCGCATTCTTCGTTTGGTCGCAGTCATGTGGTGACCGGAACCGCTGAGTCTTATGTTGGCAAGAGCTCTCGGGTAGTTCTTGGGTTGATGCGATTGTCACCCCTAGTCATTTGCATCTAGCTTCCACGACATTGACATGCATCGCAAGACAGGAAGGAGCGAGGAAGTACATTGGAAGATGCCACGAATCTTGGGACGAATCTCATGATGCTGCCAAGCGTCATTCTGCCCCGCCCGCGGACTTACCGCCCGTGCCCATCAATGTTTTCTCCCTGTCGCTCCTGCTCTCTTTACCTCCACGGTCGGCATAAACACCTTCAATCGTGGTCTTTCTTGTTTGTGTCAAACGGATTCATCAGCGTCTTCTCCTGTTCTTCATCATAGCCCCAAGCACGGATAGATTCTTTGTGCTCCTCTCAGCAATTTCGGCCGAAACCAGACCCACAAAGTTTTAGGAAATTGTTGCATGAAATGTAAACGGAAATGATGCTTAAATCCGCCGATGACTTAATGCCATCCCGGAGCTTGAGGGGTAGCTCTACCTCCGGACCTTGACAATATAAAATGTAGCACTCCTCTTTTGGATTGGATCGGTTCATCTCTGCAACAAGCAAACTCCCTTCTCGTCTTTCATCCAACAACACTCAAATCATCATGTCTCTCTTCGAACCCGCACCCGAGCCAGCCACTGAGCTCGGCAGACTGCGCATCCTGTCTTCTACCGCTGGTGTTCGTGTCTCTCCCCTCCAGCTAGGAGCTATGTCGATTGGTGATGCATGGTCCAGCTTCATGGGTAGCATGGACAAGAAGCAGTCATTTGCTCTTCTCGATGCTTTCGTGGAAGCCGGTGGCAACTTCATTGATACCGCCAACAACTACCAAAATGAGCAGTCTGAGCAATGGCTCGGCGAGTGGATGAAGGAGCGTGGCAACCGTGATCAGATGGTCATCGCCACAAAGTTCACTGTACGTGCAACCATTTTCTGTATTTGTGCATTTGCTGACGTTTCCATTACAGACCGACTACAAGGGCTACGCTCTGGGCAAGGGTAAGGCTGCCAACCACTGTGGTAACCACAAGCGGAGTCTGTTCATGTCCGTCCGTGATTCTCTAGCCAAGCTCCAGACCGACTTCATTGACATCCTCTACCTCCACTGGTGGGATCACACCACTTCCATCGAGGAGATTATGGACTCTCTGCACATCCTTGTCGAGCAAGGCAAGGTCATGTACCTCGGTATCTCAGACAGCCCCGCATGGGTTGTGTCAGCAGCAAACTACTACGCCAAAGCACACGGCAAGACCCCCTTCTCCATCTACCAAGGCCGGTGGAACATCATGCTCCGTGATTTCGAGCGCGAGATCATCCCCATGGCCCGTCACTTCGGTATGGCTCTCGCCCCCTGGGATGTCCTCGGTGGCGGCAAGTTCCAAACCAAGGCTGCCATTGAAGAGCGCAAGAAGAACGGCGAAGGTCTCCGCAGCATGATGGGAGGCGAGCAAACGGAAGAGGAAGTCAAGATGTCGGCCGCTCTGGAAGAAGTCGCCAACGAGCACAACGTCTCCCTCACAGCCGTCGCACTCGCCTACGTCATGTCCAAGACCATCAACGTATTCCCTCTGGTCGGTGGCCGCAAGGTCGAGCATCTCAAGGACAACATCAAGGCTTTGAGCATCAAGCTGTCAGACGAGCAGATCAAGAAGTTGGAAGGTGTCAAGTCTTTCGACCCTGGATTCCCCAACACCTTCATCGGCGAGGATCCCAAGATCTCTGGACAGCCCAACTTCTTGCTCGGTGCCTCTGCCTCGATTGCATGGCAGAAGGCAGCCAAGCCTATCGGTCACGAGTAAACGATATAGCTTCGAAAAGTTACCATCTAATGAAAACATACTTACGTTCATGACCTTTGTCTACGATACCTGTGAAGCCATGACTGATGTGAGTGTTGCGCTTCAGTGACCATATACCCAGTGTCGCTTAGGTGCTTCATGCTTTTCTTGTTTTCTATTGCTTGGTTGCTTCACTCTTTTCTTATCCACTGTCCATTGCTTGTTTTGCTTTGAGTTTCCACACAAACCGGTCTCACCAACTTTTCTTGCGAGCGTTCTGCCCACCACGTGACAGACACCCACTTCATCTTCGTGTCTTGCGTTCAACAACAGAGTGGTTAACATGCTCACTGGAAACTACACAGGGACGCGCTGCATGTAAGACCGATATTCTTTACCTTGACGGACGAAAAGATGGCGCTGGTGATGCAAGAGCAGGGTCATACCAGCTTTGGAAGGTCTTGGTCGTTTTGGAGTTCCGACTTGTGAGATCATGCAACAACATTGACCTGCTCCAACGATCAAATGTCAAGGCCGAGGTAACACAATATCCTGCTATCGTGTTTCACATCAAAAGGACCTCGTGCAGGTCGCACAGAAATTGCGACTTTTCTCGAACCACTGTGGCTGTTGATTTTCTACAGGGCGCAATTTCCCAAGGACCGGAAAGCGCGGTTTCCGTGGGGCTTTCCCTTTACGGAACCATCACAAACTTTCCCCTTTCTCTATAAGACCAACCGCATTCGCGCCAATTGCGCCATGATTTTGCAGTTGCTTGAATATATCGTTGGATTTGCTGGTATCATTGCGCTTTCGGTGTTGTGTTTGCATCATGGCCGCCATATCTCCTCGCAGGTTTGTTTACCGTTTGTTTTGTGCCGGTGATTGAATGCGATGAGCTGATTGTGGTGTATAGCATTGCTCGGGACGGATTGAGTAAGCCTGTTCAGGATGAACGTTCGCCTCTTGTCTCGGTCGCGGAGACCTCGGAGCCGGAAAACCATACCGTCGACAACAGTGGTGAACGCGAATTCGGAGGTGCCGTCGGCGTGAGCGCGATGATGATTGGATTTCCTCTTCTCATGTACTACATGTGGATCGGTGCAACTTTTTACGATGGTCATATTCCTACTCGCGAGCCTGGACAATCCTGGAGCGCATTTTTCAACCATCTCTTCGACCTTTGTTACGAGCATGCATTCCCCCACGTCAAGGCTTGGACTATCTACTGGACGTTCTTGATTTTCGAAGGCGCTTGCTACCTGTACATGCCTGGTGTCTATGGTAAAGGCAAGAGATTGCCAAGTCTTGGAGGCAAGCAGTTGGAATACTACTGCTCAGCCGTGTGGAGTTGGTACACGACTATCATTCTGGCCATCGTTCTTCATGTCTCTGGATTATTCCCTCTTTACACTCTCATCGATGAGTTCGGAAGCATCATGAGTGTGGCTATAATCTCTGGTTTCTTGGTCTCCATTATCGCCTACTTCTCCGCTCTTTCCCGCGGCGCCGAACATCGCATGACTGGCTCTCCCATCTACGACTTCTTCATGGGCGCAGAATTGAACCCGAGATTGTTCACTTGGTTGGATTTCAAGATGTTCTTTGAGGTTAGAATTCCTTGGTACATCTTGTTCTTGACCACACTGGGTGCGTGTGCGAGACAGTACGAGAAGTATGGTTACGTGTCTGGAGAAGCCTGGTTCTTGTTAATGGCGCATTTCTTGTATGCGAATGCTTGCTCGAAGGGTGAGGAGTTGATTATTACCAGCTGGTACGTTCATCACTTTCAATCTCCACACCGCCCTGCAGCCTGTGGTGGCAGCCTGGAGTCTGACATTTTGCTAACCTTGTTCTCCAGGGACATGTACTTCGAAAAATGGGGCTTCATGCTTATCTTCTGGAACCTCGCTGGTGTACCTCTCTCCTACTGCCACTGCACTCTTTACATCGCCAACCACGATCCTTCCGAATATCACTGGCCAACCTGGGCTCTTGTGCTTCTGTTCATCACTTACTTGTTCGTCTACTGGATCTGGGACACAGCAAACAGTCAAAAGAACATGTTCAGAGCGCAAGAAAGAGGTGTCGCTCTCAACAGAAAGACTTTCCCCCAACTACCGTGGAAGGCTGTTGAGAATCCTGTGTTCATCAAGACAAGAACAGGCGATTCGATCTTGTGCGATGGGTGGTGTAAGTTTTTCTCCTCTGTTTCTTCGTACAGTTTTCTCCGAATATGTCCTGACGTTGCTCATCACAGACGGCAAAGCCCGCAAGATTCACTACACCTGCGACCTCTTCTTCGCCCTCTCGTGGGGTGCCATCACAGGCTTCCACTCACCATTCCCTTGGTTCTATCCATTCTTCTTCTCATGCATGATTGTGCATCGTGCCATCAGAGATATCCAGAAATGTAGAGCCAAGTATGGAGATGCGTGGATGGAGTATGAGAAGAGAGTGCCATGGTTGTTCATTCCAGTAAGTTATCCTCGAACCAAATAACGATGGGTTGAGCTGACAAAGTATGCAGTATGTCATCTAGGTCGTCGATAAAGAAATGGGTATTACTGATCAGGAAAAACGATAGACGGTGTAAGCAGATTAATGAACCAAAGACCGTTGACGAAGCTCTCAAGGACCATCACCAGCAAGAGAACTTATCAACATCTATATCTCCAAGTTCCAAAAAGTGATGATGCTGCAGCACGTGCCGCGAGTTCCGGCAGAACGATTGTCGTCGTAAGCCTGTCGATCACATGACCCCATGGGGCTCGCAGACTGCCATACATTTTCCTGGGGCGAACAGTTTCCTCTCAACGGCACTTGCATTGTGGCTAATGACGTTGAGAATTATACTGAACCTATTTTTCCATCCAAAACTACATGAGGCTTAGCCTTGAGACGCACACATTTCTCCTGTCGCACTGCTGTACAGCAATCGCGCGGAAAACCTGAACGAGAATGTTCATCTGCGAGGAATGTACAGAGCTTCAGGGCAGTACTTTTGAAATTGCTGAAGATGTCAACGAGTGAACTTCCCCAGCCGCGGAATTTTCTGAAAACAGACTTGCCGTCGTCTCTGTCGTCGTAAGCATATCGATTCGGATAGGCGGCAGCTACCAGCCATGCATCGTCATCGCCTTACCGGCCACAAACAAGAAAGATCTGAATGCTTGTCGATGCTTAGCATTGAGGTTTACGCTGACTACCCCGTACCTTTATTGACATCCTCTTGACTTCTAACAACACGTTCAACCGTTATCCTCTCTGTCCATGGCGTTTTTGAAGAAATATGTCAGGCTGTGCCTTTGCACCATCTTACTCTCAGACTTCACCAACGCTGTAACTCTCGACATCACAGACGCAAGTACGAACAACCTTCGCAAGACTCCTTGAGGTACGCTTTCAGAAGCTGATAATTGCCAGCTTCGATACGCAATGCATCAAAAACTGTCGCGCAAGGCTTGATGGCTTGGTACGCCGGAAACGACACTGGAGGCACGCCTGGTATCTTGCCAGGCCCCTATTACTGGTGGGAAGCAGGAGGAATGTTCGGCCACATGATCAACTACTGGTACTACACCGGAGACGACTACTACAACTCGATCGTTTCTACGGCCATTCAATTTCAGGTCGGCACAGGCGACGACTTCCTACCAGCAAACCAGACAAAAGATGAAGGCAATGATGATCAGGTCTTTTGGGCATTCACAGCCATGGACGCCGCCGAACTCAACTTCCCAGAATCTACGGTCGAAAATGCGCCTTCTTGGCTTTCTCTGGCACAAGCAGTATTTAACGAAATGGCTGGACGATGGGACACTAGCACCTGCGGTGGTGGTCTTCGTTGGCAGATCTACACCTTCAATGCAGGATACGATTACAAAAACTCGATTTCGAACCTGGGTCTGTTTCAGTTAGCCGCGCGTCTGGCTCGATACACGAATAACGCGACTTATACCGACTGGGCCGAGAAGTCATGGCAGTGGTATGCTGACTCTTCGCTCTGGGATGTTGAGACATATCAAGTCTTTGACGGCACGAGTACGGACGACAACTGTACTTCGGTGGACCACTTTGAATGGACATACAACTATGCAGCTGCGATCAGCGGTGCAGCATACATGTACAATCATGTCAGTCCTGCCTAACCAGTCTTATAGAACTTTACCGCTAACATGTTTGCGCTTCAGACCTCGGATCAAAGCTGGCTAGACATCGTTGAAGGCCTCCTCAACACCACATTCACCACATTCTTCCCCACCACAATGGGCGACAAGATCATGGTAGAGATCACTTGTCAACCCCTCGGCAACTGCGATACAGATCAGTTGTCCTTTCGCTCCTATCTCGCCCGCACGCTGGCGGTGACCACACAATTGATACCTTCTCTGCACGAGACCATCTACCCCTACCTCCGCGCATCAGCCCAAGGCGCCGCTGCCCAATGCGATGGCGGTAATACTGGCGCAATCTGCGGCATGGAATGGAACACCACGATTTGGGATGGAACGTATGGCGTCGGACAAGAGATGTCTGCTCTTGCGGTTATTCAATCGTTGATGCTGGATACGCAAGATGCTGCATTTGTTGCTCCATTGACAGCATCTACGGGTGGTAATAGTACGAGTAATCCCAGTGCTGGTACAGGAAGTAGTAGTTCTACATTTGAGCCTTCTATTGCTACCAGACAGATCACTACTGGTGATAGGGCGGGGGCTGCGATACTGACGATCTTGATCTTGGGGTCGATAATTGGGGGGTCCATTTGGTTGATATGGGATTAAGCGTGACTTACCAACAGGAATGAAGTCATGTTTGGGGGTAGGGAATAGGATGTTATCGCAATGAAATGAATTACGAAAGCGCAGTCTTCGCGGATCCTTCCTTGAGCATCTCGTCAACATCTGGATATTGCACTTGTTCTTAAGCATCTGAATCTCCGCATCTTATCTGATCCTGTGGTAGTGACCCTGGTCTTGTTCCCCCTATCGCAAGATTTAAACTTTGTTGATGCCGAGGTGCGACAACGTCCAAAAAACGGTTTCGTCCTCGCCTACGGCTTTGTTTACACGGTGCGAAGAAGCTGTACGATAGATAGCTCGCATCGATGGCTCTTCCATTCTCAATTTTGTCGGCTCCTCTACTCAAGCACAATTTCTTCAGTTCGGAACGGCGGAAACTTTGTATCGGTACTGCGTAGACTGACATGGTCCACATCCGATACGTCGCTTGCTCACCAATCAATTTCGACTTGACGCGCAATGGTCAACGATGGACGGCCCCGTGCATGCTTGACATGCAAGCGACGCAGAATCAAATGCGACCATACAAGACCTTCATGCGCAAGATGTGTCCTTGCAAAGATACATTGCAAGTGGCACACGCCTGCCGAAAAGCCCAAGATCACGTTCGTGGAAATAAATCAGACTGTTGCCCCACGCTATCGATCCGGCCAGATACAGGGCACAACCGGAGCGTCAACCACGTTGAAACATGCTCTGCATGATGACACAGAGACGCAGGCGCTCACATTCTTCGTGCGATACTATTCTTTGGGTTCAGTGCCAAATGGTGGACCTAATCCTGGATTATTCGGACACGTCATGCCCGCAATCTCTTCCTCTCGGACCTCTGCGGCTGCCATGTCAATTTCTGCTGTGGCTTTGACTGTGTATTCGAGGTGGCGTATGGACAAAAACTTGGCCAAATGTCGTGCCAAAGTCTTAGGTCAGGCTATCAAGAATTTGTCCGGAGATCTTCAGAAGGAGGACTCAAGGCGGACCGATCTTACTCTATTGACCACGCTGCTACTCCAATATCACTCTGCCTTTGAGTCTTTGCTGTTTTCCAAGAAAAGCACAATTGTGCATCACCTTGGCGCACTTGCTTTAGTCAGAGAATTTGGTCATCCTTCTACTTGGTCGCCCATCGCTAGCGAGTTTGTGGGTGTCATAATCCATCTGGATATCACAGCTGCCATCCGCGAACAGCGTCAAGTACACCCCGAAGTGCGCTTCTGGAGATCGATCATTAGTTCCACTTCAGTGGATCCTAGTAGGTATCTGGATACTCTGGGCATTCAGGTCGCCGACTTGCAATTTCGGGCAACTGCATTCCAAGGAGGCGCAACGCTTTGCTTATCACCCACAGAGATCGACACGCTTTTGGACGACATTCAGCAACTTGACGATAGCCTTGTGCTGTGGCAGGGAAACGTATCGAGATTCTGGGGTCCGTTCAGCTGGTCTCCTCCGGGGATCATCTTTCCCCCAATTCAAGCATTCCAAGGATCTTGTCACGTGTACACCTCAGTTACTGCGGCTAGGAGAATGAACGACTCGCGAAGTCATCGCCTGACTCTCGCGCTGATATCCCTCAAGCTGAATGTCGAACGAGAGAAAAGCATTGAGGAGGTTTGCAAGTCGAATTCAAGCCAGAGCGGCGTACACGTCCTTGTCAAACGCATTCAATGGCTTGTCGACGGTATCTGCGGATCGGTCCCCTTCTGCCTAGGTAACAGAAGCAGAGTCGGAACCGTCCTAGACTTCGGTGATCCGACCTGGATATTCCCTACGTGTCACGACATGTCTGAGATGTACGGTTTATACGGACGGCCAGCCGAACCAAAGGGACTTGAGTCTGTCGCAGACCATTACAGCCACGCTATCACACAAGGCTCCTGGCTGATGTTAAGCAACCTTGCACTATTGGTTGCCATGTTTCTGAGCAACAAGACCTTGACCCCATCTTTCCCACTTAAGGATGGACAATTGCCTTGGATATGTCAACAATATCTTCGGAACTTATCGCTGAACGCAATCGAGTGGACTCACGATAGCTCGGTTGTAGAACAGGTACTGACAGGAGTAGATTTGCCGCCTGCAGAAGTACTTATTTCTGAAGCAAGCAGATGTATACGACGCGTCTCGCGTGGACTTCAGCTTACTGATGATACATGAGCAACGGATCAAGATGTACCAGTTACACGTAACTAATCGATCAATTCAAGAAGCTTCCTGGGAAAAGTTAGCTAGTCGAAAAGGAACAAACAGGTACTCCTGATCTGTCGTTCTTCCGCTATGATTAGCACAACATAAATTGGTCTCAGCGGAGCAAAAGACCGGCAGATGCGACCGGATCTGACATTAGCGAGAGATTTCGACCTTGGATACCGGCAAGGCATTTAGCCGATGCGATACGATGATCAGTGTCTTTCACGACACATTTCTTGACAGTCTCCAGTTCTCAAACCCCGTTGTATACACTCTATTTTACCAATCCCACGAGATTCACCTACCATGATTCAAGTTCTCGACAACTCGCAAAAAGAAGCTGAAGGGTTGCAATACTACCTGCTCGGCTTCAACATCAAAGGTTCCTTCTCACCGCTTCTACACAACACCGGATTCAAAGTTCTTGGACTACCACACACGTATGGCTTATTCGAAGTTCCCAATGTGGATGACACCGTCGAGAAACTCCTCCAAGATCCCAAACTCGGCGGCTTATCAGTGACAGCCCCGCACAAACTCCAGGTCGGCAAGTACATGGACGAGATCTCGGAAGAAGCAAGAACCATGGGTTCGGTCAACACAGTTGTTGCCAAAACTGCGTCTGGTCGGAGAAAACTCTATGGTGACAATACCGACTGGCTTGGTATCACACGCTGTATCCAAGGCGGCAAAGTTGATCTCGATGTCGTTGGGACAACAGCTGTGGTTTTGGGTGCCGGTGGAGCTGCAAGAGCGGCTGTGTATGCTTTTATCAAATTGGGCATTCGGCACATCATTGTCGTCAATCGGACGTTCGACAGAGCACAAAAACTTGCAGCAAGCTTCCCAGACCACAACATCGATATTGTAGAATCCCTTCGGCAGCTGGAAGAACGCCCAAGCGATAGCCCACTGTCAATCTCCGTCATTGTAGGATGTCTCCCAGCAGAAGTCCTCGATGAATCCGACATTCCAGATCCGATCTTCCCCGCTGTTCAGAAAGGTGTTTTGGTGGAGATGGCATACGGAAAGACGACTGAGATTACCAAAAAAGCAATGGCAGCTGCGAATTGGGCTGTCTTTGATGGAATCGATGTGCTGCAGCAACAGGCTTTTGGACAATTTGAAGCATGGACTGGGAAGCCTGCGCCTAGGAAAGAGATGATGGAGGCGGTGAACGAAGCTTTGGGACGACCGCTCAATCCTGCCTTTGCGGAAGATGGGGAGTGATTAGATAACATGTGGAAGATGTATAGACTAAATTACATAAATCATGACATCCCTCACTCATATCAGGTTGATATCCTCCATAAGATCTGCAGAACAGAAAGGAATCATTTCCCGCGGAACGTATGTCAATGTGAGCCTTGAACATGAGCACAGTGGAAGGGTGTGTCGTGTGTCTTCGGGCAAGTCATTAGCCGACGGTCTCCTGCCCGGGTTCTTCCTCAAGCGATGGACCTCACCCAAGCGATCAGCAGCGCTCACTTTGCTTTCCCGGTAGGTCGATTGATATGAATCAAGCACCAGTCTGTATCTCGTAGTTCTTGGAAATGACTGATTACATAGATCTCGGGTCAGTCGAGAAATTGCCAAACTGTCATTGTGGTAAGACACACACGTTCTGTACGAAACAAGATGGATTATTCACTTTGGCAGCCCTAGCAGAATTGTATTCGGCCCAGGCAAATTTGCCACACTTCTAGACAAAATAGACGTACTTGAAGTCTTAGATGCCGTGTTTCTTTCACCCGAAAGCAGACGGTGGACGCGGATGCTCATCCGAACCCAGAAAATTTCGAGAGGAGGCTCTACGAGAGCTAAATCGTCGTTTCTAGGCCGACAAGTAGGCAGCACAGGATCTGTAGATTAGATAGATACATCTTCCCCTAGACAAATACAGTGTTTGCTATATCCCAATCGTTGATGATCTCTGGCCAAACAGCTTTGGCGAGGCGCAACCATCCGGCTTCTCCAACGACAACTGCCAGAAATCATTTAACTCTAAATCTGCTCAGACTCTAGCTGCCTCCAGCTTTGTAGCGACAAAGTCAATCGCGGCTTTGTATCCAAAGGTTCCCAACCCACAGATAACGGCCACCGCCTTGTCGCTCAAAAAGCTCTTATGTCTGAATTCCTCCCGACTGTGTACATTACTCATATGCACCTCGATAAACGGGATGGCCACTCCGCCCAGTGCATCTCGTAGAGCGACGCTGGTATGCGTGAGAACGCCAGGATTGATGATGATATATTCGCAATTCCCTCTGGCTTCGTGGATTCGGTCGACGATGCGACCTTCGTGGTTTGATTGATAGGTGGCGAGGTTGAGACCTAATGCTAATGCCTGCTTTTGTGCTGCATCTTCTACATCTTGAAGAGTTTCGCTGCCGTAGATGTGTGGCTCGCGGGTGCCAAGGAGGTTGAGATTGGGTCCGTTGATGATGAGAATTGATCCGTTTGACATTTTGAGCTGAAGCATGTAGCGATTTGACTGGATTCGTTACAAGTGTTGCAAGATTCTTACTGCTAGACTGAATATATCCTGCTGTTGTCGTCGGCCTTGCATCTTGTTCTATATCTGTACCCCGGCTATGACCTTGTCCGGCTCCTCATCCCCTAGATTTATCCAAGCAGCTACCAGTCGATCGTTGAATACGAATTCCTCCTTTGCGGCATCAAACATCGAGAGCTTCATATCATTACAGTTACTTGAAGTTTTTCGCGAAGTCTGGCTTAGTAGATCTACGTCATCTCGGTAGGGTTCCGCATTGCTTAGTAAATAAATAAGCTTCCAGTCTTGATGAGCAATTGCATTCCGCTTGTGAATAATCAATTGACAGATAGAGATGATCCAATAGCTAGTACGGCTGTCTTGATAAGTACTCTGAGCTGCAACCTTGCAAGCCCGCTTACACTTCCATCCAATACAGCAACGCAGGTTCCATCGTGCTTCGCCTAACATTAGCAAGCTTTCCTTCTTCTACTTCACGACTATGTCACCTTCCGACACAATCGCTATCATTGGCCACAATGGATGGGCTGCTCAGGCAATCGTCAAGTCGCTTGCTACTCAAGCCTTTACAACCCCTTTACGTGTCCTTGCACGTGATGCCTCCAGCATTGCTAGTCTCCCAGACAACGTCGAGGTAGCGCGTTACTCATGGGATAGGGAGGAGTCTATCACATCCGCACTACATGGCGTTGACATCCTTCTGTAAATTTGAGACCGATCGTTCTACACGAGATCTACTCTAATCTTTCATCCAGTTCGTTCATCGGGCATGAGGGCTTGAGCGACCAGACAAGGCTTGTGCCATATATGCGCAACGCGAGCATCAGACTTTTTGCTCCATCCGATTTGGCTCTGCCATATACGCCCGAGGAAAGGAAGACCGTGACTGTTCCTCGTGAGAAAGAGCAGTTGGAAGTGACGCTGAAGAATGCCGGAGTGCCATTCGTCACTATCCTGATCGGAAATTTCACATCGTTCGCGTTGGACTCCCCGTAAGCAGATCCCCGAGGATGGGAACGCCTTCTTCCTTTCATCTGAGTTAACGTTGTCAGCTACATGGGTATCGACATTGTGAACAATCGTATCCTGCATACTGGTAAAAGCAGAGAGAATCCAGTGTGGTTGTGGTACGTCATATCACTCCCGAGTCTTCAGCTCAACAATTCGAGCCTTACTCATCATATTCAGTTCTCGCGACTACGTCGCCGCAGGTTACGCCTCTCTGTTTTCCCTATGCAGTGCCTCTTCACTAGCTGGCCGTACCATTGGGTTGAATGAACTGCATCCGACCACTGGGGATATCGAAAGTGCCCTGCATAAGAAAGCTGGTGTGCCGCCACGAGTGGCATTCGATAGTGTGCAGAATGCTACAGACCTGGCCAAAGCCGACAGACTCGACGCTCTAGTTCGCAAGAAAATGGGCGATGGAACCCACAACGTGGGTCAGGACATATGGGAAGTCGAGGGATATCGAAAGAGGACACTTGATGACTTCATCTCTGGAGATGCTCTGGAAGGTCCAAAGTACATCAAAACAGACGAGACAACTCGTCATTTCTTGGATCAATACTTTTTCTAAGCCACCAAACACAAAAGTTGAGGCAAGAGGAGAAAGCTGTCGTTGCCAAAGAAACTGGACAGACGCAGTAGTACGGTATCTTTCAGCCTCTCATACACCACCATCAATCTAAGAATCCCATCAAAAGTTTCAGAACAAAGAACAGTCATGTTTAGGGCCCTCCGCTTCGAAGACTCGACTTCGTGAACATCTTATGTACTCCCAACACTTGACAGGCAAGCGATATTCGAGTGACGATTTTTGTGAGGTATATGGGTTGGCGAAGCTCACTTTGCATGCCACAGGATATATGGTATCTTCATCCCCACACCTACGAAATTGAAGCCTCGCGTTCAGAATCGGCGACGATGGCGGCTAGTGGGACCATACTTGAATGAGACGAGGTCAGCTGCAGCGCCGCCACCAACACGAGCTAAGAGGCTAAGATCCCAAGGCTGCAAGACCTCGACTCCCCGCTTCGAGTCCTCGGTTCCGGAAAATATCTCTGCCGGCTGTCTCCCCTGTCTCCGACGCCACGGTTCTACCCAACTCTAATCCAATATCCGGGTGAGTCTTTGGCCATGATTCAATTGCTGGGAATCAGATGACTGAGTGATAGAATAAGCCGGATCTCGTATGATGTGACTCGCTTGTCTAGTCGAGCTTTGAACCCTTTCCCCATATCAAGGCCCGCGACACAGGCGCATTCGTCAAAGATAACCTTCATCTTGCAACAATCATGGTCGATCTACATACCCTGCCGGAGAACTCACGACCTGACTCGGCCTTCCGAAACAATGGGCCAGACAATCTAGTTCTGGAACGATACAAGCTGCGAGAATTGGCAGAGGGATGGCCATGCTACAGGTACGTATTCTTCCATCATCGCTCAGCAGAAAAGGAGCAAAAGTTTTGCTGACTGTAGCTCTCTACAACAGAGATTCTTGCGAGTGGGAGAATCTGAAGTCCATTTTCCACCCCGATGCGTATATCTACACATCATGGACTGGTCGCACACACTTCGAGGACTTCATCAAGGCGAGTCAAGCAGGAATGGACAAAGGTGTGTTCATCATGCACCGAATCCATGGTACGACAACCGACATCAACATCGAGGCCACTCGAGCTGTGACCAAGATGAAGGCCACGATCACCCAGCGCTTCGAGTTCGAAGACGGCATAGAAGCCGATGCCGAGTCGGACTGCCGCTTCGTCTTTTTCTGGTCAAAGAATGAGAAGGGCGACTGGGCAGCAAACTTTGTCCGTCATTTCTACGAGAAGGACAAGTTGATTCCTGTCGACCCAAACAGGGTTCCCAAGATCGATGCAGATGCAGCCAAGGAGTACCCGATTGGTTACAGGTATCTTGCATACTGTCAGGAAAGAACTATGGGAGTCAAGGTGATTAGAGACTTGCCTGGTCATCGCGGAGAAGCTGGCTCGACCATCAATGGCGAGAAGCACGATATACTGTACAAGCAGATAAAGGCGTGGATGGATGGTCAAAATGTTGAGATCTGAGTAGCTAGACACGTTAACAAGATGTGAAAGTACCATGTGGTCTGAAACCATTGTTAACCGGGTCATCACATATGTCCAAAGCCCATGTCGTATCTTGCAGAATTGTGCCATCTGCTATACAGAAGGTGGGGGAAGACGGTCATGGTGCAGTCCCCCGCACTTTCCATTCCGGCACTGTCTTTATCCGAGCCCCTCATCACCGCTAGACACTCCGACAACCAGGGCATCACTCAATCACTTGGTAGTCGCGGTTTGCGTATCACGAAAGTTTCTGCAAATCTCCCAACTATTGTCTCTCAAGAGCTGGCGAGGTATATCATCCTAACTACCTTGTAACTCTCCATCAGCCATGGCCTCGACAATAAAGTACCAGCCAGCAATAGCATCCATGAGCCTCGGACGCGCCTGGGTACATGACTTCGAGAAGAAACTCAAAGCGGCGTCCACATCTGGTTTCAAAGGCATCGAGATCTTCTACGAGGACCTAGAATACCTCGTGAAGGACTTGCCCCCTTCTACCGATCAGTCAGGACCACCTACTCGATCCCAGCTGATGGCAGCTGCAACGAAAGCCAGAAGAATCTGCGACGGAAACAGTCTGACCATCATCGGACTGCAGCCATTCTTGTTCTACGAAGGACTGAAAGATCGCCAACAGCACGACCGCCTGATTGAAAAGCTGCACGTCTGGTTCGATATCGTGGACATCTTAGGCACGGATATCATCCAGATCCCAAGCAACTTCTTGCCCAAAGATCAACTCACAGGAGATATGGCCACGATAGTAGCGGATATGGTAGAAGTCGCCGACTTGGGCTCGAAACGCACACGACCAATCCGATTCGCGTACGAAAACCTCTGTTGGGGGACATCTGTCGACACTTGGGAGGCAGCTTGGGATATCGTGCAAAAAGTTGACCGTCCAAACTTTGGTATGTGTTTGGACACATTCAACATCGCTGGCCGCGTTTGGGCAGATCCTGCTTCCCCCACCGGTATGGTGGAAGCTGCAGAAGCAGCTTTGACTGCATCGCTTGATAGACTTGTGAAGACGATTGATGTCAACAAGGTCTTCTACATCCAAGTCGTGGATGCCGAACGCATTGACCCACCTCTGGACGACAAACACCCCTATCACGTAGACGGCCAGCCGAGTCGCATGTCTTGGTCACGCAATGCTCGTTGCTTCATCTACGAAACCGAGAGAAACGCCTATTTACCTGTAGAGAGAGTTGCCAGAGCGATCATCGAGGGTCTGGGGTATCAAGGTTATGTGTCCATGGAGCTATTCTCGAGGACACTCTCAGAGTCAGAGCAGAGCATTCCTGAGAGCCATGCTCAGCGTGGAATTGAGGCATGGAAGAAGTTTGAGCAAGCGCTGAATCTGAATCAGGACTGAGATCGTCCAAACGCATGCTTTGAACTCATTAGGTATACATGGAGCAACGTTAAAACATTGTATCTGAATTTTGCTGGGAGTCAATCGCCTTGCCAAAGGGGGGACTAGCAATAAATGCTCAACGAGCTGGAGCAAGTATACTCCCGCTTGTCGCTTGTGCTTTGAAAAGTTCATCTCATTTCTCGTCATTAATTCTGCGGAGAAGGGAGTATGGTCCTTGGATTAGTATGTTCGGCAACATGCATAGCCACATATTGCTCCAAGATGCTATTCCTCATTGTCTTTTGAGGCGCGGGATAACCGGTGAAGAGCTCGAATTGTGCACGACCTTGTTCAATCAAAACTTCAAGAGGCTCGACGCAGATCCAGCCTTTGTGGGCATTATCATGTGCTTGCTGTAGTAGCGGTGTCCACGATGATTTGTACGAGAGCTTGTGTTCTGTCAGTTGTGTTCGAGCATTGTGACTATTCTACTGACCTCGACGATGACACCTCCTGTCCTGCTATGGAACCACTGTTGCGGAATCGTGAATTCAGGAGGGGCAACATCTCCTATTTGATGCGCCGGTATCGTGCAAACTACTATCGTGGGCTGTGCAAGCTCATCGGGCCAAGGTGAATCGAGGGTTTCGATTACCCTAACGAGACACTCTTGTGCTCTGCGGGAATGCAAGGGGCTTTGATGATGTGACTGCTTGTGGTTAGAATTGCCAGACAAGGCGGTGAAGTGATCCGCAACCTGAATCGCCTTGCTGTATGTCCGATTCCAGATCATGATGTTTTTCACACCCATTCGCAGCAGGGCATAGATTGATGCGCGAGCCATACCACCAGCACCTATGATGAGAGCCGAGGAACTGGGCCTGACAGTATTCGCAGGCGACAGATAACGATGTATACACGTGTAGAGGGCGGTCCAATCTGTGTTGTCCCCGTACAAACTAGAGATTGGACCAGCACGGTTTCTGCATGACGTGGACAACTGAGAAGAGTCGGCGCTTTCCTCATCCAGCATGGCCCTCATAGGCATGATGGTATTGATAGCTTGTATCGCTTTGGCCGGCTCACTTATTGAGTCGAGCAGCGATAGTATCTCAGACTTGAATGGAAGACTGATACTGGCGCCACCAAACGTTTCATCCACAAGCAAAGCAAAATCACTCAGACTTCGAGACTGCCTGATAGAATAAGTATGACCCATGCCGAGAGCATCAAAGGCGGCGTTATGCATCAATGGCGACAAACTATAGTCGACACTTGCGCCGAATATGTGGAAATGCAAAGGCTGGTAGATGAAGCTCGCAAACCTGGCTTTCATCAACTGTTGAGAAGTAAGAAGAGATGTGGTTGGATCCGAATTCGGTATGTTTGGATGTCGCACGGGCGTCATACAGGGACTGAGAACCATGGAGGACCTCGCCTGAATCCCAGTGTTGTATGCTATGAGTGGTACCTTGGATCGAGACGCCATGATAGCCTGGAAGAGAAGACAATTCCTGTCTTCTGAGACCGACTCAGCCTCACGAACGAGGCGGACAACGTGACAACCTAATGTCACGGCCCGATCAAACTGCTTTTGGAGATCCAAATCTTTCCAAGATGGAGATTCTCCTTTCAGATATGAGCGGTGGCCGATGACTTTGGTCCGACCGACCGAGTTTGTCAGGTTTTCGATCTGACGCTCACTACAGCGGAGATCGATGGTGATAAAGTCGGGGAGAAGACGAAGTCCGTGTGATAGCAGTTCAGCGTACTCGCCCTGTTCCCGGACCAAACTTGGACGATCACACTCAACGTGATAGATGATAGAGGCTCTCGACCGACGTCGAATCATCTGGAGAGAACGACTAATGCGGTCCCAATCGACTGGCGTATACTGCGGTGGACGGCAGCGAACAACCAGCTCAATTGCGTCGGTACCGCAGTCCAAGTCAATAGAGCTGAAGCCTTCCCGAGCAACTTCTTCTATGCGGAGACTGAAAAGGGTCGAGTGCTCACGTTCCGATGGCGAAGATGGAGAGAACATTGAAGACGCAGGCATCGAAGCACCCCCAGTTAACGAGTTCAAGAATTCCAGAAAGTCTTGCTTCACATTCTGAAGGAGCGAAGGCGAGTTGAGCGTCTGATTCTGTCGCCCGAGACTCTTTGAGAGGTCAGTGGAGAGGGGACTGGCTGCCTCGCTTTCCGGCAAGTTGAAGAATTCGAGGTTGGATATCTGTCGGCAGTGTCGCTGGCTTTGTCCAAGGATTTGAAACACCTCGCGACTATTTGGAAGACCAAGATGTTGCCGTATCAACGTTATGTCGCGATTAATCATCACCACAGGATGCGTGAGGGCGAAGGCGCGAATGAGCGACTGACTTTGCGGTTCGAATGCCTCAGGGCCGCAGACGAGCACGCACCCAGTTCCATGCTTCTTGAGTATCTCCTTCAGGGTTTCGGAGGCGATTTTGCGATAATTATTTAACCCCCGCTCCTTGATGTACTCAGACCTTCGCAAACCGTAATGCTCGACAAGCCATTTTTCAGTGTCGACCAAACGAAAGCGCAAAGCCGTAGCGGCAATGACTGCAAAAGACGAAAGACCGCTTCCTTTCGTGCCAACCAGGACTAAAGAAGCATCTTTTCCAAAGGTAAGTCTTGCCGTTAAAGGCTGGAAATTGTGCGTGATTCGATTGGCAAATGATTCGTTGTCGTCGCAAGCACTGGAATGACGGCCTTGAGTCTCTCGTGTGTTGTCGGCAGTATAATCGTGAGTAGAAGCTCTAACGCTGGACGGGGGAGAGCAAGATGTCGTGTCAAGACGACGTCTCTTGTTGGGGCTCGCAGGTGCAGGCAAAGCCAGATTGCCGGTCATGTCACTGGTTGCGCATATCGCAGAATAACCAGCCTGCAATGGACGCGTGTTTGAGGCAATTGTCTTCCAATGCGCTACTACATCCAACCATTGACTGCTGGAAGATGATCGTGAAGCCAATTCATCAGGCAGTTGCGGCGCTGGAGACGGGCGAGTAGGAAGGACGAGCCCGGAAAAAAGCAAAGCCGAACGCGCCAAGTGAGGGGTCAACTTCGGCTTCGGCCCTGTGGCAACCCTGAGCGTCTGGGGCAGTCTCCTCCTCGCCGAGGCTGCCGCCACGCTTCTCATTCGTCCGTGTTGATGCAGTTTTCCATCGATCTCAAGCAGGGACAGCTCTAATATCTAGTACTGATCTGCTATCTGACTTAATCGAACAGCACAGGCGCCCTCTTCGAGGGTCTCGCCGCTCTTGCACACCTCGGCGATCTCGCCACACGTCAAATCTGTGAGCTCTCTTGTCTGGTAACTAGTCATCAGCGCATGGCGAGGACACTCTCGCTGATGCATTGGTATCGTGTGCCACTACCTGAGCATGTCGCAAGCTGCAGTTGACATTCCTCGGAAGCGTCAGCGAGTCACGCAAGCCTGTCACCGATGCCGAAGTAAGAAATACAAGTGCAACAGCGTCCGCCCGGCATGTTCTACCTGCATCGCATCGAACTCTGAATGTTCCTACGGTACCGCTGTCAAACGACGTGGACTTCAATCTGGATATGTCAGAGCAATTGAGATATTATGGGGCCTGGTCTTCAAGAAGATTGCTGGTAGTCAGGATGGAGTCAACAAGCTGCTTGTTGAGCTCTCCGTCGTCATCAACCAGACTCCTGTCGACAGCAACGGAAATGACAACGCAGACGACCTTTTGAAGTACTGGAGAAGCAGTGGTGTACCATCAGCTATTGAGTCGTTGTTAGATGGTGAAGTCATCAATAGTCCCAGGCTACAGACTGCAGTCCCTGAAGACACAGACGCGAATGTTGATCTCAGTCTGGCATCTCTTCAAGCTTGGCCTCTACCACAGTCAACCCGTTTTCCAGGCACAACACCGTCAGCAGCATCACCACCACCACTCCCGGAATCATTACAGCAACTGATGTCACCAACGGTGGTGGGGGTTTTAGATTCAACATACTCATTGGAAACACCAATCTCGAGACACCAAACGCATGGAGAAAACTCACTGTCTGATTGGTCGCCTCTCCCATCGGATTGGCATGACCTAATTCAGATCTATCTGACCGTCGAGCACTCATGGCTTCCAATTCTCGAGCGACATGCTCTCTTCCGAATAGCATATACTTACCAGGACCATTGTGACCCCCGGAAATGCCTCGATGACCGGCGTCGTGGTGAATTCTCAAGCTTGTGGGCTGTACTAGCACTCGGCGAAGTACATTCTTACGGCATCTCATCTTCAAGGGTCGTCCAATTCCGCTCTATCTCCCAGTACTTTCTCTCTAAGGATCCGATGCATGAGGATTATCTTGATTACGCCCAGGCATTGCTACTCGAATCTACTCTCCATCTCGGCCGCAGCAACCTGGTACTTGCCAAGTCCGCGCTGGCTCAAGCTTTTGTTCTCTCCTCCGCAGTCGAGGGTCAGGATCTTTCAGCTAAGGTTGCGTTTCAAAAGCAACTTCATCTCACACTTTCTGGATGCTTCGTCGTAGACACACTTTTATCTTTCACCATGGGCACCAGGCCGCAGATGACATCAGACGATCTTCCCTCGAGTTCACCTTGCGATGAGTCTGGTTCAGATGAATGGGAGCCTTTCGTCAACAAATTCGGAAAACTCCCGTCCTCTAGGTCGTCAGGTGTCAGCACGCTAGCAGCACCCAGTCGTGTATCCAGCACATTCAACTACCTTGTCAAACTGCTTTGCATTCTGAATGCTGCCATGCGAGAGCAGACATCCAAAGTTGTACTTACGGCGTCCATTGAAGCTTGGTGCATCAACACACCTGCTCATCTCAACATAGCCGAGTCGTCAAGCAGTTACACAACAAAAAACTGCTTGCCACCGCAGCTTCACCTCAAAGCATTGCGAGTTGCCGCTTCGTTCCTTGGCACTTCCAGGTCAATCCGGGATCAGACCTATGTGCTCAACAACGACACCCAGCAGAGATTGAGGAAGGACATGGGATCCGTTGTAGTGCACATGAGTCAAACGTTTGGCGTCAAATCTCTTCCCGCATCTCTCAGCGTTCTGATTCCTTTGCTCGAAGCTCACCATTTTTGGCCCAATGAACCGAGGCAGTCGAACGTTAGTAATACAATCACCGAGTACAAAAGTCTTTGGGGGTGGAACAATGCGCTTTGTTTTGACGACAGCGGTCTGCCGCCAACGCTCGTTACACAAGGCCTGTCGGACGGCGTCCCCCATCGCGAGTCGCTGAATCACCTGATACCCACGGCTGACACGGACAACACATCAGGGCGGCAGAGTGGACATATCTCAACCTCGAATATTGTCACACATGAACAGCCGGATACGACTGAAGTAGATGTACCTGCACAGGCTTTGCGTAATGATACCGATATATCTCAAGATGATATCTTGCTTGGAAATACCCCAGATCAGTTGCGAGACTATCTGGCTCTTCTGCAGGAGAACGAGAGGTAAAGAGCCCCAGAGACGTTGTCTAAGAGTAGACTCGCTAACGAGAATCAGTGCGAACAACGATCAAAACTTCATGCAGTCGCTCGGTTTCTTCGACAACTTCGACTATACGGATCTCTAATGACATTCCTTCTCGTAACCATATGTAGCTTGAAACTCGCGTACTCCAACAACATGGGAAGAATATTGGCGCTGTGCGTTCCGGCCGATTGCATGCTTTCCGAACCGGCAAAGCCTTTTGCCGATACAGCATGTCGGGCCGGGATCCTACGCTTGCGGAGCAGAGCTTCAGTACTATAAGGTCACGCAGTGGGCAGAACAGCACTCTTTCAGCGAAACACACCCTGCCAAACAATATCGATATAACTCACCATGAGCCAAGCTCAAACGCAAGACGCCACACCCGGCACGAAAAAGCTGCATCTGATCGGCATTGGCGTTGGCCACAGTATTGCACCAATCATGCACAACTACATTTGCCAAACTCTCAATAAACCATGGACGTTCGTTGCAACCGAAGCAGTAACGATCGAAGCAGCTATGGATATCATGAAGGCGCCAGACTTTGCCGGCGCCGTCGTCACCATGCCATACAAGAAGACCGTGATGTCTTTCTTACACGGACTCGACCCCTTGGCCGTCAAGCTCGGAGCATGCAATAATGTATACATTACTGCAGATGGTAAACTACAAGGCACGAATACGGACTGGAGGGGCATCAAGGGATGTCTGCTTGCCGCTAGCGACAAAGGTATTGGCAAACCTGCCATGATTGTTGGAGCAGGAGGTGCAAGTCGCGCTGCGGTTTACACACTGGCCATCGAACTCGAATGCCCAGTCATCTATGTGGTCAATCGTGATGACCAGGAAGTTCAGGATCTTATCGCTGATACCACTGCAATGTTATCAACTCCCGATTCAGCTGAGAAGTCTTGCAACATCGTCCACATTCGCCATGTTGAGCAAGCACGCTCTCTTGCATCACCATACTATATCGTCGGTACCGTTCCCGATAGCGCGCCTGTCACCGAAGCAGAAAAGATGGCCGTCAAGATCTTGGATTACTGTCTCGCGTCTGTAGAGGAGCGTGGTATTTTCCTCGATATGTGTTTCAAACCCAGAGTCACGAGGAAGACCAAGCTGGCTAGGAAGCATGGATGGCAGACTGTTGAGGGTACAGAAGTCATCGGTCATCAGATTCAAGAGCAGTACAGGGTGTGGATTAGTCCAGAGTCTGACGCTGAGGTCGTTAGCCCACAATTGACTCAAGACGCGTGGAGCACGTTGAGAGCGGCTGCCGAGAGCAGTACAGGCATAAATTACGACGTGGATGACTTGATTGTAGCATAAAAATAAGCACCTTTGATGCCGATATCATGAATCAGCATTTTAAGTGAAATACCCATTGATTTCTTCATGAATCGTAAGACATGCGGGCCAGACCTGTTTCAGTAAAACAGCAAGACTAGAACATCTGTCTGTCTCTCATCTCAACAGGAAGGAAGACCATCATGAGAGCAGAAATCCAGATACCACCAGCTCCGAGCCATAGAATGCCGGAACTCTGATCTGCAAGCAGACTTGCTCCGGCGAAAGGCGCAACCACACCGGCGATACGACCTAGGCAAGAAAGCATACCACTGGCACTGCCACGGTATGCCGTGTCGAAAAGCTCAGGAGCCGAAGCGTAGAGAACGGCGTTGAAGTACTGTCAGGAAGGTCAGTTCATGATGCCGTGTTCGAAACTATTGTTCAGTGACTTACAGTCTGCATAATATATTCGAAAGCATTGAGACCAACGTAGCCAGCGGTGGTGGCGACCTGGGTATACATGGCCATAGCAAGACCTTGACAGATGGCAGAAAAGACCAGCGACCACTTTCTGCCAACAAGAGGAAGTTGAACAGACAGCATGGCAATGATGGCACCGAGAATACCAGGGGTATAGATGGCAATGTAATGGACGTAGGTCGTAGTGACAGAACCAGACGTAGTGACTTCGTTGCGGAGAAGAATCAGAGGCAAGAATTGGCCAGCCAGGTTGAAAGACCAGTAATCACCCATGTAGGCGATTGCTAGAAGAACGAAAATGAACATCTGCAGCTTGTTGGTAAAGAGAGCTTTGAGATGTTTGAAGCTGTTCGCAGTATTGTGGAGGACGCGCTTGAAAGTCTGCGCTGTGCTGAGGGGTTGACCGGAGGCTGCGAGCTCGTCGTGCGAAGTTGTCGCCATTGCATCAACGGCGGCAAGATGAGCAACAGTCAAAACCGGTGGAGGGGCCTTGTTGAATTTGGCAATCTTGTGCAAAACTTCGATAGCCTCTGCCTCTCTGCCTCTGCTGACCAGAAACTTGGGCGATTCGCGGAAGGTAAAGACAAAGTAGCGCAAGAAGAAGACGACCAAAGTCATACCTCCAAGGATGATGAGCGTGTATCTCCAGCCCATGTTGCTGGACACGGTGCAGCAGGGTCTTTGGCCGGTACTGCAGGCGGGTAGATCGATATCACAACGCCATTTGGGTCTCGCTGCAGTGCCATACGCGATGACTGACGCGATTACGACACCAATAGGCTGCCAGAGCGAAAGAAGAGCGACCAAAAAGCGGCGATTCTGAGGCAGAAACTCAAGAGCGATAGTGGCATCGATGGGAATGTTTCCGCCGAGACCGAGAGAAGCAAGGAAGTAGATGGCGCAGATTGCGCCATAGTTGTTCTTTGGGGCAGCCTATCCGATTGTGAGTTTCTGCGGTAATCTGAATTGAATGAAGGCAGAAAATGAGACATACCAGTAAAAGACCAAATACAGAAGTGATCAGACAGGTGAGATTGAAAGCCCAGCGACGACCAATAACATCAACCAAGATACCGAAAGTGAAAGCTCCAATGGCCAGACCAGCATTGGCGCAAGAGTATATATCTCCCTGTCTAGCATCGGGCACACCCATCTCCTGATAGATGGCCGAGGCGACAAGACCAACGCCTTGCGACCAAGCCAGATCCAAGAAGTAGCCGAAACCGCACAAGAACCAAATGCACCATTGGTATCTGCCCATGCCAAATTTGTCGAGCTCAGCATTGATCAAGGCCGCCTTTTTCTCGAAAGTTGTAAGTGAATGCGCAGCGTTGCCTTTGAAAACATTGCCCATGGAAAGTCCAGCTTCAGGCGCGACGGGAAAGGTGGCCTGGCCTACTTCTGCTTCGGCCTGAGTTGTAGACATGTGTCGCAAACTCTTCTCATCGTGATCGTGAACCGACTCTGGTCCCTTCGAGCGCGAGAAGGAGTCCATCATGATGGTCTCAGTATATTGTGTTGTGTCGAATTGGTGAAAGAAAGGACCTTGATGGTGTTTGTTTTTGCGTTCTTCACCCCGATAAGATAAGCTTGTCTGTAGGCAAGGGCGACGCCGAAGACAGCAGGCGCGAATCTGAACAAAAACAAAGGTCGAAACTTCAAAAGCAGGCTTGCACAAGCACTTTATCTCCACCAAGCTCTGCAGCGTGTGGCGGCAAGCGGAAAGCGCATGTAGAAAACTTCGCCATGATTATGTACTAGTGAGAGTAGGATCCAGGAAACCGGCCAGTGCTTCCAAGAACACGCGAGCTCAAGGAGGCCATCCCGTCCTTCAGAACTGCTGTCATTGACTGGTTTCTGCGTTCCCGCCTTGCTACTGCCACTAGTGTGGTGGTCGATAGCTGATCTCTACCATCTCTGGTTGATCGTAAACTTTTCACCATCCTTGGCAAGATCTATGGGGTTAAAGGTGGATCTGTCGGCGCAATCTGAGCCGATGAGCCAATCAGGTGACTGCTATCTTCTTCCTCCGCGATGTTGAGGCTCCGCATCAAAAGCTATCGACAGCCTTGCGCCAGTGCTCAAAACCTTTGAGCTTTGATTCATAACATGAGACGATGTTTATCCATGTCTCGATTGAAGAACCCCAAGAAAGTCCGACGTGACGTGCATTTTTTGCAGGACAAGTCAGCTGTCGGCATGACCGCGCGATCAGCCAGTGACGTACGGTTACGCCATGCAGGACATTATCCATTGCAGGCAGGTATTGCCGTTATCTGTAATAGCGTTGTCGCAATACTTGAACGGCCAGAACCCCGGCTGGATATATGCTATTGCTATTGCCACATGAGGTCTGCAGTCGCAATCCTTCGACAGCCAAACATCCTCGCTGACTTTTCGCTAAGCATCCTGTTGCAATCGTACGAAAGTATCAGGTCAGAACCACAATTTCGCTTTGAACTTTGTTGTCCTCCATCCATTGGTGTGCCTCGACGAGCTAGTCAGACTTGAGGGTGTTTGCCAATGCATATCTTTGATCACTGCTTTACGACTAGTTCTCAGTGTCAAGTCTGTTGATTGTCTTGGTTTGTTCTGGCTGGCACAATGACCCTGGCATAATCGCGTCCGCCGTCACAGAACTTGAGAAGCAGGTATCAAACCTTACTACTGAGCTACCGAACTGTTTGTTACGACTCCCAATTCGAAATCGCTATACAGACTCAATTGGTGCTTGTGAACAGGTGATTGGTATTAAAGGCTGTGTGCTGGACGCTGTCCGGAGCTAAAAGATACAAGGCTGCGAAGACCATGGAAGCCATCATCTGGTTGAGAAGACATCTTTATATTGCGAATCGACACTAAATAAGACAAATGTTCACTCTGGAAGCAAGTTCAGGTACTAGAAAACAAATGTCGAGTCCTGATTACAATTTACAAGCACAAGCAGCTTGACTCGGGATTGTAATTTCGATTGCACTTTGCCATCTCTGAGTCGGAGCCATTGCTCTCATACTTCGTTGGTGGACCTCCTGCTGGTTGTACTCCCATATGCTTTGGCTACTTCTTCGATGGCCAGCCCTCACCGTCCATTGACAGGAATAATGGCACCTGAGTTGCACCCAATGGTCGACCATCAATCCTGTTCGCAGCATAAAGATAGACATCAGCAGCAGCTTGACCTGATCTTGGAACAGCGACGAATACAGAATAAGTCACGCTCGGACGATATCTCGTAGATCTAGAGACAGCAGTACAGGTAAGCGCACCCGTGGAATCCGTGACTGAGCATTGAAGCGGGCTCCAGGACGTTGGATAGCTCTCCAGGTAATCCTGAGTCAGAGTAGCCAGCTGCACTGAATCTGAACGGAAACCGGTGATCTCGTAGCTAAGAATGTTGTTACTGCTGCCCAGATAGAGATGTCCGGAGGTCTCGTTGAAGGTGTAGCCTAATGCTGGAGGTTGTCTGCGGCCAGTGTACACGGTTGCGTATTCATTCTTTCCGTCTTGTCTGGACTCCAGCGCCCGGTTCTTAAAGGCAGGGCTCAGAGGTCCAATGAAGACACGGGAGCCGCTGCGAATGGCGTCTTGAGTCGAGGTGGGTACACTGCTAGGTTCACTCAGTGTCGTACTAGAAATGGCGGATGAGGCATGGGAAGAAGTTGTCGAGCCAAGATCCGTAGATATGCTGCTTGAAGCAGTCGCGGTGGAAATCCCAGTGCTAGTTGTGTTCATCGAGGTCTCCGTTGCAGCTGAAGAGGTGGTGGTGACAGAGGATGAGACACCAGATGTGGTGGCAGTCGAGAATCCATCTGACGAAGTAGTACCATTGATGAATAGCGAGCTGCTGCTACTGCTTGACAAAGTGCCATTCACGGCTCCTGTCGTGATTGGAATGACAGGACCACTAGGCACTGTGATGCTTGGGAAGGCGGTACTTGATCCATTCGACGCGGTGATCGATGAAGACAAGATGGAAGAAGTCGAGGAATTGAAAGCAGGAACAGACGCTGTGGGATCCAAAGACAAGGAAGTAATGGTTGCGTTGCCGTAAGGTGCTCCGCCTGTCGAAGCACTTGACGAGAAACCGCTTGACGGTCCGCTACTTTCTGAAGCTGAGATCGCGCTGGTACTGCTGTTGGTAAGGATCTGAGACGAAGACAATACGCTGGTAGATGCAGGCGTCGTGGGACCGATTAAGGTAGTGCTGCTGGTTACATTGCCATAAGGAGCTCCGCTTGGAGAGATGCCTGACGAAAACCCACTTGAAGTTGCTGTGGCGATGTTCGAGCTGCTGTTGGTCGTGATAGAAGTCAAAGAGGACACGACGGTTATAGAAGGTGCAGTGGGATTGAAGGGCCTAGTGCTGCTTGTGCCATTACCGTATGGACCTCCGCTTGTGATGGCGCTCGAAGAGAAACCGCTCGACGCTGCAGTTGTGGTGGAATTATCAGGGCTTGTACCAACGATGGTAGTGCTGTTAACGGGCTTAGCGGTGGAGATACCAGTCGGGGCGACTCCGGTGGGACCAACAGGGCGCGTAGTGGTTGTACCGTTGCCGTAAGGAGCACCACTTGTGGTAGATGAGGAAATACCGCTTGACGGACCTGTCCCCATAGGACCAGTAATCACTGACGAGGGCAACACGCCACTGGTTGTGCTATTGACGAGGACGACCGAGCTGGATGAAATTCCTGTACCCATAGGGACAGTGGGGCCAGCTGAAGCAGTGCTGCTTGTACCATTACCATATGGTGCTCCGCTAGAGGCAATGCTTGAGGAGAGACCATTAGAAGCTTGCGTACCTGCCGGATTTGTTGTGTTAAAGGAAGCACTGCTGGTGGTGTTCACCGGAGAATAGGTCGAGAAGGAGCTATGCGTCGGCAGAGTCGAAGTAGGACCGATCAAGACCCCACTGGTTCCGTTACTGTAAGTTGTACTGGGCACACCAGTTGTAGATAAGGTGCCGTTGGCGAGAACGCTACTCGAAGTGAGAATGGTGGTGCTGTTTGCGGTGGCTGTTGGGAATGAATTGGCAACAGTGCCACTTCTAGTGTTGTTGGATGACGTTCCACTGGTAATACTAGAATAGAATGCGCTCGATACACCGCTGCTGATTACAGTACTGCTGTTGACAGAAACACTTGAGACGCTGCTGACAGACAACGAGGCCGTCGAGGTCGTACTGGTATTGTTGGTTCCAGTGGTCATAGCGGACGTGGAAGAAGATCGGTTAGTCGAAGGGTCTGAGGCGGATGAGGTTGTCTCTGAGGAAGTTGTAACCTTGAGAGAGCCAGACGAGGTGCTCGTGGAAAGTGACGTGGATGAGGAGCGCGAAGACGACCTGGAGGAAGAGCGCGAAGAGGTCTTCGAGGAGGTGCTAGACAAACTCGTAGTCACAGACTTTCCTTGGATACAGTCGCAAAGTCCCAGCAGATCGGCTACAGAAAACTTCTCAAAAGGAGACGAAGCTCTAGGGCTAATCTTATGGTCAGCTTTGTAAACAAGGCACAAAATATACTACTGACACTCTCGTGTAGAAGGAACAGAAGTTCCGAGCTTCGGTGAACTCGCTCGAGAGTTCGGCTCTACAATCGGAGCGGGCACTTCTCTTTGCGAGTAGACTCAAACCATCGATAGCGGGCACAGATCTCTTATTGTTCGTGGCATGGGTGCCGATGCAATAGCAAACTGCGGTGACCTCAGAAGGCAACAACTCAATGAAGGGAGATCTGGAGCGAGTTCTATATCCAAGTCAGACATGTCCCTGCAAGGGATGTTTGGTGTCTTACGCTGACAGCCACCAGTTACAGAAGTATTCTTTGTGCTTGACTGTATGGCGAAAGGTTTCAATGTTGCTTGCGGAGCATCCGTTGCCGGCTCTTCCAATGAGTGAAGGGGAAGCTGAAGCCTCAGCTATGAGCACGATGGAGAAAAGAATGACAGAAAAGATTTTGAAAGATCCCATGGCTGCTGTTGAGTAACGATCGTGATGAAATGATGGTGTTACGGTTGATGAGTGCAGTACGTCGAGGCAGACATCCACATTATATACCTTTCGCTCAAATCCCTATCTCATAGTAGACCGTTTCCACGAGCCTGCATATTCGCGTCAAGCAAGAAGACGGAGAGAGCGAAAACGGTTTTCTCAGCCAACAAAAGGCGCAACGTGCTACTGCGGAGCTGACGTGAAGTCGCGTTGAGCTGAGTTTCAATGCAGTTGCCAAAGCAGATCGAGGGGCAGAAAGCAGGAGATACTCCAGGCAGCCTCTTAGCCGTTTGTTCATGGGTCTAGAAACGCGCAACGCACAGTATAAACTGCTACACATCCACAGCTAGGGCATAGAGATGTTCTAGTCAGATCGTAGACGCAGCAATCCAAGAGTATGTACGATAATCAGGTATCAAGAAGCTGCGTTGACAGACACGAGTTTGTTTCGGATGAGTGGTGCAAAGTTGATGGCGTGGTGGAAACATGGTCTGTGATTACTGTGGCTCCATTGTCATACCTGGTCCGCGGCTCGACGATGATTGGCACGTACGAGCACGAATGCATATGCAAAGACTTGATCGTCTGCATCTCGAAGGCTTGTATGCAGCTATCCCAGGATCGTCCCGTGGGGGAATCAATCTGGCTGTGAATATGCCTCGTCCCCCAAGTATGGCAGGGGCTGGGAACTGCACGATGCAGGACCCGAGAAGCGCCGACACACAAACTTGGACCTTGCAGCATGGTGCATATCTGGGTCTCAATATTCGCGTTGCGAACATACCGTTCATCTCATGATCTGTGTCGGACTACTGATTCTCAGGATTGCAGTGTTGATGAATTTGAGTAGCTACTGTAGCAATTATTGACACTGTCACACTCGACCCAGCATGTGATGCATGGTTCAGGTATAGAGATAGACTGGGCGGTCGCGGGTCAACTGCTTACACGTTAGGTCCCAAGTATGCATGCGGTTTTGTCGTCAGAATGCGCGTGAGTTTGGTTGAGATGCAGAAGTACCTTAGAAAAACTTTAAACTCAAGGCTTGTCAAAAGTCGATGTGTTCTGGGGTGCTTAAGTTGCATCTGCAGCGCGAGTGGTGTTAGGGTTGTGACGTGCTTGCTGCAGGTGGCTTGCTTAGCTTGGCACCTGCTCATATATCCTACCTATGCAAGACTCGGGTTCCTGCGTCGAACAGACAACCCATGCAACCTGGTAGCGTAATCCAGCTTGTTCAGTGCAAGAAAGGAGCTGATAAAAAGGAGAGTTAGTAGAAAGCTGTGGACCAGATTTAGAGCATATCGCAAAACTTCGGACGACTAGCTGTTCCGGAGATGAGACCGCAGACGACAAGCAGAGTAACTTTCGAACCCAAAGGGCGCTAGGGGAGACTGCCTGACTGGAAGATCAGCCTCGGAGAAGATAGTCGACGAATAGAACGCCATGATGTTGATACCCGAGAATTGCTGAGCAATCACAATGACCGAAGACGAAACCGTGGCTCGGCGGATCCTAGGAACAGTGAACGGCTCCATCACTCTTTTCGACAGCGACTTTCCCTTGAAGTCTTCGGATTCTGCCATCAACTGACAGTGGGCGTAGAACAATTCGCGAGCTGAGATGAGCTCCGTGTTTCTGATACGGCAAAATGCTTTGAAGGCTTGCTGATACCTTCCTTTCTTCATAAGCCAACGAGGACTTTCCGGACAGAGCCAGATGAGAACGAGCAGAGGCATTGCTGGCACAAACGCTGCAGAAAGTTGGAAACACCATGCCAATCGGCCAACATCCATGAAGATCAGATTGGTGCTGAAACCCAACAATATTCCAAAGGCTACCCAGAGCTGGAAGCTGGTCACGATACCACCACGAATGTTTGCGGGTGATCCTCAGCGCTGTACATGGGAATGGTCGAGATCTTGATGCCCATACCAAGTCCCATGAACAGTCTGCAAATCATGAGATCCACCCAGTCTTGCGTGAACCCTTGAGCAAGAACTGGGAAAACCACGAAGAGTCCGGTGATGAAAATAGTTCCTCGACGTCCGAAGAAGTTGTTGACGGGATCTGCAGCCCATACACTAAGTAGACCGAAAAGGGACGGCGCGGAATTAATGACTCCGATCAGCCAAGGTTGATCAGCGATACCGAATTCTTCTAGAAATAACAAGTTAGCTCCATTAGCACCAGTGTTGTCCTAGCCTCTACATTTTAAGGTTAGCCTTCGTGTTTTTGGTGATCATCACGAGAATCAACAGATGTACCACCCCGAGAACGAGAGGATGGTGCTGGAAGTTTGCAAAGAGCTCAAGAACCAAGGCTGGAAGGCGGCATATACTCGCATCGTGAGTCAAGATATCGTGGGTCTCAAGAATCCGGCTGACATTGTCAGGCTGTCAACATGCGCAAAGACAATATCGGCAACATCAAAGGTCGAACTCTGCTGCAGGTCTATCCCAACGAGGCCTACGACACGCAAGCCGTTCTTGACTCGGCTCGTGCGTATGCCAAAGAGTTCGAACGCGTTGGTATTTCTCAGTTCAGATACTGCATCAAGATCCCCTCCACTGGTCCAGCACTCAACGCATGTCCGACATTGGAGAAGGAAGGTATTGCTACTCCCGGTACTGCTCTGTTTGGTCTCTCTCAACCTATCGCTTGTAGTCAAGCTGGTTGCTTGTACATCAGCCCCTACTTCAACGAGGTCAAGGCCCATGACGACCTGAAGCTGTGGCCGAATGTCGAAGACCCTGCTACCCAGCACACCATGTCTGCTCGTACCCTGCAGATCCTCGAAACATACGCACGTCTGTACAAGGAGACGGGCAAAGACCAGCCTCTGCTCAAGCAAGCTAGCTTCATCACAGCAAAGGAAGCCATGGCTGCAGGAGAGCATGGTTGCCACAGTGCTACCATTTCTCCCCAAGTCTTGGATGAATTGTCCAAGCTTACCTACGATGGATCCAAGCAGCCTGGTGAAGGGAGGCCCAAGCCTTCGAATGCATACGCTGGCTACAAGACACCCGCGCGTCTTGCCGAAGTGTCCAAGGTGGACCCTCTTGCTGCAGCTGAGATCGATGCAAAGATTGCATGTACCGATATTAACTACCTCGCCAATGACGGTGAAGAGTTGCAGAAAGCCATCAAAGCCGATCCAGTAACATCTCAGAGACTCGATGACGCTCTCAAGCTCTTCACCAGCGGATTGTTGGAGAGCAAGGCCAAGATCGAGGAGTGGTTCGAGCAAGTATAGGTCGTCTGGGAACCAGGGTCGTAACCATTTCCTGCCTTACGTAGTATTCTCGATATACAAGATAGACCTCTCCATTATGCAACCATTTTCATGTCTTACAGTGTTGAAGTTGAAGTCTCAAGAAATCGGTTTGTCGAGTAAGTTAATTATCGGCTGTAGGTTGACGAGGGCAAAAAGTTGTATTGCTGAACGCCTGTATCATGGGGTCCCACACGCTAGGGCTTGCCGTTCTCTCCACTGGTACTGACTTGTAAGGGTACATGGAGACTGAATGCCGAGACATTGACCGTGGGTGACGGTGCAGAGTTGAGTCAGGTACGAAATGAGCAGGAGTAAACCCTGGCTCGGGCAACAAAGCCATATTTAGACTACTGAAGCCAACATCCAGGCTTGGGGTAGGAATGGCAGCTTGCGACGGGACGAGGGACTGCTGCCAGTCTTCGACCTGCATTGTGTACCTCTCCCTTGACGACGGGATGGCTACAGGAACCTCAATGATTTCTGACTGCAGTTCAGCAAGCTCTTCAGCCGTCAAGGTCTCCAATTCACCCAAGTAATCGTTTGTCGATTGAACAGCGTTCTCTTCCAATCGTAGTTGTGTATTCGGCTGTTCAGCTGCTTCTTGGGCGTTGGCCAGCAGGTCCAAACATTGTCTCCATTCGCGAACTTCGAGAACCAGCGCATCTCTTTCAGCTTCCAGACTCTCTATGACAGCTTGCAATTCGTCGAGTCGTCTCTGTTGTGTCTCGTGGTGTTTCAGGCTTTCTTCTACTGGTATGCTTGGATAATTTGGTCTCTTTGACATCAGAAAGAGTGGGCAGCCTTCTGGCAAGCGCCTGTAGCCATACATTAGTGATGGCAGCCTCCGATTCTTGTCATGACTTGCCAAAAGGTTGTCGCTAAAAGCTTCGCGGCGTTCTTTCTCGAGGACTCGGTGCTTTGCTCGGTCCTCCGCGGTCCATACTCGAATCCTCTTTTTGTGTCTTCCATCAGCGCCTTCTGATCCGACAGAGCCTCCAGAAGGCGGACTGTCCATTGTCACAATGGCACGAGCTTGCAAGGTATTGATGATTATCTGTTCATAAGCTGTAGAAATAAGAAAAGGTGAGGGGTTGTCATAGGAAGATGAAACAACTCCGACGGGGCTCGTTTGTCTTCCCCGCTCTCCACCTCGGGAGCCGTTGAAACTCAAAATGTGGTGGAGCGGAACTCTTGCCGATCAGAAAATCAAAAAGCGTTCCTCTTTCACCCTTGCCTTGTTTCTTGATCGACAAGGGCGTGCCTTCGAGTGCAATATCACCATGAAGGGAAAACCACAACCACCCCCAGCTTTCTTGAGTCGTACCGTACTGCTCTTTTTGCAAGTCGGATTGGCGTTCATCCTCGCTCGCTTGGTGCTCTATACCTACACTGCTTCCAATCCTGAAGACCGCGAAGTATCATCATGGTTCATCGCAAAATTTGTGCTGGTGGTGGCATTCATTCTGTGCCTTTGCTTCCAGTCTCTCTCATGACCGACAGGGGAGACATTCAAGGTCAGCTTTGATTCAAGAGTGGAACGATATTACCGACACGGAGCTTCGTGAAAGTACATGGAGCAAAAGAGACCTGTTATCCAACGCTATTTGCCTAGTTGCAGTACAGATGAGCGTTACAGCCTCATTGTCTTACATCAAAGATTATCCCATGCGCCTTCAGCAGTCTCAAGCTTCCAGTTACCACCATCGAACGGCCACCCGACGAGACCAACGCTGAGATATGCCGTCTCTTCGATCTTCTGGGCCTGATTCTTGAGTTCATTCACATCCCAATTTGCCCACAGGAACTTCCCCCTCAAGAAACGTGCTTCAGGGCTTGCAAGCCAGACGATAAAGCTCGCAGGAAGTGAAACTACACAGACTCGTCAACACAATCCACCCAAGTCGAGCTTTGTTCAACTCACCATCATCCGAAAAGCCAATGGCATCAATACCGCCTGCTTCCCTGTTCATTGCAGTGTCCACGATACCGGGCTGAAGATGAAAAACGGACATCTCAGGGTTTGCAAAGGCAAGAGAATCCCAAAGTCGACATATCGCCAGCTTGCCAATACTGTAGGCAGAGAATCCGGGGCTAAAGTTGACGTGCGCAGCGGACGAGTTAATCTCGACGACGGTCGCATTGGGACTCGCATGCCTGAGGAAAGCCTGGGCGACAAACAACGAACCCGAAATGTTGGTATGGATGGCGTCCATGAACTTATCGCTGTTCACATGTTCGATCGATTCTAGAGGCCCAACGACAGCAGCGCCGCTGACCAAGATGTCAACCTTGTCGTCTCCGAGGAATTTGGTGAATGTGGCATCGACTTCGCTCTTCTTGGTGACATCGGTAGGGAAGATGAAGACCTTGGAACCATCGTGCTCGCGCTCGATAGAAGCCTTGATATCGAGGAGAGGCTGTTCTCTACGTCCGAGAAGGGCGATACGTGATGATCCAGCTTGAGCGAAGTAGCGTGCTGTCTCTGCGCCGATGCCACTGCCACCTCCCGTTATGATGACAGTCTTGCCTTTGGCAGACAGCTCAGGGCGCAAAGGCGACAGAGAAGAATAAGTGGTGGAGTGCCAGGTCGTGGTCGGTGATGGGAAGGGAGTTGCCATGATTGATGTTTATCGTGCAGAATAGTACGTTTGATGCCAAAGTGATGGTAGAAGGCATTGGTTCAGAGCAGGCTTCCTCCTACCTTTTATAAGCCGAACTTACAGTTTAGGCGCTCCCGTGAGATATATTCATGTCAGCCTTGAAGCAGCCCTCAAGCAAGTCAGGCAATGTTTTGCAAAACCTCTGATGCCGGCGGGATGTTACAATTTGTCCTCTACAATTTGTCCCGCCCGGGGATTGCATCGCCAAGAGTTGTTCAGGAGGCTGACAAATGCGACCACATTCGACATCACGATATATTCTACTTCTTGGAGTTACACTTTGTACACTCCAAGAATTCGAGAATGCCGGACGATTTTGTGGTGCAAGCCACACTGCGGTGTGAGCAATGCAACAAGCCATTCAATAAACGTGAGTTTTCATACATGATGGCCTCCGAAAACGCCCAGGCCGAGCTTGTATGGTAACCTGACAGCGGTATCTTGCAGAAAGCACTTTGAAGAGACATGGATACTATTGTCGTTCTCGTAGAATTGGTCGTTGTAGTCGTAGCCGGTCTTGCGTCGCTTGTGCAAGAGGAAAAGCACGCTGCGACAATGGCCAGCCCTCGTGTTCGAGATGCGCAACAAAGACTTTGCAGTGTCACTATCCTATCAGCTCATCCGATCCTACCGGTCTGACATCAGTCGCGATACATGGAATGGAACCTCCAAGCTCTTCTCTCGCTCAAGATCGCCCGGTAGAAGGCGGAAATGCCCACGTGACTTTGGACAGTGCAACTACCACATTAACGCCAGCCTTCATAAGCCCCGAGAGGCAGATGCTCGACTGGAACGACCTGAACTTCGCGCAGGATTTCGGTTGGGCAGATCCATCGCTTGATCTTGACCATTTACTGATCGAACAGAGCAACATGACAACTGATCAAAATTCGATACGGCATATCGGACCCGGTACCCCTGCACAGCGGGAAGTTGCTTTTCACAACATATCAATACCGACGTCTCCATCAACATACACTCTACGGTCTCTTGTGCTCAGACCAGACCGGGACCCTGGACAACAACGAATAGCAAATCTTGCTCTTTCCACATTGAAATCATATCCATTGATGATCATGCACCACAAAACTTTTCCACCCTTCATACATGCGCAGTCAATGTTATTGCACAGCAACAACGATAATATGGAGCCACTCGCCAATTGTCTCAGTCTGATGTACATGATCGGCGGCAACCTACGAGGAAGCAGAAAGTTGTTCTGGAAGAACGTGAGTATGGAGTGTGAACGGTTGCGTGAAGAGGTATGTAAGATCAAAGTCATGCGAGCGATATAGTAGGCTTATATCGGAGACACAGCACGCAAAGTTGAATGCATGGGAGTTACTCGCTTCCATGCAAGCTCTTTCTATCTATCTCCTGGTCAGACTGCAAGAAGGAGAAACAGACTATAACAACTATGATTACTTGATGCTCACCACAGTCATTGTAGATAAGCTCTGCATACCCGACTGAACTTTACTGACGTTGCACAGGTTATCTCAAAGGTGTTTGCTAGAACTGAATCGGGGTGCGATGTTGAAACGGCATGTTCGAGCCACAATCTGGAGATGAACTGGAAAGCTTGGGTTTTTCTAGAATCAAGAAGGAGGTCAGATCGTCTACCCCCTTTACAGCTATTCAAGACTGACATTCAAAGATTGGCTGTGATCTACCGAGTCGTCGACATGCTTGTCTACTTCGAGCCAGCGGGTATGTGTGGCTTGCAAAAAGACCTCATCATCGCTCCACTACCGGCCAAGAAGCAGCTTTGGGAGGCGGATAACAAGATTTTGTGGGAAGAGCAAGGCAAGCGAGACAGTGCAATCCAGGACAGTTTTGCGCTAGCCGCAAATGGCGAGCTCGTCAAGTTGGATCAAGGACAGTTGTATTGTAGTAATGGAGAGCTACGGTACCGGCTATCAACCAACAACTCCCCAGCCTCATCTGCAACGAACTGGGAGTATTGGTGTTCAGGGATGGACGGACTAGGCGGACTTGTCATGCTTGCAGCATCATTGATAGTCTAACTCTGTATGAAAAGAGGGTGGAAAAAGAGTGAGTTCGAGCTGTTGCGTTGTATGACCACAAGAATATAGACGGTCGACGATCATCCAGCGACACCAAAAGTCAACCACAAAAGCAATCAGAGCGCACTGTTAATGCAAACCACATGGAAAAAGTATGCAACCATTCCCACAGCACTGAGCACCGCAAATGAGATTGCTATCTTGGAAACGTCAGCACAGTCTCGATCAAAGATTACAGACAAGCATTGACATACCTTGATATAGTGAGAACCCAGATGAGCAGCATCGTTGAAAATCATAATTCCGAGTCCAAGCAATAGAAGTCCGATACTGAGATTCAATAGGAACACAGGGGTACACCACACGAGCAATGACCGCCAGCAAAGCACCCAGCTTGGTTGTGGCGGACAGGTTTTGGTTCGAGCGCCAGTAAGTTTACAAATGCGTTCGTCTTTGTCTTCGCACGAATTTATCCGACTTAGTGCGATGTTCTGTTGCACCGCGGTACAGATAGACAGCAGGGCGTAGAGTAGAGACCCGTGCCAACAGACTATGGTGCCTATGGGGAATTCTTCGACGCTCCTCCAGCCTATACAGGTGGTTACTGTTGCTGCAATTAGAGCCCCCTAAATGAGCTATTAGTATGTATCGCCGGGCTGCGTTATGAAGGTTTTCTCTTACTGCCAGTCCGACAAAGTTTAGCTCGCCAAGTCTGTCGGCTCTCCAAGCGTCGATGAGGGTTTTGCGTTCTGAGCCTGACTTCGATAGGAAGTGCAACAACTTCGCCGTCGAAAGCGAAAGATTTAGGCTTTCAAGTTTGGGATGTCCGGGATTTGGTTGACAATAGGAATCGAAATTTGACGAGATCAAAGCCAATTGTCTCAACAACTTTTCACCAAACACTTGATTGTAGAGCAACACTTCAGCGATTAGCTAGCCCGCAACAACTATGAATGACTATGAAATCCCCATGAATAGGATCATGTCATTTGCTCGAAGTCAAAAAGCCAGGGTCTCCCGCGCGGGATCAGATAAGATGCGGAGATCCTCTACCGGATCAGGCCCACACTTCCGGCATTTCAAATCTCAAAGATAAGACAAAAACGCGATGGAACTACAGGCTTCAATTAAAAAAGTGGAAAGAACACTTTGGGCAGTTGAGAAAGCAAACAGTATCATTAACAGCATCAACAGCATCGAAAACATTACAAACACCCCTAACAAGAACAAAGATCCTAAATCAAAGAAACAGCCCATGAAGATATACGAAAAGCACCTACCATTACCATTAACCCTCTCTCTCTCAATCTCTTCTGTTCAGATAAACCTTTACATGCCCATGAAAGCACCAAAGATACCACAAACAACAGCCATACCACCGACGAACATACCAGGCTTGGTTGCAGCACCAGTGAAGACTGCAAGACTGGGAGAGCTGGTTCCGCTGGCGGAGGAAGAAGTCTTTGTCGAACAAGTTGCGCAAGAGCCGGAAGAGCCGGAAGAGCCGGCGTTGCTGTTGATTGCGACGTAGCCGTTGGTTCCGGGTCCGGCGTTGGGTGCACCGGCACTGGGTGCGCCGGCGCTGGGCGAAGAACCGGGACCTTGAGATCCAGGAGCTTGGGCGCCGGGAACTTGCGAGCCAGATGCCTGAGGCACCGTGACAACGGCGGTAGCGACACCTGTGGATCCACCGACTGCGACATTTCCGTTGGTGACAGGGATGACGGTGCTAGCGGCAGGGCAGGTTGTAGTGGTGGTGTAGAGCTTTCCACTGCTGGAATAGATGATGACGGATACGACGGGCACGTTCGAGCCGGAAGACGGCATGGAGACAGTGTTGACTGCATTTTGACCAACGACAGTGACAGCGGAGTTGGAATTTGAGCCAGAGCCGGTTCCGGGCATTCCGTTGGAAGAGCCGCTTGCGATAGCACCAGTAGCGGCGGCGGAAGCGGGACAAACGGTAGTGTAAGCGACCACAACACTGGTCAACGAGGTGACTCTATCCCTGGCAGGGCAATCTGTGACAGTAGGGGGGCAGCCGATGATGGTCTGGACGGAAGTGCTGTAAAGTGTTGAAGTGACGAGGCCAGTCGCAGCGGCGCCGTTGTTGGCGAAAGTGGCAGTAGTGAGGTAGGTCAGCTTTTCAGAAGCCGGGCAGTTCAGGACAGTCGAAGGGCAGGCCGTGACAGTGAATACGGAAGTGGTGAGTTGTCCGCCAGCAGCAGCGCCTGCGGCTCCAGTAATGGCCGGGTTGCCAGCAACGACTGAGCTCCCGGGAAGTCCGCCGATTGCGTTTCCGGTAGTGACGGGAAGAGACAAAGATGGAATGGCATCGGCACCACACGCGACACCAGCTCTAGCATCAACAACACTGGACTCGAACAGAGCAAAAGTGACGCCGAGGTCTTCGCGTTCTGAATCAAGATCGACGCAGCTGTAGAAAGTGCATGTGGCGGTGCTTTCATCGAACGAGGTACCCTTGCAGTTGACATCTGTGGAGCAAACAGACAAGCAATCGGCGAAAGTCTGACCTTGTCTCTTCATCAGATTGAGTCCAACGTTGAGAGTGACTCCCATGTATATGGTGTTGTACTGGATGCCGAAAGTGACACCGTTGACAGTCGTGGCAGTCGGGAGAGCAGGCGACGAAGAGGTTGAGGTGGCGCTGGATCTGGAAGCTGATGATGAGCTGGATGCGCGTTGAGTCGAGGCGACAGATGAGAGTTCGGACAAAATTGATGATGGAAGATTGCTAATGATGCTCGAGATCACGCTTGAGGGCAGGCTGGAAAATACTGATGTAGGGTTTGCAGTGGGAAGAACGTCTGTGGGCAAGATGCTCGTAGGCAGCGAGCTCAAAATACTAGAAATGACCGATGACGGAAGTTCAGTCAGGATTCCCGAGGGCAGAGCAGTTGAGAAGACAGGGGTAGGGAGAACCGAGGAGGACTGAGCAGTCAAGACGTTTGTAGGAAGGGCTGAGATGATACTGGAAACGACGCCGGAGGGCAGGCCACTCAAGATGCTCGAGATATCTGCGGGCACATTCGTGGGAATGACCTCAGTGGGCAGGGCACTGAGAATGCTCGAAACCACGCCGCTGGGCAGATCAGATGTAGGAAGACCTGTCAAGATGCTCGAGATCAAGCTCGGAAGAGCAGTCGTGAAGACGGGCGTGGGAAGAATCGAGGAGGACTGAGCAGTCAAGATGTTCGTGGGAAGGTTTCCAAGGATGCTGGAGATGACGGGAATTGGCAGCTCGGTCAATATTCCTGTAGGAATGACACTGGGCACGTCACCAAGTATACTCGAGACCAGCGATGTAGGAAGATTGCCCAACACGCTCGAAATCACATTGGTGGGCAGTTCGGTCAAGATTCCTGAGGGAATCACTCCGGAAGGAATCACCCCTGAGGGAATCACTCCGGTGGGCAAATCACCAAGCACGCTCGAAATCACCGCAGTCGGCAGATCACCGAGAATGCTTGACACTACCACTGAGGGCAGTTCGGTCAATATTCCTGTAGGGATTGAGCTGGGCACGTCACCGAGAATGCTTGAAACCAGCGATGTGGGCAGATCTCCGAGAACGCTCGAGATTACGTTTGACGGCAACAAGGTCAAGATAGCTGTCGGCAATTGGGACGTCAGACCCGTGGGCAGATTGATAGGCAGATCTCCGAGAACGCTGGAAATTATCGATGTAGGCAGAGGGTCCAAAGCGCTCGAGATTGCTCCAGAGATATCGGTGGGCAATGCGCCGTCGGAGGCAAGACCAGTCAGAGTTGCAATGACTTCCGAGACGATGCTAGAAGGCACAACATTTGTGGGAAGGCCAGCCACGACGGACTCAATGCTTGAGATGATAGCACCTGCGTCTGTGGCTTGGGCTGGCAGTTCGGATGCAATAGTTCCGACAAGGGAGGTGGCGGCATCTGGCAGACCAGTGACGATGGATTCGGCGTCAGAGGCGACGCTGGTGGCGATGGAAACGATGTCGGAAGGAGCAGCGCCCACGATAGAACCAATTCCAGAGGCAGCATCAGTCGGCAAGACACTGTTGACGATAGACACAATGTCAGAGGTAGCGGCGCCCACGATAGAGCCAGCATCAGTCGGCAAAACGCTGGTGACACCAAGGATGTCGGTGGGAGTTGCAACAACAGCGGGGAGAGTGGGAGTCGGGTCGTCCAAAAGCCCAGTGGCAACAGAGACGACATCGGAGACAATGGGGGTAGACAGAATTGGGCCGACGATGGTGGAAACGACGGGAAGATTGAGCTGAGCATCAGCGACTCCAATGTACTGCACGCCGGCAGCTCCAAGAGCCAGAATCAACGAGTTGACCATGATTAAAGAGAGTGATTAAGGAACGACGACTCCTGGTGGGTTGGTAAATGAATGAATGACTGGATGAGAATGAGAAGGAGGGAGACTTACGAGCAAGGCTTCTTATATGCCTGCCTTTGCCATGGGCGAGGACATGAGCAGCAGGAGAGAGATGTTCAAGGCCGGACATGAGCGGAGATGAACTGGTATAGGGAATCCCAGCGTCTGCGGAGGTTTTCAGGAGACGCATGTTCGGTCCGCCCAATGGCAGTAGTGAACGTTGTGTGTGGTTGCAGCAAAACAGTGTGTCGTGAGTCTGGACGGAGAAGGAGAGACTGTCACAGCCACTGAGTCGTTCGCATGGGAAGAAGGCGTGCATGCACAAGCATCATCGAAATTGCAGTTCAGGAGCTTGACAAACGTTAGAGCAGCAGATGTTCTCGACGCTTGGGCAAGAAAGCGCTTTGACAATTTCCGAAGGTGTCCGGAATATCGACGCTCTTGCATGGTGTTGGTCTGGGCTGCGAGCAGAAGTGGCTGCCGTGCTTCTGCGGCGAAAGACGATGAATGATGGCTTCATGAAGTCGATGTTGTGTCATGACCGACCATCTCCGGACTCGACGGGAAAACTCCTGCATACCGTTGGGCTTTCCGGCGTGCTTGCATGGCTTGGTTTTCTTGGCTTTCGAAACACCACGTCGACATCACGGCAAAATGACAAAGAAGATGGGCTTAATTTGATTTGATAGAAATATAATCCGGTCAACATCTGTTTGACCGACACAGAATGCGATAGGGGAGCAGTTGCGGGACTCAGGTAGGGTAGTGATTGTCTGGCTTGGCAGAGTCGAGTCTTGCCATCAGGTCATGGTATGCTTGGCGCATGTGCTGTATTTCGGCATCTTGTCGTTGCAGTCTTTCCTGTAGCACGCTATTCTCTTGTTCCAGTGATTCGACTCGGAGGATTGGGTCCAGCATGTGCGGAGTCGTTGGCGGAGGTACGTGGATAGGAGAAGTGTAGATGGAGTTGTAAGGCTGACTTCGCGTCATGGAAGCTTGGTCGTTCATGGCATCCTGGTAAAGAGGTGGCGGAGATGCATCAGAGTCGTTGATCGGAGGCAGTCCGTGAGGCTCGTCGGGTACAGGACTGTCAAGAGGTTGTGCTGCGGCGGCATCGGCGGCAAGTTTGGCGGCCAACCTCTTTCCCGACAGCTTGTATGGGCGATTCTGGTAGAGCGGGTGGCCTTTGGGGTAGCGACGCTTGAGATGGGGATTCATTTCACGGGCAATGTTGTACACTCGGTCTCTTCCTATAATGTCGTGTTCGGGATACTTGTGGCGCAGATACGTGTACAGCTCGGAGCGTTGCATCTTCACGACGGCTTCGTCCTGATACTCTTCTTCGAGCAAGTGCCTGATTTTGTTTTGCAGGTCCTCCTCGTTTGTCTCTGGTCGAATGCGCTTGTGTAGGCCGAGCTTCTTCCTCGTCTCCATGACGGTCCGGACGTTGACGACATGGCCGGCTTCGTTGAGGAGCTTGCAGATGTCGCCATCCGTCTGGTGAGGACCACGGAATAGTCTGGTCAACTCTTGTTGCAGAGCAGCCTTGTCCAGGTGAGAGCGTTTGGAGATGCCCCATGTCTTGAGGTTGCGTTCGAGGGTGCGCTTTTGACAGACGACGTTGTGTTCATGCTTGAGTTTGGCGATGACTTGAAGCACCTTCAGACCATCGTTGACGATCCAGTGTCGGATGTCGTCTTTGCGTGCTTCGAGACCAGCGACGGGTCGGGGCATGTTGACATGTGGGAATGTGGAGTTCTGGCGGAAGGAGGTACATCTGGCGAAGATGGTGCGACCGGTTGGCGGATTGCGAGTCGCGAGTTCGCCGAGGCTTCCACTTCCTTGGCTTCCTCCTTGCAGACGATGCGGCTCTGCGGGGAAGCCCTGACTCGGCAGCACGGCCCGAAACAATCTGGGGTCGGCGACTTTTGGAAAAAAAATGTCAGCGGCAACTCTGCCATCAACAAGAACATCACCAACGACAGGATGAAGTTGTCAAATCCTTCGGCCGTGCCCGTCTACACAATCTCGGGCTCAGCGACAGCTCGCCCTCTCCCGGAATGGCTCGCGCGACAGAGAAAGCGCAGTCTGAAGCAAGACCCGGAGTGGGCAAACAGAGTCGAGCTGCTGCAAGACTTTGAGTTCGAAGAGGCCTCGCAGTGTGTGAGGGTCAGTGACGACGGTGAATGGGTCATGAGCACAGGTAGGTGCTTCCTGGGAGACGGTGGAGAGTGATCAACGAAGAAGGAACTCACACCAGGCAGGAACATACAAGCCGCAGCAACACGTCCACTACCTTCCGCATCTGTCGCTCTCGTACGCGCGCCACACCGACTCGCTCAACCAGACCTTCCTCCTCCTCTCGTCCGACTACTCCAAGTCGCTGCATCTGCAGACGGACCGCACCCTCGAGTTCCACACGCCTGGTGGCATGCACTACCGCACACGTATCCCCCGCTACGGTCGCGACCTCAAGTACAACAAGCGCGCCGCCGAAGCCTTGATCCCGGCCTCCGGAGTCAATCAGGATGGAATGGGAGAAGTCTACCGCCTCAACTTGGAGCTGGGAAGGTACATGAAGGGCTACGAGGTCGATGTTGGAGGCGACGACTGGACAAGCTCGGGCGCAGGCGCTCTGCAGGGCGGCATCAACACGGGCTGCGTCAACACGGCCGCCATCGCCGAAGACTCACACAACCTCCTCGCTTTCGGTACTTCGATTGGCACCGTCGAATTCTGGGACTCACGTTCGCGCAGTCGCGTTGGCCTCCTCCAATCTCCCACACAATCCCAAGACCAGCGCCCGCAAGTCACCGCCCTCGAATTCCACCGCTCCGGCCTCAACCTGGCAACCGGCGACTCTGACGGCATCGTCCACGTCTACGACCTCCGTTCTCCCATGCCCCTCCTCACAAAAGACCAAGGCTACGGCTACGCCATCCAAACCCTCAAGTACATGTCGCCTACCTCGACCCAAGTCCAATCCGAGAAGCTCATGTCGGCCGACAAGCGAATCATCAAGATCTGGGAGGCCAGCAACGGCAATCCTTGGACCAGTGTCGAACCCGCCGTCGACCTCAACCATGTCGAATGGTGCAAGGACAGTGGTATGCTTCTCACCGCAAACGAAGGTCGCCAACAACACTCCTTCTTCATCCCTCAGCTCGGCCCTGCTCCCAAGTGGTGCTCTTTCCTGGACAACCTCGTCGAAGAAATGGCCGAAGATGCCCAAGACCCGTCAGCCTTCAACGCAGGCGCTCAAGAGACTGGCGCTGTCTACGACAACTACAAGTTCTTGTCAACTCAACAACTCCGCGAACTCAACCTCGACCACCTCGTCGGCACCACCTCCCTTCTCCGCCCCTACATGCACGGTTACTTTGTCGCCCAGAAGCTTTACGAACAGGCCCGCCTCATCAGCAACCCCGACATGTTCGAAGAACAACGCGCAAAGTCGATTGCCGAGAAGATCAACAAGGAGCGCGAGTCTCGCATCCGTGGAAACAAGCAAGCAAAGGTCAAGGTCAACAGGAGATTGGCGGAAAAGATGGCAGCAAGAGAAGAAGCAAACGAGCGTCGCAAGGCCAGACGTGTCTTGCGCCAAGGTGGAGACGACCCTCAACCACAGGCAGGAGGAGAAGAGGAGGAGGAAGATGCAGACAAGCCGGCCAGAGGTGTTCTCGGCGACGACCGTTTCGCTTCTCTCTTCCAGGACGAGGACTTCGAGATCGACGAGCAATCCCGCGAATTCGCCCTGCACAACCCTTCGACAGTACCAGTTGCAAAGGATGCCGAACGCAAGCGTGGTCTCACCGCTGTCGAAGAAGAAGCCAACCAGTCGGTTCACGGCTCATCAGACTCGGAATCAGAAAGCGACGTCGACGATGCCGCAGCAGAGAGACAACAACGTGGTGTCCAACGCCGTAATGACCGCGGCGATGACAACACTGTCGACAAGAACCGCATCTCGTCGACCAACTACCGCAAGTCCGGCCACAAGCCGAAACAACCGCAAATGTCCGTCTCATCCTCACAACCCAAGAACAAGAACGCGAATGCCAACCGCCGCGACCGCTCCTTTGGCACTCTCGCCCAAGGTCTCAGGGATCAACCCAAGAGCAGTATCAGACAAGGTGGTGTCGTTGGAGAAAAGGAGGTCACTTTCGCCCCGCAAAAGGTCACGAAGAAGCCTCAGAGGCGGAGAGACGACTTTGGTGGTGGTGATGTCGATGATGGTACTGGAAGAAAGATTCCCAGAGGCAAAGAGAGGAGAAGTGCCAGTGGAAATGTGTTTAGAGGCATGTAAGGTGTGTTTTGATCTGCATCAGCATTATGTTTCCGGGAGATTTGTCAATATACCCCTATTTTTCCCTCACTCATGCTCTCGATCAGTGCCTCTGAGTGGTGTAGATTCTTTCCCAATGCCTTCGCACTTGTTCCCCCCACTCCAACAAATGGCTTCTCTGCCTCGATCGTTCTCTTCTATGGTTTCCTAGCTCCAGATTGTACCACCGTCGAACACGCCAAAGCTGGTATTTAGAAAGATCGCGCTTTCCCCATGCTCTACGTAATATACTATCCAAGGGGACATCAGAGAGCCAAAAACCTCAATCGCACTCATCTCCTCGGTCGTACCGCAATCTGCACAGTATTGTCAGGCAAGGAAGCAGTTCCAATATCCCTGTTCTCTGGGCGTGGGCCTTTGATCTCCACTTCATAATTCAACACGACATGCGCCAACATCAACTTCATTTCTTGAGAAGCGAAGAATCGGCCAGGACAAGCATGACGTCCATGACCAAAAACCAGGAACGTGTCACTAGTCGTTGTCAAGTCCGGCGTGCTTTGACTTGGTCGAGAACCGTCCGGACCATGATGATACACTTGGTTCGCAAATCGTGATTGCGAGAATCGGAAAGCGTCGTACACTTCAGGTCGTTCGTAGAAAGTAGCGTCCCGGTGGATTGCGTCAATAGGAGTTGCGACCTGTACTCCGAAAGGAATGTGTATCTTTCCATCGAGATCCAACCCACACGGATTCGTTATCTGCATGTTCCTGCTTTTAGTAATCAAATTCCCGACCAGAACGAGCATATGGGCTCACGATTCTATTTGTACCAATCAAGCCGAAACTTCGGAGTCGCATGGATTCCTTGATCGCAGAGTCGGTACGGACCAGGGCGTCAATGCCTTCTTTGTTCCAGACACCTCCATGAGCGGCTAGTGTGCGTTCGCATTCTTCTCGAAGACCACCAACGAACCTGGTAGTCTCTGGAGAGGTATATAGATCGAGAATGGCGTTGGTGATGGAGATACTCGTCGTGTGAATGGCTGCCATGTTTAAGCGTAGAAGACGGCGACACAGCATCACAGGATCTAGCTCTACTGCATCACCACGTTTGATGCAATCTTCTATAAGCCATTGGAGAGCGTCGTTCTGGGAGACTTGGTCAGGTCATTGGTCCTAAGACTCTCCTTTAAGGCAAGGTTACCTACTGGCTGAGGGTTTCCACTGAAAGCACCATGAGCAGCTTTCAAGCGGGTTTCGATCAGGGGCACTGCAATCGCTTTACAATATTCGAGTTGCCTGGACGCCGGGTAGGTCGCGAACGGCGAGATCATTGGGCGTAGCCAGGCTGGAGCCAGATTGATTAACGCGGCAGCAGCAAAGATGTTCTGAGTATACCTCCGGGAATGCTCGAGAAAATTTGGATTACGACCTTGGCTTATTAGCGAGTTTTCCATCAATGTGTTTTCTTCCACACCTACAGAGATCAGCTCCGCAGAAGACGCGGTTAGCACCTCGGCTCACGATCTTCATACACGAGGTGTATAGAGGAACGGACTTGTATTGTCCCGAACCCCACTGCTCGAGGAACCCAAGTGTCAATTCATCAGCTATGTCTGCCGTCAAGCACTTGAGATGTCTATTCAATTGGCGTTTGACAAGGTCCACATGGACAGGATTCCGAACGATATATTCATCTCCTGTGTATCTCGCGGCTGTGTTGTGTTCGGCGACCAGTGGTAGGCTGACATCGAGATCAGACCTCGTTATTATATCTTTCATGTACGAGGGCGGTAGTATGAGGACCGGGTCACCGTTGAATTGCGGGATAGCGAAGGGCGTAAGCTTTTTCGTAAATTACGCGAACCGGTCAGATGAGTTTACCCATTGCTGAAGGTGATTGATAGTGTGCCCACCATACGATAGCCCTCGTATAAAAGGTAGCGAGACCTCGAAATGGAGGACACTTTGCTGCATGATCGTTGTGACCACCTCTTTGGGCGAGAGTCTGCCCATTTCTGAGACTCCCAAAAGTGATGCCGTCTCTGAATCAATGGTCTTGGAGATGCCGGAAAGAGTAGATAGAACATGATGAGGACGAGTCCAACGAGCAAGAGATACATGATGGGTGCTGATGGAGTGCTATGATGAGTCCTCTGTGGTTGAGAGCAGCTTCAGGACCTTGACACCGTACTTATAAGACTCCAAGAGAAGGCGCTACTATCTTTGATAATATGATTACGGAAGAGAATGGTCTCCGGAGCAATTGTCTGGGATCACATGTCAATTTCGTGTTTCAGGGGACTGATAGAGGTCGTCGTGCTCATCTTACCTTCTCTAAAACCGTTCAAGCCCAGAGTTTGAGCTCCGCTATCTGACCAAGGGATTCGTATGGCCTCTTTGCAAGGACTCCATTGAAAGTACTAACGACCTGGAGCCCGGCGTATATCGTAAGGACATGGTCGCTTGAATATCCTTTGCGTTACAACGGCCGTAAGGGGAAGCCTCAAGAGACCGACCAACTACGGTCCTATCACATCCATCCCCACCATCGTCTAGAAAACCCTCTAAGCCAACACCTTCGTGAACGTGAAGAAGTCTTGACGCATCACCTGATGTACCCGATATACTGGGCCCCAACATGATCAAACTTCTGACTACAATGATAGAGGATTCCTTGGGAACGAGCATCCACGAATCAAGAGTGGACGAGCAGAGGCTCATGCCGACTTACCCATGAGCCCATAGAGACAGTCAAGCCAATAACATAAATAGATATCATCGCCTCCAGATTCTCTCTGTATCGCTCCTCTCCTCAAGATGCCTGACTTCATCTCGTTGTCTCTGTATTTCCAGTCCGTCTGGGCAATGGTGGCGCTAGTCATCTTTGCTCTCGCATTGCTCGCCTGGTGCGCGGAGTCATAGTGGCTCCAATACAATAAGGTGGATGAAACCGAACCACCCCTCGCATACCATTCATCGGTCACATCCTGGGCCTTCTTTGGTACAGCCATGAGTACCCTGAGAAGATATGGTATGTGATTAAGGGATGTCATATCAATGACCCGTAAGCTGACCTTTGACTCAAGCCGCAAAACAGGATATCCAATCTGTACCATATCGCTGCTTACAGGGAAGGCCTACGTAGTCGGGTGTCCATCGACTATCCAAGCTTCCTTTCGAAATAGGGACATAAGCTTTGCACCATTTGCAATCGAATTTGTCGACCGCATGGACGTTCTCTCACAAGCAGCTAAAAAAGCATATGCTGAAGGCCTGCACGAAACTGTTATCAAGACGTTCCATTCCACAATGAACGGAGCCAGTCTGAGGAAGATGAACGTGGTTGCGTTGCAGGAGGTTGCAAGGCTATTGCCTGGTGGGGCTACTGAGCCCGCCGATCCGCAGACAGGCTGTCAAACTACAAGTGTTCAAGTTGAGGATGTGTGGGTATGGCTTAGAGATATTATGACTATCTCTACCACAACAGCCTTATTTGGGAAGAAGAACAGCCCCTGGCTGAAACATCCTTCCCTTGTCAAGACTTATTGGTAAGCATGCCTACCTATCTGCCAATACTTTCAACCCGCAGTTCGACTGACATGATTGGGACAGGGGCTACGAAGCAGGAGATGTTTCTGGGCGAGCCCCACTCACAGATCTTACCGACTGACGTTCGAAGAGAGATCATGCAGATCTTGTGGCTGCCCTATATGACTACTTTCACCAGCGACATGACATCCCCTCTCCATCACTGCCAGGTACCGTGGCCAACGAAGATCAAGGTGAGGTCGGACCCACGACGACCAAGTTGGCGGAGATCCAACGCCAAGTCGGGTACACCGCGACAGAACTCGGCGCGACATACACCGTCGTTCTCCACGGTGCACTTGTGAACATGGTCCCGACCATGTTCTGGTTCGCAATGTATGTCTTCACGCAGCGGAATCTGCTCGAACAGCTACGCATTGAGGTAGCTGTGGCAGTCTCAATGGACAGAGCCACTGGAAAGAATTGCCAACGCAACGCGTTTGTCAATAGTGGCAACATTGATAAGACCTGTCCTCTTCTGCTCTCAACATTGCGAGAGACGCAGCGTCTTGTCTCGTTGGGTACCCTGCATCGTCGAGCTCTCAAAGATACTGTCATTCCTGGCTTGGACGAGAATGGAAATGAACGATCGTACCTCCTGAAGAAGGGGACAGCTATGCTCTTGTCCATCAAGTGGAATCATCGCGACCCTCTAATCTGGGGAGCCTCAGTCAACGACTTCGTCGCAGATCGATTCTTCGACGGCGAGAACAAAAGACAAGACCCGGTCGGTGTAGAGGAACGAGTGGCTCACGATGATGATCATACAGGCACCGATGCGAGGAATTTGCGCCGAAAGGCTTACATGCCATTCGGAGGTGGTAAAGAGTTGTGTCCTGGCCCAAACTTTGCTACAAGCGAAATGCTCGGTACAATGGTCATTCTCATTCTTGGCTACGACATCAGAAGGAAAGATGGCGGCGTGCTCGACTTGCCGAAATTCGCACCGCCAAAGATGACACAGACCACGGCGCGACCCCATCCGGGTGCTGATCTGCAAGCAACCGTTAGCCGGAGGGAAGGATGGGAAGATATTCTCTGGTCTGTTCGTACACATACAGACCCTGAGACAGCTACTCGTCGCACCTGAGCTGATTCACCTTGGAGCTCACACCCGATAATATACACTCTGCGTTTTCTCAGCCCTATTCTATCTCAATCTCATATGACAATCTTAGCCATGACCACGGTTGAAGTTCTCAATGGGTTGGACAAGCACTATCTGATACCTGAAGCGAGCAAGTATTTAAGCTAGTATGATGATTGGGTACTGAATACAGCTGGACGTGTAGGCCGAAAGGAGATTACTAGTGGATACCGTATTGGTGATGAGTCCATCTACTGCTGCTTCAAATGACCTTTGGTCAGCCCGATCTCCCGCCTCAAACAATCTTCGACGGCTCTACGTAATCCCTCTCTCATTCCCACTACGGGTTTGTAACCAAGTCGCTGTTTTGCCTTTGTGATCGAATAGTATCTTGTCATGCAACTCAGCCTCACTTTGGTCCTGGTCAGCGGCGGGTTGCCAAGCCACAACGCCCAGTAGACCCATTCAAGGACGAAAGCTACTCCCATTGCCCAGGACCTAGGGACGACACATATGTGCTCGGGCTTTGTTGTATCACCAGCATACTTCCAGATTGTCCGAGTGAAGTCCCAGAAATACACTGGCTCATCGTTGGTGATGAAAAACGCTTCACCATCCACTTTGTCCTCAGCGACAGTCGTGTTGTCCTTCGCGTAGGCTGCTACCAGTGCCGCTGTAGCCAGAACGTGAGCGTATGCTACATTTGTGTTTTCCGTGAACTCGAACAAGTTTGTGTTGTCCCCGAGTTGGACCCAAGTCTGACCTCGATGGTAGGCTTCGAGGATTCCGGGAACAACCCACGAGTCGCCTACGCCAAAGATGCCGGAGGGGCGTAAGGCACATGTAAGGAATCGTGGCGTTCCTGTAGGCTGATTCTGGGAAAGAACGTACATTTCTGCGAGAGCCTTGTTTGGTTAGCGATGTGATATCAAGGTTGCTCCTCGTTGGAGATAGCTACCTTGGTGTTGACATAGTACTCAGGTTGCGCCTCGCCAATGATCAACGGATACGACTCATCTGCCCCTTTCAAATCAGTCTTGCCGTCGCTGATTACGCTTGCAGAGCTTGTGTAAATAAAGGCTTTTGTTCCGGATGCCTTCGCAATGTCAACAAGAAGCTTGGTGCCCTCGACGTTGATCCTTCTCATGACTTCCATCGACGCGTCGTATCTTGGGCTCGCGCAATGTATGACTATCGCAGGCTTGACCAGGTCGAACAAGGTCCGGATGGCAATCTCGTCCGTGAGGTCGGTCTGGTGGTACTGCACGCTTTCAAGCGGTTTGACAGGTGCCCGGAGATCGACGGAATGGATCCGCGAAGACTCTCGCATTGTTGAAAACATGGTGATGATTTGATGGCCTAGTCCTCCACTACCACCAGTCACTAAAACAGTGCCTGCATCCACGTCTGGACGAACTTGATCATCGTGGTTGTCCTGAGACATGTCGAAAGAGTTTTCGCCTGTAGAAGCACCTATAGAATGTTCAGTGAAGGAGCAGAGATGGATTTGCTGGACAGAAAAGTTCGAGCGAGCAAAGGATTAAAGGCATAGGCACGATCTCCGCTAAGCATTGTTTAAGGTTCAGCACAATCCGCAAGACAATAATTAGCAGTACGATATACGTGATGACACAAGCTCGGAGCTTGATACGAGTGTACTGTCGTGGAGCATGAAACAGTTTAGCGGCTTGGCAAGATTCTAACTGCTGAGCCGGACAGGTGATATCAATAGGTCTGTGCCCTAACACGCGTATCATATGATTATCAGTCGATCAGACAAAAGAGATAGAAATGTCTCGACGGCTGTGTAGCACAAGGCTCTTATACGTTTCGAATGAAGCATTAGGAGGCTAGACTCAATAGGTCCGGGGGGCGGATCGTACTTGAAGCAAGATTTGATAGCTTAAATAAGGGTCTTATAGCAGACAGCTTTGACATTAGACACTTCGAGTGGCTCGCCCCTGGGGACAACAGCTCAATTCCGATCAAAACATCGCGTGAAGTTTTTGAAGAGTGTTTATTAGTACCACGCTTAGCTTTTTTCTTGACCAATAGGATTGTTACCGCCCTGACTCCACGTTACACACAAAATCGAAGGCCTTCGTGCTTGTAAGGTTTGTCCCTGACCAAGGATATACACCTTCTGTAGAGTTTGTAACGTCTATGGTGCTTCTCTTTTCAGCGATTTAGGAAGGATGCCGAGGCTAGAGTACATGATCAATGCTTCCTCCATCTGTCTCCGGTTTTTAGTAGCCCTACCGCCCGAGCAAAGTGCGTGTTATCGCATCGAATTGTCTGAATTATGTTAGCTCATATCGTATAGCTTTTGCAAGGAAGACTTTGTTATCGTGAGCTTCATCGCAGAGTTCATTAACACATGCACCAATGCTGCCTACAGTACGCTTCATCGTTCTATGATCTGGTCGCTATGCTTACCGTCAGCTCTGTAGTCTTCTATGCTGCGCGTGCCCTTCGTCGATTGCCCAAAGACGCCTCTTTTGCTGCAAAATCTCTGTACTATGGCGTTGTACTTGTCGGTGTCTGCTCAAGCTTATTTCATGGCCTCTTGTCATATCACGCCCAGATGGGTTAGTCTTACCTTCGGAGGCCATCCTTTGTATGCATGCTGATACACGCCATGGAAAGCGGATGATACATCGATGATTGTTGCTACTTCGATCGTGCTCCAACGCGCAATGACATACCAGAAAACTCCGACATTTATAAACTGGTTTAGTGGACTCTTGCTTCCAGCTGTCATTACTGAAGCAACATACCACGTTATGATGGACGAACAGACTGTACACGAGCTCTCCTTTGTCTGTCTCATCATCGTAGTCGCTGCCAAGACTCGATCTCTGATCAAACTCCGCGTTTCACAACCAAAAGACAAGAAAATGCTGCAGAAAGCCGTCAACTTCGGTGCAGCTAAGTCTTGCGCTATTTCTGTATCTCTTGTCGTACTTAGTTCCATTGACGTGCGTTTACAGGTTGCTTCGTCTTCGGATACCTCCTCTAGCAACTCGACTTTATCTTCTGCACCAAACTCACTTCAATCAAGCGCGTATTGGGTATGCCTTGGGCCTTTCTACTTGAATTTCACGGATGGTGGCATATTCTCACAGCTGTTGGAGCACAATCACATACCTTCACGATCGTGGTTGATATCCTTACGCGTGATCGAGTCGAGCTTTTGGAGGAAGACTTTACCTTATTTGGTGAGAGAACCACGGTAGTAAGGACAAAGGGCGACTGATATTGAGAATTGAGAGACGGCTCTAGACGGTACATTAAGGGAAATGTGGTGACTCCAAAAAAGCACGTCTGCTCGATCATTGCTCAACTAGAAGACTTTCTACAGAGTTTTGCATACTTGAGTACCAGGACTTAGGTCAATCATATTGTGGCTGGACTGTTCCTTGCTTGCAATTTGAGTTCCTACCACTTGAAACCCCATACAAACTAGCATCCAACCTTGAATAAGCGACAAAGGAGACTGTTTTTAATGGTCCCAGAAGAGGTGGAAGAGCCACGTCCTGTAGACGAGAAAGAGGAAGCACCTCCTGAACCGCACTTGCCACTGCAGTTTGGAGTCACAATTGGCGTTGAACTACCACAAGAGTTGTCGCGAGGAGCTGCTTGAATTAGCAAACTTCGAATACACGATGTAATCGTGAAAGAGCTCGGAATTTCGTCGACTCACAAGTGAAACATTGGCAACACGTGCCACAGCAAACGGTGCATTGAGATCCGGAACATCCTACACTTGCAGAACCGCAGTTGGTCTTGATACCGTTGCTGCAGGCTGAGCGTTTGACAAGCCTGTTGGCAGGGTTCGGAGACGATGTCTCAGAGAGTGGGCCGGCGAGTGCGAATGTTGCAAAGACCAGTATAGCAAAGCAGAAAGATAGGATCCAGTTGAAACGACGCATGTTGATTATGGGTCTCGATGGCGAGGATGGCTGGGATCTCAGGGATGTCTTGTTAAACCAGTAAGTTGACCATGCAAGCAAGGAGAAAAAGAAGATGGTGGAAATGGCAGTTCCAGGAGGTCAGTATTATACGATCGACTTTTTACTTTCGTTACTCCGAGGACACGGAACGAGGTTTGGGTCGTGATGCTTGGTATCTCGTCATGAGGCTTGAAGAGTCTTGCACGTGACCTTTAGCGGTATGTCACCGGTCAGAGGCAACTTCAAACAACACAAACTCGATCTTACCTGCCTTTTCACCCGTCCAGATTATGTCAAGATGGGCCGTAAGACGGATCGGATTAATTCAACATAGTTGGCATTCGTATTTCGCGTACCTAGTTGTTACGGCTACCTCATATTTTCCGCCTCAGGATCCAGCCTCCGTGTAACACTCGAGCGGCTGTCAAAAAACAGGCGCCTAGAAGCGCCACAGTACCAGAGAATGCCCAAGTCGCAGGGAAACCATGATGACTCAAAATCGCACCAGAAACTGGTGTTCCAGCGAGCAGACCAAGACCGATAGTCGCACATGCCATACCAATTCTCGTTCCGATTACAGCTCTGCTCGGTGAGATGGAAACACCCAAAGCAGGAATGATGGACACGATTGAGCCAGAGAAGAATCCGTATAAACAAGAGACCGCGATAAGCGATTCCTGAGTCTTTGCGACGATGAAACAGAATGCAAGAATGCCGGTGATTGTTACGCAGGGAATGACTACGTTGAACAGCCCGATTCTGGCAGCAATGAGGTTGGGTCCCACTCTGCCGAAAATAGATCCAGCAGTGATGATGGGAAGTAGATAGAACGCAAACTGCTTTGAGGTGATCTCGTATTCGAGTGCGTAGACTTCGATGTACACAAATGGCGTCCATGTTCCTAGGAAAGCGATCATAGAACCAATCACGTAGACGGTGAAGGCTGGTTCTTTCCATGCTGCCATGTCAAATATCTGACGGCGTTGGGTGGGAAGAGTGCGTACGCGGATCACCATGTTGGAGATAAGGAGTGTACCTGCTGCTATGTAGGCGATCACTCGAGTGGTGGCGGCGAAACCTAGTTTTGGCTCAAGTGTGTGGAAGACGATAGGATAGATGGTGCCGCCTTCGATCTGGTAAGCAGCTGCTCTTTGCCCACGAGAAATCATGGAACTCACCCAATCCACTGCCAGCTGCAGCAAGACCCATAGCAATGAAAAACCTCTTATCTGAGAAGTACGTGGACAAGACAGCAAGCGAAGGGGAGAACAGGCATCCTTGTCCTATACCGATAGCAAAAGCTTGCGAAAGCATGATCTGCCAAAGCTTGGTAGATACACTGGTCGTTGCCATACCGAGAACAATGAGCGAGGATCCAACGATAAGTAAGAGGCGAAAGTGTCCTGCGTCGAAAAGCGGACCGGTCAAGGCGCCGGTGAAGAGCATGAGGTAGGCCTGGATGGAGCCAATCCAGGCGATGGTTGATGCTGGGTATTCGTGCAGAGGACCGAGTTCATAGTATGTGCCGAATGAACCATAGGCGTTGACAAGACCCCTGAGAATCATGAGCAAGGAGGATCAGATGGATGTGATGGTGGTGTACTGACCATGTGTTAAACCAGAGAAAGAAGGCCCCCAAAACTTGCAGCCAAGCAACGAGTCCGCCATTTGGAATATCATGTGGGTTTGAAGGACCATCTTCCAGGTCCGAACTGTCGCAAGAGCGGTGGGATTCATCACTGTTTAGCTCAATGGTAGAGAAGTGAGAAAACTCTTTCTCAGTACCTGAGAACGATGATGACTTCGAGTGTTGAGAAGACATGTTGATGCGAGGTTGAGTTGATCGGTTCAAGACAACGAAGGGAATTGTCGATTTATAACACCTTTTCTTTCCAAGCTCGGCCAGTTGCTTGTAGGGGGACGCGCATTCTTTGGTCGAAGATTGCTACATTTTCATGTGATACAGGTGAGCTTTCGGCATCGCCGTGCCATTTCTAGACAATGATCAAGCAATTTTCGTTCCTGCCAGCTGTGTTGCGCTGATGGGATTATGAACGTTGGATGTTGTTCTGCCACTATCAGCGGAGATAAATTGGCTCAACAAGTAGAGCTGAAAACGAGACAAGGGTGTGCGACGAGTCAGTGTAGGTTTGCTGGGAGGGCAAGTTTTGGCTGACGGGAGCGCAACGGTTTTTGAGGCTTGCGCAACGCCAGCTGAGCATGCAGAACCGGGTTTGACCGATCTCCTTTCGCGTTGTCTGAGCCGCTCTTTTTCCAAATCTGGCGGTTGCATGTGGCTGACGCCCGTCACGGAAGTTTGTTCTCTCGCAGCAACGACAATTCCAGAAGAATGAAGGGCTGCGACATGGCAGCTGCTCGCGACACCGAAAAGCTTGTCATGAATTGGCATCGAAGGCTTGGTTTGAATCAGCTGGCACATGTCTGGCGTGCAAAGCCGTTCAATCTCGATCGGAAACACCTCTTGCTCGATCTGGAAGTGCGACTATCTCGGGTTGTCAGCCATGTTGTCGAGATATCTTAGTGTCAACAGCTTAGGGAGAACATTTCGGGCTTCTCCTAGCTCTTTCTAACTACCTCGGAGTGCAGCATTCCCATGAACAGAGCGCTTTCGGCGAGACCGAGCATGCGACCACCTCATGGCGGATGAGGCCTTCGAGACTTGGAAAGAGGACGTAGCGTGTAGTATATAATATGGAAGGCTGTACGCTGTCAGTTCTTGCAACAAACCACTCCATCAACCATCTACAACATTCTTCAATCTACTAAATCTTCCCGTTGTCTACCCTGGACATTTATTGCCAACCAATCTACTCATTACACCTATACCGTCCTGGGAATTCTCAATCAACTCAACATGTCCAGCTACAACAAGTCACAATTGGTCACCCCAAACTCAAGCTATCCTCCTTCGCCAAGGTCCATCCTGGAAGAGTACTTCATGGACATCGAAGACCTGCAAGACATTGATGCTGTCTCAACCTCTTCGTCTGTGTCTACAAAGCCTAGGAAAGTGATCAGTACGCTGTTTTCTGGTATGTTTGTGATCAATTGTTTCATGATGCCACGCTCACGTTGCTGTTCAGGAATCTCTTATTCAAAGAACAAGCTGTTGCAGCTTACTACCCCTCGCAATCCTATCGATTTTGGTTTTCAGTTCCCGAGTCTCGAAGGTGTTTTTCCTTCGTGAGGCTTGAACGATGAAGCTGATTCTGTATGTCACTTGCCTGACTTGAAGGTTGAACAGTGACAATGCTTGGGCAGCATGCGCTCAATACTTCTTTTGTAATTATTTCGGGATATCGTGGGGGCGCTTGGAAGGCAAGAAAGGCAAGGGGCACGTCACTTTGCGCGGTCGACTCTAGACGAAGATCGTGTTCAAGACATGTTTCCGTAGATTCAAGTCCATTTCCTTTGTAATGTCACTATTCTTCAGAACAAGAAGTCACCAATCAAATCCCAGAGTCCGTCACTTTCCCTATCGCATCGCGCCAATGTGTCGTCGCATCTACATAAGATTGTACCAAGTCCAACAAGAGGAACAAGATATTGAGCCTGGTCTAAGCTGCCCGGTGCACTCTAGCATGACCTGCATCGATATCGTGATGGGCACGAACGATATTTCAGCGAAGCCGGTGTCCTACGGCAACAAGTCACGATGATGTTCCACACACTCGATTTCCCGGAACAATTGATCAGTGGCTTACTTGGCAAGATCGTCACTCCGAGAGGGTCCGCAGTACATCATTCGGCACCTGCATGTTGAAGCGGACCTATTTAAGTGTCCTGGCACTGCCCTGAACAGGCGCTACTTTGCTTTTCTGCTCAAAGCGCGACTTTCGTGCCTGGATTCAACATGTTAATCTCTCGTCTACATAGATTACCTGCTCTGTCAAGGTGTACGTGTGATCAAACCGCCTTCGCAGAGATGAGACTTATTAGATGATAGTCCGCGTCGTCATCACTTCTCGTCCAAGTCCCATGGACACTATCGCAACCTCGACACTCGCACGCAGGGCGTCCTTCAGCGCTTACACGAAGCGGGCAAGCCTAAGTACCTCGACTGTTGAGAGACCCCGTCAAACCACGCCGTTACTCAGTCAGGAAAGCAAAGGCAGTATTGTTGAGCACGCACTGTAAGCCACTGTCAGTCCGCAGTGAATTCGTGTCATTGACTGTCACAAAGCACTACCCTCGACCAGATCGCGAATTGGGCTCGCCAGGGGTCTCTTTGGCCGCTGAGTTTTGGACTCGCTTGCTGCGCCCTCGAGATGATGCATTGCTCGATGCCTCGCTACGATCAAGACCGACTAGGCATCATCTTTCGCGCGTCGCCACGTCAGTCAGACGTGATGATCGTCGCTGGAACGGTAACAAACAAAATGGCACCTGCATTGCGTCAAGTGTACGATCAAATGCCGGACCCAAAGTGGGTAATTTCCATGGGTAGCTGCGCAAATGGAGGTGGCTACTACCATTACAGCTATAGTGTGGTCCGAGGAGTGGATCGCATTGTGCCTGTGGACATCTATGTGCCGGGATGCCCTCCAACGGCAGAAGCACTATTGTATGGAGTGTTCCAACTGCAGAAAAAGATGAGACACACCAAGACGAGCCGTATGTGGTACAGGAAGTAGTAAGAATAGACAAGCAAAGAAAGCGCGTGCTTCAGTCTGAGCAACCACTGCGATCGGTGCCAATCATACTTAGTCGTTCAAAAGCTCGTGCGAAGAGATGTCGCTTTCAAAACCATGTCATGCGGACTCGAAAGCAGGATGAACTGAAGTGTCCTGCCGCTTGTCGTCTGTAGTGGGCCGGAAGAAGTCGGCACCGACCACGAATTTCCGAAAAGCCGCGGTGTGCAGTGCGGGACCAGCCTGGTGAAAATCCGAAAATGCGAAGCTGCGCGATCACCTCAAGTGAGAGACCTCATCCGATTCCACTTTTCTAACTAGCAAGTCGCGTCCTCTATCGTGACATGACTGCATCTAAACAAGATAGCTCCCGAATGTCCGAAATTCCGCGCATCAGGAAAGCACGAGGCAAATATGGCGTTCGCTCGTGGCTTCAATGCCGGCGCCGCAAGGCGAAGTGTACCGGCGGTTTTCCATGCACGCGATGCATTTCCCAGAGACAAGACTGCGACTATCCAACACGTACACCAGTTCCCAGCCTTGATGGAATGAGCAAGAACGCTTCGGGCGTCACTCGGAGTGAAGCATCTGAAGCATCCATTGAACTTCTCCAACGCCTTTCGCAATTGAGCGGCAGCATGAACGCATTGGTGTACGACGCTACGCAGATTCTTCTTGAAAGGCCAAAGGACTCGAATGATGTTGCCGGTCAGGTAGGTCATCACGGGTTACCTTCTGTTGAAGCATCTGATGTTGACGACCGATCCCCGCACAACACCAATCCTCACTTGAACCTGCACGAGAAATCCGCAGCTATTCAAGCAGATCACAGCGGCCGGGAATGGCTAGAGGAACGGCTTTCAAGATGCGGTATAGAGCTCAACCAAAACGAATGGCGCCGCTGGTTGCACACGTATTTTACCGAGATGCATATATTCTGCCCGTTCCTCCATCCTCCTGCCGTGTGGCAGACTTTCGAGGATTTCTGGTCCAAAGACCCTTCATTATTTACGTACAGCGCTGGCCAGCACGAAGCTCGGACGTCTCTGGCAATCGTCTTCCTATGCATGGCCATTGGACGATGCACTATATCACCTCGTTCAAGGCACACAGAAGACCGTCATTCGTCCGGTTGGAGTCTATACATTATCAGCACTACCTTGCTTTCTGATCTACTAAACCTGGCAAAAATGCCTAAGAAACCATATCTCGCTGAGGTTCAAGCTTTGCTGTTGTTGGTGAGTTTCTACGAGTCTCTCCTGACCCTCCCTTGCCTCCATTGATCTGACCTCGAGATCATCTGCAGACTCTGTACTTCTTTAGACTCAATATCAACGACAGAGCTCAATCACTGATGGCTCAGAATAGTATGAGCGCAAGCATTCTGGGCATCAACAAGCCACAAACGCATGATACATTGTCTATGTTCCATAGCGAGATGAGCATTCGCACACGCTGCTGTTTGTACATGCTAGATCGGTTTGTTTCTCTCGAGACTGGACTTCCATACATCGTTCCGGGCAAGAACGGTGGCTTGAGATATCCATACGCCCTCTCGGATGAGTTCCTCGAGACACATAAATATGATTCCAGACAAAGCCGCCAGATGATGTTTGAGATCCATGATGAGCTTGCGAGATCGTCAGCGACCTCTATACCGTGGATGATCGGGTGCACCACAATTGCCCGACTGATTGGTGAGATCTGGGACTATCATGACGGCGCGTGGTTCGATCAGCACAGTGAAGGTGTCAAACCCTCTGGCCCAGATTGGGAAATGCGGCTGCATAATGCCGTCCGGACAATCCCTGCATCCTTGCTCTACCAAGTCGACATGGCATTCGAGGATCAATTTGCAGGTTTGGAATCGTGACAGAAAAAACAAGCGTTGGATTTCTACATGGTAAGAGATGTGAGCGATATTCCAGAGTTGACAGGCTTGCTGAACCCAACCAGAGACTCAACAACCTCCGGTACTTAGTGCACCGATCCGAATCCGCAAGAACTAGGACCGCGCCCGACGGACCCGACGATCTGGACAAGATATGTAGTCAGCTGGCAGCTGGGATAATCAATGCTTACAACAGTATTGCGCCTAACTACCCGAGCGTCGTTGCACCTTTTGTATGGCATTTGAGCAGCGCGACTATCATGCTTCTTAGCGTTGTACCGCAGCGTCTGCATCTTCGCGAAGTCTATCGACCAACGATTCTCTCGGCAATGGAGAACTTACGCATTAGCGCAGCCAGTACCTGGATAAGTGGCAGCTTCATTCGAACACTCGCACGACTGAATGCGATCGCACAACAACTCGGACTGTTTAGCGGCTCAATTAGAGAGGGCCCTGGTAGCTCGATCACCAGTTCTCTAGCAGGGTCGCCTGCTTTGGCACGTTCTTCGACAGGCCTTATGAACGAAGCTCTGTTTTACAAAGCATTCAATGTCGAACAGGAAAAAGGGCAATCTTGAACCTGAGGGGCAGCTCATGGCAGAAACAGACGCCTCTTGCATATGCATATCGTCAAGCTCTAGTGAAAGATCCACACCTAATTCACATCAACTCTCGAAAGTCCTAGAGACACGTCATACTTCATGTCCTGCTTCCTGTCCTGGAGGCCCAGAAGATGCACAGCAGGAAATCGAAAGCATCTCTCACACCGAGACGTCTGATTTGGGATTGACTCGGCTACCGGATTTTCCCGACGGTCTTGCATTCGACCCTTCAGACTGGATCCTTGAGGACTAAATGAGATTCCTTGCGAGCTTCTGCGTCCTGTCACTAGAAGCATATTCGCTCTCACTCGACATACTAAGCCTCCATATCGTGAAGAAGATCTACCGAAGTTTGCATGTTGTGTTTTGAAGGCGAAGATTCACGGGCTTCATAGTCGCTCGAGGAAGCAACTTCGGCATGTTTCGCTGCAATTTCTCTCCTGTATATGCGTCAGCGCCGGATATTGTAAAGAAAAGCCAAACGATCATACTCTTGTCTTTGATGGAAATAATGCACAATCCAAGTCATGGCAATGAGACAGATTGCCGAAGCAGCTGTGAAAGAGAAGCCTTTGACGTATCGAGGTGCTTCGACTGTCTTCCAGAAGATGAGTGGCGTCCAGACGGTCGTTGATTGAGCGATGGCATTCATTGCGACCAAGGTGAAGGATCTTTCGTTCACGTCGTGCTTCAAGATGTCGTTCGCCCAGCCACTGTTTCGTGTCAGTATGCGTAAAAGCCATAGGAGGTCAGAGTAACTGACTAGAGAACGGAAGACATGGCCACTGAGGAATAGGAAGTGTTGAAAGCGAAGAACTTGGCCGATTCGGGCACGTTCCAGATTAACAGTATTATGACTCCAAGAAGATTCCAACTATGGGCAATGGTGATTGCCCAAGGTCGTCCGAAAACCAGATCTGCCCCGAAACAGATGAACAAGACGTAGAAGATACCGAGACCAGGAGCAGTGGCGCTCAGGTCATTCAAACGTGACCTTGAATACCTTTTCAAACTCTTAAGCCACAGCAAATATGGTGCCGTCGAGGCATTGAGACAGGCATTCCAGAAGAAGATATCCCAGAGCACAAGAACCCAGAGTTTCCAGCCTAGGAAGACCTTCTTCGCCATCTCCCAACTGACTGGCTTGATGTCGTGAGTGTGACCAGCTCGCTCGAGTCGCTCTTTCGCCAGTGCGATTTCCTCCTCTGAGAGAAAGATCGATTTGGCGTTGTCTGGGGTACCGGGCCACAGCCAAAATCCTACAAGACCCAAAGGCAATGTAATGATGCTGTTGATGATGAACATCCAGCGCCAACCTGCGAGTCCGTGAACGCCGTCGAGATTGGCTGAGCAGGCGCTCTGGATCAGACTTGCTGTAAGCGTGCCCAGAGTCAGACCAACGTAGAACACACCGCCTCTTCGATTGATCTCATCGCCTCGATACCAGCTTCCAAGAACGTAGTGAACTGCCGGGAAGAATGCGCTCTGCAAGGAACGTGAGCAATTGCAACAAGCGATGAGTCAACAAATTGTAAGTTACCTCGAGCAAGCCGACCAAGAAACGGTAGGCCATGATCTCCGAATAGCCTTGCGCACGATACTGGAGTAGAGTAAAGACACCCCATAGAATGTCGAGAGCAGGGACCAAAATGTTCATTCTGATCTTTGGAAATAGCAACGCAAACGGGAGCTGTCCCAAAACAGCGCCGAGATTGTACATGGTCTGGAAGTGTACGAGTTCGTTGCCTTCGAAACCCAAGTCATCAGACATGCCTGATACGTATGCATTGTCTGCAGGGTGTTGTTTAGCATGATGTCCAAAATAGTAACGATAGTTTGACCAACTCAGATTACTTTGGTCCAGATACTTGGCCCAGTATGTGATGAAGGCATATGTGACAATGAGCAAATCGAGCTTTGCGACGAGTTTGCGTTCGGCATGGGAATCGGCTGGATGATACCAGTGATACCATTTCCGTCCTTTAGAGTGTACATCTGCGTCTGCCATAGCTGAATTCGAGTCTTTTTGGTGTAAGGATTAAAGTCTCTGCAATCGTACTAGGGGATTATAAAGTAGACATGTAGCTGTATTCATGGATTGCGACATGTCGGCCATGACTCGGAAGATACTGCAAGAACACGTTGAGTGGATCAATGGAATATCCCTCTGGAGTGGCAGCATATAATTCGGACGATAGTGCAGTAGTGGTGGAGTGCAATGTATCTAGCTCCGTCTCTCGGCGATGGCTTGATGGTCTCACCAACTGATGGGATTGTGCAATCGACAAGGATACTCTAAAGGATGCGCTTGCAGGTTTGTCGATCGGAGTCTAGTACTGTGGATAGTATGTGCGTTGAGAGCAAGCCTTCATCTCTCATGCTTCGCAGGTAGAGATTATTGCTAGTCACAAAGAGAGATTGGCAAGTGGCTACCGTTGCGGTCAAGGTACCGAATCGCGTACAGGACGCATCAAAGCCCACCGCTTGCGTAGTGTAGTCCTTGGGGTACGGAGGCCGACAAGAATGATTGTTGTGATAAAGCGTTACTTCCACGTGTATGATATGGTCATGTCTATAGTATGTAATGCTTCTCTAAAGATCCCACCATCGCTCATGCAAATCTCTTAGGTCGATGTCCTCCGGAAGTTTCAAGTGGGCTGTCGTGTCGCTGTCAGGGTCGAGTTCTCTTCTCGTCCACCCGTTGCCCCAATATGCAAATCTGTTCTCAGGTCGCACGTAGGTGTACTCCCAGTCTTCCCAACGCGGTTCTCGTCGGACGACAGCAAGATGGCTTGCGCTACCAGGCCAAAGACCATGAATCCTTCCGCCTGGACGTCTGCCATTGGCCCAGCTGCTGCACTTACGTGAGAAGGTGGTGCGAGGGAAGAACGCGTCACAGTAGGTGACGAAATCATCAGCGGCCGCCTTGGATGGCTGTATCGTTGCGATCCCTTGGCTGCTCGCTTTTCGAAGTACTTTAGCGATGTATGCCACTTGACTCTCGACTGAGTGGGGAACCGACCCCGATGCGCCAGCAGCGTTGGGTCCTATGAAGCATTAGCATGATGGGAGATATCTGAAGAAGCGATGGACTCGCCATGGAGTTGGAGGAGGTTGGGAAAGCCTGGAGTGGCAAGACCGATATATGAATACGGCCAACCAAATTTACCATCAGGTTTCCAGTCTCTTGATAAGTCAGAATCGCCAGCAATAATGGAGAACGGAGGACTGAAGTCGACGTTCGCACCAGTAGAGCAGATGACAGCGTCGACAGGTCGGTGAAGGCCGTCTTGTGTCACGATACCGTCATGCGTGAAGTGGGAGATTGGAGTCTGAATGAAGGCGACATTTGGTTTGGTGAGTGCCTCGAGGTAGCCAGGACCAGGAGTGAGTCGACGACAGTGGGGGGGAAAATCTGGGACTATCTGATCGAGAAGCTCTGGCTTGTCGACTAGCCGTTTCCTCATGAGTTCTCTGAAGTCGCGAGCTGCGTTCTTACTTGTTTCTGAGTCTCTTAGCACCGCATCAAAGCGTCTGAAGAAAGGTCCTTCGAGCTCTTTGCGAAATTTGAGATAGGTCGCTGGATCCTTGAAGGACTCAAGTTCTTCAGGCGTGAAGCTGAGCGGAGTAGCTTGACGTTCTCGGGCTGAACCATTGAACGAGCCAGCTATCCAGGTTGGACTCCTAGCATAGTGATCTACATGGCTCGCGACCTTCTGCAGTTCGGGAGTCACCTGAATGCCCGAAGCTCCATTCCCGATGGTCGCGACTCGTTTACCAGTTGGATCGAAGGTCGGGTCCCAGTTGGATGAGTGGCGCAGATGACCTTTGTACTGGTCGATGCCTGGAGAGGTGAACTGGGTCAGCATCTGTATCGCACGCCCTATGTGCATTACAGTGGGCTGAAAATCAAGACCTCGTCAGGGCACACTTCCGCTCGATTGCGGACAGCGCTGCGGGCAGAGTTCAGCACATACCTGGATAGTCGGGGAGCTTCCACTCGTTGAAGTGACCGATTGCCGAGATGACAAAGTCAAAGTACTCAGTCTTTGTGACACCTGTCTTCAGATCCTTGTGCTGAAGGCCCCACTGTGCCTTTTGCGGCTCCCATTCGGCCTTGAGCACCTTGACTTCGAACCGAATGTTGTTGTAGACATCGTATCTTTCTGCAATTCTCTTCCAGTACGCAAGGATCTCAGGGCCTTGTGCGTACTCTTCACTCCACTGGGTGTTGGGAGCGAAACTGGTTTGGTAAACGTTCGCAGGTATGTCGCAACGTACGCCTGGATATCGATTCTCAAACCATGTACCGCCCTAGAAAGTGTCAGAGAGGGAGTGAGGGTTACCAACAGAGTTCAGGGGCATACCACGTCTGAGTTCTTCTCCAATATCGTCAATTGAATGCCAGGGACTTTCGCGGGTAGCAGAGCGCCGGCAGTGACACCAGCAAGGCCAGCTCCAATGACAGCCACCTGTTGATTGTCAGACAAGGGTATTGACAGGAAAATTTGGTCAAGTCCACCTTCAACTTGCGAATATCGTCGATCGGATGTTCGCTCAACTTGAAGTCAGTAGGGTGTGGATAGACCCAATCATCTTCAGAGACATGTCGTCCAGCGGGGTCCGTGATCTTGGTTGAGTCTTGGATGGTCTCAATGACTTCTACAGGAGGTGCTTTTGAGTCGACAAGATCTCCAATGCCGTTTCCTCGAACTGCCGCGACAGCAGTCATGTTTGCGCGGGATTTGAGTAGGAAAGAGTATTGGTGACGAATGAAGGAACGTACTGCACGTTGCATACACCCGGCTTTGAATTGTACGAGATCGTGTCGTTTTCGGCATTCTTGCCGTACTTGAAGGTGTCAATTGCAGGCACAGATGGCGTGCGAGCTCGCGTCATCACGAATGCTTCTGACTGGAAGATAACGTCGCGTCTTGTCGAGATTGCGCCGCACGAAAGACTGGCCAACTAGTCGCGCATCATCTCAACAAATCCACAGCTACGGCTCACATGATGGGGATATGAAGATTGAAATGTTCGTGCGCACGAGGTGAGAGACGCGTTATGGGTGAGGTGATGGCGAAGATGCAGATGCGTAAAGCAGGAGCGGGGAACTTGGAATGTGGAGTCGTTTGATTTGTTTGCTCATCGCACGCAAAGCCCATCACAGATATGCGCATTGTAGCCTACACCCTTCTCGCGGGCATACTTTGCGGAAGAAACATTGCTCATTGCTCATCGCCACATCCGTCAGCTCGCCGACCAGAATGTTGAGTAACATCCGAACATAGGAACTCTCATAAGCCCCACATCAATGGTTTTGAGGTTAAGCGAATGCGCTGTCGCGATTCTCAGTTCCTGCACTCGAACTTTGTCGGCTTAGACATCTCATGCATCTGCAACATCGTTTACTGTGAGTTTTGGCTGTGAAACCCCAAGTCCTGCTGAAATGGTTCACCGATCTTCAAGTTTAGTCTGGACCATCTCAATGACAACATTCACAAGGTTTGATGGACAAATATTGGGAGATCCACTGGGCAGTGGGTTTGACATTATTCATGCGTCTTTCTACTTGCTCCATCCGATCTAACTTCGAGAACTCATGTAACGGCCTCATTCGCTGTTACCGTAACGTCAGTCTTCTTGGAAAGCTGTTCTGCGTGTTCACTGATATCAGTCTGCTGTATCGCATGTTGTTCCTCATCAGCAACATAAGGAGCATCTTCCTTGTAGACATCGTACTTGTACTTGCTGCCAGCATGGTCATCGCGCAAGCTTACATGTCCAGCACCATAAACCTTCTCTCGAGCAGTCAAGCCATCCTTTGTGCCTTTCTCGGGATAGATGCCACGTCGACGTAGCTCAGGAATTAACAACTCGACGACATCCTCGAAAGTACCGGGAGTGGTGACATAGCCAATGTTGAACCCATCAAGATCGGCTTCACGAACCCAACGCTCCAATTCATCTGCGACGGTGGCTGGCGAACCAACACCGACAGGTCCAAGGCCGCCGATGCCGACCTTCTCGGCTACGACACGAGGTGTCCATTTCGGAACTTCCTTGCTTGTTGTCGTGAAGGCATGCAGTTGAGATGTCACTTTGTGAACCTCCTTCGAGTCTGCTGCAGTGATTTCCTGATCAAGAGGGATCTGAGAGATATCGATGCCTGTCCAGCCTGAAAAGAGAACCAGTCCACCAGTGACGGAAGCATACTTCTTCAGTTCTACGAGCTTCTCTTGAGCTTCTTCGTCTGTCTTGCCGAGAATAGGCGTGAATGTTGCAAAGAACTTGATTGATGCTGGATCACGACCTTCTTCTTTTGCAAGCTTTCGGATTGCGTCAATTCTGGGTCGAAGAACCGCGGGACTGTGACCGGAGACGAAGATGGCCTCGGCATGCTTGCTTGCGAAGGATGAACCGGCACTGAAATGGAAATGGTAAGCCTGATATATTCATCTGATGCGTAGTTGACTTACGGAGATGTGCCTGCTTGGAACAAGAATGGTGTGCGCTGAGGCGATGGATCGGTGATGTGTCTAGACTCGAGGCTGAAGTACTTTCCCTGATGCTTGATTGTCCTGATCTTGCCGGGGTCGAAGTATGCATCGTTTTCGGCATCAGCAATGATGGCATCGTCGCTCCACGAACCTTCCCAAAGTCTACGTTCGTCAGTGCTTGCCTGTTGTTGGGATTGGAGAGCTGTACTTACTTGTACAGCAGACGCAGGTACTCATCTGCTTGCTCGTAGCGCTGGTCGTGGTCGATAGGTGTGTCGATACCGATGGCCTTGAATGCAGCTTTCTTCCAGGAGGTCACGATGTTCCAGCCGATGCGACCTTGAGTGAGATGGTCCAAAGTCGAGAAGCGCTTTGCAAGTAGGAAAGGTGGTTCGAATGAAGTGCTTGCTGTGATTCCAAATGAGAGGTTCTTGGTCACAGCTGCCATGGCAGAGATGGGCTGTTAGGAATGTCAACTCTGGACGGCGCATTGAGTAATGAGTCCGGAGAGTGACTTACGATGGTAGGGTCTGTCATGGGCCATTGAGCAGCGCGACGGATGCATTCGTCCAGACTGTTCTCGTATGTGTCATAGCCGCCGTATGTGTCGGCTAGGAATAAGGCATTGATATCTCCCTTCTCGAGTAACTTTGCAAGATCGATCCAGTAATCCAGACGACGTTTGGTAGTCGACTTGTCATTTGGGTTCTGCTTTTGTCAGTCCCTGCGACATGTTCAGATATTCCGATGCACATGCCTTCCACTGTCCAGGTGACAAATGTCCGATGGTGCTCATGTCGAATGCATTAAGCAAGATTTCCTTTTTGGCTGCCATATTCGATGTCTCTTCTTGTGCAATTGAGTGATACGGTACTTAAAGCAATGCTCACGACTGCTTCCTATAGTATAGGTAGACATCTTGATGGCATGATCTGCCCCACTCTAAGGATTTCGAAAGCAAGTGTCGTCGTGCTCGCACGCCATGCACGCTATTCTTTTATAATATGCTACAGCCTTTCTTGATCCGATGATCCGCCTCAACATAATCGGTGTCACTTTGCGCGAATTCGTGGTATCGATGCCCTACTCTATCGTGCAGTATACATAGTGTAGGCCGATATCGCTATGCTAAATCCTTTCACAGATACTGTCGTTGTTGTCGCTGCCCCTAAATCTAGCTGCCCGTGTGTGTCCTGCGACCTTGGATCCTCGTCGCCGTTAGGTTCGCCTTGATTTGCTTACCTTGTCCTGCTGCTATCGCAGTCGCATGTTCTACCGCTGTCTCTCATGTGTTCCGCCTTTACCTCATTCTACTGTCTTGCGCTGCAGGCTTATCCTGCCTCTGTATCTCCTACCTGCACTGCGTTGTTGTATATCTTGCTGACATACATCACAAGTCCTGCCCTTCTTGTTCTGTTCTTGCCGTTCTGATGTTGTCGCATGTTGCATTGTCTGCGCTGTCTTCGCCGTCCGCACTGTCCCGCTGTTGCAAGCCCTCTCGGCGTACCTCGCTTGTCTTCGTGTCGCGTACAGTATATCCTACTCTTTTGATTCTGCTGTCGGTCTTCTGCTCTTGTATCGCTCTCAAGGGTTGGCGCATCGCGTTGTCCATCTAGCATAGCTCGTGGCTGTTTCGCTGTCGCTCCGTCGTCGTGTGTCTTGTTGTTGCTAGTTGTGCAGTAGCTATTGCATAGGCGCTATCCTTCTATCGCGTGTCGCATGAAATGGTCTGGAGGGCTCGTCTGCCGTCACATGAGGAACCGTCTCTTCGAGTCTCGCACGTCTCTTGGTCGCGGGTGACGCGTGTTCACGTCGTGGTTCTGCCATTCTTGTCGCGGTCTCGCATGTCGTGCTGTCGGCGTCTCGCTAAAGCTGTATTGTCGTCACAGGTCGTCTAGCTACGTGATGAATGTCGCAGCATGTCGTGTGATTTCGGAAGAGTGAGCATGAAGCGAAGCTGCGTCGGCAGAGAGCGCGCTGTTTCACGCGGCAACTCGGCGCGTCCGAGGAGCTAAACCCCAAAACGTGTAATAATTCTTATATTGCGATACGGCGATAAGTTAGCTCTTTTGTGTATCCGGAGTTAATGCGAGATTACACATAGCCCCCTCTTATCGTTTCGTGGTTGTTGATACTCAACTTCTTAAACTCATCCGACGGAATGGATAAACTGCCACAAGAGATAATTGATCACATTGTTATATTTCTACCCGACCGAACGAGCCAGGGCCACAAAGGACACTTCGCTTCCATCGCCCTTATTTCTCGACAATGGCAGCAAGCAGTAGAGCGCCGAACCTTCTCTAGACTGGCACTCCACCAGCCTGAGATTTTGGAGGAATTTGCACAAATCTTTGACGAGACAACGAGTGGACCTACGCGAGCATCTGCTCTGAGGCGACTAAGCTATTGTATACAACCTCCGCCTTAATCCTACGACGACTGGCAAAAGTGCTCATCCATCGACAAGGAATGGGGTGCGTGTTTTTTGAGTAAACGCAACGCAGAACTCTAGCACTAGACCAAAGTCATCATGTCTAGACTTAAACGTCTATACGATATTATTGGCGGATGGTCGGTAAGACCATCGATCGATCTTGCAATACATGTGCCTATGCGCACCGAGTATTGTCTTATGGCCCTAGAACTAGTACTAAAGAGTTAAGCTATCAAGCGACTTAGATGCTCGGGTAGGGGTGTTTGTTCGCCCGCCCTATTCATCTTAATTGCTTCTGTACTGCTAGCCCTACAAGGAATCGCCTTCGATATTAGTGACTTATATTACCCTTTATAGCGTTACAAGAAACGTTATAGTAAGTAGTTCATAGTTCTATGCATGACGTTTATTATATCTTCTTTTGTTTCCTTACTAAAGTAGATTAAGTAGACTTTACAAAACAGTTGTTATCTCTAGCGACCTCTTCCTTAACCCTATAAGATGTAGAGCTTAAATTTAAATGTACGACCCCGATTAACGAGCTTATAAACAATCTAAGTACTCTACTGCCTAATATAGATATAGATCACTTAAGCCTATCGCTATAGGAGCTCGTAAGAACATATAAGATTAAGTCTTTAACTCTCGATAATATCGCCTTAACACTATAACTATTCTAGTCGTATCGAACACTAGACTATAGGATCCCCTAGTAGTACACCCTTACGCACATTAACATAACCTTTAGCTTAATAGCTACTAATAGTAGCTAGTTTTTCGATAGGCACCCTAAGATCCTAATAGATCTAGACACTAAAGTCGAGAGGAACGACCTTAGACTACGCCGCTAAAGAGTACATTAAATATTCGCTAGTTAAGAAGCATTAGTAAGAGCCTACGATTTTAAGTAAGACCTTAGCCTAGAAAACGAGGTAGACTTTTAGAAATAAGTAGATTACCCTAATCTAGACTCTAAGTCTAAGGATAATAAGCCTACTTTTCTCTTCTAGATATAGCTATCTAAAAAGGGAGATATGTTACTTCTTAATATAGCGCGTATAGCCGCATAAATGCCTAAGTTAAAGTTATTCTAAGTAGGTTATAATATAGCCTTAACTAGAGGTAAATAGAGATTTAAGTTTTAATATCTCGCGCTATATAAAAGGTGTCCTAAGCTCTATAGATATAGTAGTTAGCCCTTCTAACCTCTACTTAAGGGGCACCTAGAAAGTGCTCTTACTATTAGTAAACATCGACTATACTAGTAGGTACCTAAGTTATAGCGCATAAGTAAGGAGTTAGAGCATTATTAGTAGTAAGTTATAGGCTATAATAGTATTATTAAGTATTACGAATGGTCTATATCTATTAACAATTTTAGTCTATTATAGAGAGAAAACGCGAGTATAGGTAATTAAAGACTATAGGAGAAGTTATTATATTACTATAGATTATAATTAATAGCTAGGGCTATTTTGTTATTCTAGCTTATATAGATAGGTATCGTAGTATATCGTATAATTTCGGAAGAGTAAGCATAGAGCGCGCTATTTTATATAGTAACTTAATACGACTAAGGAGATAGCCTAGATTTAGACCTTAATAGTAGACCCTAACAATCTTCTATACTAATATCTATAAGGAACCCTAGGTTAGGGTAGTTAGCTTTATATTAACGTATAAGCTTTCGCTTCCTACGTTCTTTATCCTTACCTTTTATTATTAAGCTTAAAGTCGTATAGAGCATATCTTAAATTCTGCTCCTAGGAACTAGGATATGCTTATATAATGTAGGTAAGAAAACGAGCGTTCTACTAGAGTATAACAAAATACTGCCTAGGGACGAGAATAGATTATAGAGAATCTATAATAACAAAATCTAGAGTAACTAAGTGTTATACTAGAATATCATAATTTACGTAGTAGTAGAGAGACTAATATAATTTTGTTTTAAGCATAGTTTAAAAAGCATTTTGTACTTATTCTATATACTTCCTAGAAGACCTAGCTATTATCTCGTCTCTAGCCTCTATTTAGTTACCTACGACTACTACTAATATTGCTTTTATCGTCTAAAATCTTAATAGGTTTTCCTAGTCTATAGCCTAGCTTCTTTAGAGTAGTTTACGCTAACAATAGAATACTACGCTTACTATAAGAGTTAGCTCTACTAGAATAACTAATAGCAAGTTTTAATAGTCTAACTACCTATAGTCTTTATGTCGATGTCTAAGAGCTAAAAGAACCCCTAGAATTGCTAGGTGTAGGGTCGATAAGCTTCGTTATAGTCTAAGTGTCTATAGAAGTAGAGATGTAGGTGCAGTTATTATCGATAAGAGCTCTTATTATCTTACGCTCTAAGTTACGAAATCTCTTCTGCATGAGGATCTTGGCTTTATAGATGGCGAGGTAGTCGGCGCATTCGTTTACTCTGTCCATCCATGATTGTGTACATTTCTTGGTCCTCTCCGCGAGATCTCCCTTAAGCTTCTCCTCTTTATCCTTGTCCGTAGCCACCTTCTCTTTCTTAACCTTGATACCTGCCAATAAGGGGAGGACTTGCGGTAGAAGGATCAGATTCTTGTTGACCTTGCTAAGACGAGCCTCGAGGCGATTAAAGTTTCTGGTGAAGTTGAGAGTTCTTCCTAGCAGGCGCTCGAGGGTTGCGTAGGTTGTGGCGGGTATCTTGATGCTTGTGTTATCGTTGTGGCCAGCAGCGACGGAATTGAGTCCACTCATATTGAGATAGCTGAAACTTTGCACAGTGATGACATGCTCGCTCATGCTTGCCAATCTCTGATCCCAAAAGGCAAAGACAGAGAACCAATGCTGTTCGAAGCCGATTGGACTGCCGATGGCGTCCCAGATTGTGATGTTGCGTCCAACGTTGTTGTGTGAGTTGTATTGGTATTGTCTTGGTCCGGGTGTTGCTGTGTATCCTCCAGAGGTCAATGTACGAGGTAATGGCAATGGTGAATTTGGAAGCCATCCATCACGGACTAACTGATCAAGCCACTCCTCTGTACGTGTAATCACGAGCTTGATGGCAGTGAGTTCGCTGTTTGTCTGGGCGTAGAGTGCAGGAAAGAGTGTTTGTTGCGCATTGCGTGCGGCTCGGTAACTGGTGAGTGTCAAGGCGTGTGGTGAAGGTCCATTTCTTGATTGCTTTTGAGTCTCGATGTCGAATACGGGCTGCATGGCGGCTTCGGAGACGCGGTATCTTCGGTTTGGCTTGTTGTATGGAGCAACAGTCCCCCTGACTCGGAGGCCTGGATTGATGTCGCTGACATAGTCTTTGGCTTTGGCGATGATTGCGCGCATCTGAGCCATGTTGGGGTGTCGTCCATTCCTGTCGGCTAGCCAAGTTACGTACTCCAGAGGCTCCCAATTGTGCTGAGCGACCGGGGTGGATCCGCCAGTAGGAGGGGAGGGTATGAATGAAGCGATGGATGTGCGATTGCGTATGCGGGTGGGGTCCATGACCAACTCGGCGAAGTTTCCTTGAACGAGAGCTTGCTTGACTGCGTTCGGAATGCTGGCTATGACGGCGAGAAGGGGTGTCAATCGATCGACACCGGCGAGACTTTTTGTAAGAAGGCCAGCAGCTGTGGGAATGAAGGAGCCAGTGACGTTGTCGGCCAAGTCTATGAGATATGTCATATGTCAGCAGGCTGCAAAGGCTGGGTGCGTAAAGGAAGCAGGGGTCTGATGGGGATGTAGATTGGACTGACCTCTGCGAATCAACTGCTGAGCATAATACTCATCTCCACGGCGAAGGGCGACAAGGAAGTCTCGGTGTGTATCGTCAATACATGACTTTCCTTGCAACATTACAAGTCTTTCGGCTGCGAGAGCATCTATCTGCGCATTCGCAATCTCTGCAAGCCTTCCTCTCTTCTGCGCCGGCGTCATGTCCAGAAAGTCAGCAGGTAAAGCGCAGTCGGGTCTTGGGTTGCTTGGTATGTATCCGGCATAGACTGGATCGTCGAAAAGAGGGTTGAGAATTGGAGCTACTGCGATGACATTGCGGCCAGCCATGTTGCAGTTAGTGGAATGGCAGAGTCACTCCACATTGGGAAATGATGGAGGGCTGAGAAGGAAAATTGAGTGCAGCAAGAACATCGGAAAGGTCGCTTTGCACAAACAAGATAACAAAGAAGCGCATCAAACATGAGCATGGTGTTGGAAACAGTTCTGGATGTTTCTTGGAGCAAATCTTCAACATCTCGTCGCTTACCTGACTTACTTGGAGATGGTACTGCGCATGGCGGTGGTGGATTGAATGAAGGCTATCAGTCACGAGGTGCACAAGTTGAAGAAACACAGGAGGGAATACTTTATGCAGACCAAAGCGAAGAATACTCACTGCACAACATTGCTGCGCTTCCATCCTAGGCAACTCCACCGTCCGTCAAGCTGTAGACATGCACGATGTCATTGAAAGGGGCAAACATATCACTGAAAGCACCTGAAATCATTGTTCTCACTGGCAAAGACAAGGGGACCCAAACCCATCGTGACTCTTGACAAGGCAGAAAGGAGCATGACAGTTAGCGCTGCAAACTTCAACGACGAAGCCTGGCCAGGAGATTCTTTCCACGTTGGTTGCTCTTGACCAACTGGGCTTTGATGAGGTCGTTTTTGTGGTGGCGATCAAGCCAGCTGCGCAGCGCTCCTTGTGCCGGAATCGTGATGCTGTCAGTGCTTCCCCAAGACATGACAGTCGAGTTGCCCTTTGCAGTAAAGGAGAGCTCTTGGGTCGAGCATAGCCAGCTGGCCCCGTGGTTGATGAACACAATTTCTTGAGAAAGCATGTGCACGACCACGATTGTTATGCCCGACTCTTCAGTGCAAAGCGCATCATTGATAGCCTGCTCAGCCGAGATCTGGGAGATGATCTCCTGAATGGACATGTTTGCTGTGATCCGTGCTTCTCCAAAGGCATGAGCTACTGCGGTATGGATAGTTGAAGCAGTTGTAGAGGGGTCGTCAGCGGTGAGAGCCAGGTGAGCAAGGCAGGCCTGGCCGAGTATATCAATGGAGAGGCCACTGTGGTTGTTGATGAGACCTTGGAGGACGTCCTGCCACATAACGCGTTCTTGTGGCCGGTATTGGGTGACAAGGGTTGAGAGCTGAACGTAGGCAAGGCACCTGGCCAGTCCGGTGGTCTTCTCGGCGGCTTGGAGAATGACCCTGAGGGCCAGCAAGACCCAGGGGCCAGTCAGGGACCGGGTCCGGACGCTTTCGAGTAGGGTGCAGTCGAGCCAGAGTAGGCGCGTGAGGTCGTCGTCGGCACCTTGTGAGGAGGCAAGACCCAGTGTCATCTTGAGGAGGTCCAACATGGAAGGAGGAGTGAGTTTGAGGGGTTGCATGCCTTGCCATTCTTGCGCCAGGGGGTAGGGGTTGACAGGAGCGACCGTGAAGTCGTCCAAGGAAGCGAAACGGGCGTCGGATTGACGGAGGATAAGAGAGATGGAGTTTGATGAGACCTCAGAACCGATGGCGGCGGCTTCCAGCACATCGACCAATGCCTTCGCCCAGCTGTTGTGAGCAGCGTCGATTTGGTTCACGAGTGCAGCATGTTCGTCTTTGGCTTGTTCAAGGAGCGACTGTGTTCTCGACAAGTCGGCTTGCAAGCCCTCGTCGGGATGAGAAGCTTTTTGACACTCTTCCAGGTCTTCTTCAATTCCTGCAATCTCGCCTTTGTATGTCCAAGCCTCCTCTTTCAGTGTGTTGACCTGGCCTTCGAGCTCGGCGACGCGTTCGGTGTGGGTAGTGATCTCCTGACGTAGCCTGTCGAGTTCTGGCGACTTGACTGCGAGCTCCTTCTTTTCAGCTTCAAGCTTCTCGGTAAGGAGCTTTTCAGTCTTGATATCTTTCTCGAGCGTCGCATTCTTGTTTCGCAGATCGGGAAGGTGAGCGTTGTCAAGCGTGAGTCGAGTGACCTCGTCTTTGGCTTTGTTGTAGGATCCTTGTTCTGTTGAAAGCTTGGCGGCCAACTCCTTACTGGCATCCTTCTCCTTCTTCAACAACTTAGCCACCTCCTCCTTCTCCTTGACAATGCCTGACTTTTCTTGCTGCGCTGCTTCGAGCTGACCCTGTTGATGCAACACAGGAGTTAGCACAGTACTCGTGTTGAGATGGCTTGGGAGGGTAACCCGGAAATTCTCGCTTACGTACCTGCTTTGAACGTGCGTCGGCCTCTGCATTTGTCGCTCTCTCGACAAGCAACCTGAGCGCTTGCGCGACTTGCGCCAAGGAATATTCTCCAGGCGGAACAGACTGGAAGTTTTTCAGGAGAAACCCCTCTTCAGCGGAACCTTCCGCAGCTACGAGCTTGCACTCATGCGCTGCTGCTTCGGCCAAGTTCACCTTGAGACCACTGTCTTGAGCGAAATCTACACAGCTTTTTGCAATTTGTTCAACTGCTGCATGCGCATCAGCCTTGCTGCCTTGGCTCTTGGTTGTCTTGTTCAGTGCATTGTTAGCTTCAATTTGACCATCCTTGTCGCCCAATGCTGCGAGCAGTGTCTCAATTCTGGCTTTGCGAGACTGGATGTCATCGTCAAGATCTGTGTCGTCTTTCTTGAGCTTGTTGACAAGTTGTTCAATATCACCGTCAGAGCTTGCATAGATGAGACGCTGTTCATCTGTCAGGGTGCCTAGTGCTCGTGCATTTTGTCTTGAACGATGTCAGTCAAACAATTTCGAGTCTTTGAGATCAGGGGTACAGCAATTCCACCACTTCTGGAACTCCTTGGAAGGACCCAACCTGACGCAAGTCACAGTGGTATCGACAAACATGGTCGCGCCCATTGAAAATAGGCCCAAAGCTTGTTTCATTGGTCGGACATGTCTTTCTTAATATCACTGTGCATTGACTCATTGCCATTGAGACAGGCCATCGAAGGTCTTGGAGAAGGTCAAAGGAGATCAGTGGTAGAACTTGACTTACACCTGTAATCTTGCGATTTGTCTGAATTTGGTGTATTGAGAGACCGCGGTAGCGGCATTGACTCCTGCACCGGTTGCCATGACGAATCGGAAAGGTTGATGGATTGAATTCCAAGATTCAAGATGTAAGTTTTGTTCCGCATTTACAAAGCGGCGTTATGTTTGCGACATGTCAAAAAGACAGAATCTACTGGTCTCTTTTTTTTTTGTCTAGCCGTCCGAATGTTCTGGCGATGCGGCGCGGCTTCATGCAGCGCCCCCCTCTTGGGAATTTCATTGAGAGACTGGTTTGTTTGTCTTGACGTTTTGCATTTCTGGCTCTTCGCACTCCTGATTTCTCAATTGCTTTGCATCACAATTGGTCTTCAACTTCGCGCAATTCTTCCTGCCTGCTTTTGGCTGCACCTCATCTCTGATTTCTCATTCCCACCTCACTGGCCTTGGCACCATGTCCGAATCCGATATTGACGAAGCTGATGTGGGTTGGCAAAACCCGCCTGCCAACATCGCAGACGGACTTTCTGCTCTTGGCGACATTATCCGGCAAGCACAGAAGTTGACTGAGAACATCGAGGCAAGCTATGCTAGGGAAGACGTCGCTGAGGCGGGTTCCTTGCTCTCCGAGTTCTACGAAGTCATGACGAAGAACGTCACTGCCTATCGCAAGTCGCAAGAGTACGCCGACGAAGAAGCTTCCAAGCTGAAGGCCGTTCACGGGTCGCTTTCAGTAAGTTATTCACCTCTCACATTTCAAGGTCAGCGCTTCTCAGTGGAAGGCTGCTCTAATCTCAAAAACATCATGCATTTCTACAGCATGCGCACAACAGACCTTAGCACATGGATAGCTCTTCTCGTTCGATGCCCCTGTCGGCTTGCTCCTGTCCTATCGGCTTGCCCCTACCATCTATCATTCTATTTGCTTCGCAGACCACTACTAATGACTTTGGTTTAGTCCTTGAGCGAACGACTTATCGCCCTCAAAGTCGAGCGTCCTCTTACCGCCGCGGATCTCAAGGCCCCTGTTGACCAAGCCGTCGATGCTCTGAAGACCCTCATCGCGACCTTGACCAACCACGTCACTTCGGAAGTCTCGAAATACCCTACGGTCAGCGCAATTCAGCAAGGACTAGCCACATCAACGCAAGTCGAAGGACTACCGATCCTCAGCGACATTCGTAAAGACCTAGTCACCACAACCAACCTTCGAGCAGTCTCGAACAGCATCGAGAAGCTGCCTTCGTTGGACGACATTCGAAAGGACCTGGCTACGTCGGATGATTTCAAGGGTCTCGCCACTTCTCAAGACGTCAAGAACCTCCCTTCGTTGGACGACATTCGAAAGGACCTAGCCACGTCGGATAACTTCAAAGCTCTCGCCACCTCTCAAGACGTCAAGAACCTCCCTTCTTCNGTCAACTGCCGTCGCTCCATGAGCTGCACAGTGGGCTCGCATCCTCGGTGCAACTGGATAGCATCGCGGAGACTCTTTCATCCGTTACCAAGGCCCAGGAGAGCCTTTCTACCTCTTCCGAAGTCGCCGCCTTAGTGCAGGCGATGCCTTCTGTCTCGTCCATTCGAAGCGGTCTCGCCACCTCTGATGAAGTCACCGCAGTAAAGCAGGCGATGCCTTCTGTCTCGTTGATCCAAAACGGTCTTGCCACATCGGCACAGTTTGTAGCAATGAAGAACGATCAGGGCGCCCTCATTGCGGCTATCCCTAGCCCCTCTGATATTCAAGCAGGTCTTGCAACGTCTGAACAAATCGCCAAGCTACCTCAGGCTATCCGGGATGTGTTCTCTGCAGCTCCATCACTTTTTCCTACAGTCGCTGCCGCAGCTCCCCAGCCGCAACCCTCCGTCACCCCTGCTGCTTTTGACGAGTTCCAGCGAGAAGTTAAGGCAAGCATCAGCAGTATGTCTTCGCCTTTGACCGTCGACCAGATCAAGGCTGCGCTTCGGCCTGAAGCCCCTGATGGATCTCAGGAACAGGCTTCGACTTCCCCTATCACGATGGTCCAACTGACCAACGCTCTTCGAGACCGTCCCGCTGTAACCCCCAGTGACTTTCTCACTGCGACTGCATTCAACGCTTTCAAGGAGCAGGTCGAAACCAGTTTCCGTGATCTCCCCAAGGCAATCACATCGGCGGAGCTCACAAACGCTTTGAACTCACGACCTGCTGCCCCTGTGGTGGTACCACAACAGGCTGGTGTCTCTACTGAGGCCTTTGAAGCACTTCAGAAGGGGGTGAATGACGACATCGCTGCCATCAAGTTGGCTCAAGATGCTCAGGGTACCCTCCTCCGCTCGATTGCTATCGCTCTCAATGTGCCCATACCTGCGGGGCTTGGAAGCTCTGCTCGTCGTGACCCGCCATCACCGCCTCGCAACCCTACAACCCCTCATAACCCCGCACCCCCTCGCGACTCCGTACCTCCTCGCGACCCCGTGAATCCTCGCGACCCCACACCCCCTCGCGACCCCACACCCCCTCGCGATCCTACACCTCGCGATCCCACACCTTCTGAGCATCAGCCATCCCCTGCTGCTGCACGTACCAACACCTCGAACAATGGGAGACCTGGCAGTATCGTCGGCAGCAAGCGACGCGCATCCAATGATGTAGAGTCTGAATCCACGAAACTTGCTCGCACAGGAGAAACAGGGGAAATAGCTACACCTACGGGCGTCACCCCTGGAGCCACAGCCGCTGCTAGTGCAAGAGGACCTCCATCTTCGGCTGCCCCCAACCTCAGCTACCTTCCGATCAGCATCAGCTCGAAGGAACGCATCCTCGACTCTTGTCTAGATCAGATCTTCAAGGATCTAGCCGCCGGAGACTGGGCAGACGACGCTCCATTCCCACCTCCTCCTGAAGCCGGGATTGACCCCAACGGCTTTACTTCGAAGCTTCAAACGTGCGTAGTCCGCAGTGAGAAGCACACCCTACGCAAGGGTGAAGTTGGTTACTCTGAAGGCAACTACAGGTATGATCCTCGCTGCTTCATCTCAGAGGTCCAGAAGGTGCCATCTCAAAGCGAGGCTGGCGTCAAGTGGACATGGACGCAGCACGACACAAACCTGCCGTGCCCTGGCTGTGAGACGCTCCATTCGACTCACAAGAGCCATCAGTGCTTGAAAGTCGTCAGTGAATTCACCCTCTGGCTCCTCAATCCTACCGACGCCGAGCGCATCATACAGCGGGCATGTGACGCCAAGCACAACACTGGAGCCCGTCCCCAGGACGATCGCCCTGTCCCTCGCCCTGGCCCTGGTCCCGGTCCTGGTCCTGGTGGCAAGAGGGGTGGTGGTCGCAACAGTGGCGGATCGCCCTCGAGCAGCACTCGCAGGTCCAATGTGCAGACTCGCAAGAGAGGTGACTCCAACATCTCCAACATGACACGTTCTTCTGCTGGCAAGGCAGCAGCAGGCAGAGGCGATGAGATCGCTGAGCGTGGAGGTAGATTATTCGGGAGTATGAAGAGGGTCGGAGGTTCCGTGAAGCGTACGTTCGTCGGAAATTCGTTGCAGAGACATGGGCAACAGCAGAAGGTGCCGAGGCCGAGATCTATCATGGGTTTCTGGCATGGGTCCGCTGCCCCCACGGAGAGCACAGCCCAGTTGGTCCCGACCACCAGCGAGAGCTCGCCTCAGACCAATGCCGAGCTTGACAACGGAGCATGAGCTCGCCTTAGAGCAACGCCGAGCTTGACAACGTAGTATGAGCTACATTAGCACCGCTGTACCGTACAGCTCAAGCAGCATGTACTTTCTTTGCAGTGCACTACATTTCGGCAAACTGCTACACGCATCCTTGCTATTGTCTGTCTCGTCCTTCGTAGTAGTCTTTTCTTACCTTACGTAGACAATACCAGCCTTTCCATCTTACATCTTCCGCTTTCTGTATCCCCTAATCTTCACCTGTACCTCCAGAGTCCCCATTCCTGACTAGTGCTTCTTAGCATATGGTGTTCGATACGTGCTTTGTGTTTCTCTAACCACCCTTACCGTCCATACGGCGCGAGATGTTGAAACTCGAATCTCCATTTGCCTCCAGTCAATGACTATTTGTAACCTGCTAGGAATGACTTCAACTCAGACATTTGTGGTCAGCATCAGGATTTGGAGGAACGACTGTCAAGGTCGCAAGAATGATTTGGATTTGAGAAGTTCATTGCCACGATCTCTAGCATTGTGTAGCATCATGCGCCACGTGATGTATAAATATACCGAACTGTGGCGGACCTCATTGTCTGGCACACAAGTCAGACCCTGAAGGCGTAGGTGATGGACGAAGTTCATCATAATTGGGAACCTTCGTTGTAGACGCTCAGGGGCATCGCCGAAAGTCTCACAGCTCGTGATGATCTTGTAATTGTTGGCAATTTCGATACTCATGAAGTGTGAATATCTCCTTGCGCTATGCGATCTGTCCAAGCAGATGGGAAGAATGCTCTAGGACTGTTTTTAAACCTCGCAAGGAGCAACCGCATCATTCCGGAGGTGACCAAAATCAGGCCATACCACTCCAGACCTGCAACCTGGCAGTAGACTGACCAGAAGCCGATTCCGACAACAACCAAATCGCCCAGCCCCATCGCCCGACAAAGTGATCGAAGCAGCGAACTCAGTACTTCCGAGACCTGGCTCTACTTTGGTACCACCTAGCCTCCAGGACCAGCAACAAGATTGTGACATCACACAGAGCTTAGAAGATTACAGGGCATCAATATGGCGATTCCGAACGTCATCTGCAGGCCATGTTGTGATTTGGTGTCGATCTGCCATCTGGGCCAATCATCATGAGGTAGTTACCAGCCCCGACAATCACCTCGCTACATCGATCCCGCTCCAAGCACAGATGTTTACGGGCAGTTCTGACTAGCTAAGTGGAAGTGCTGCAATGATACCTGGATGATCAGGCGACTGTGTGGAGTGCCTCACCATCTCGGTCTGCTGGCCAGCCAGCTGCAGTCAGCCTCGACACTTTCAACCCATGCATGCCACACACACCTCGTGAAGAATCCGTATGCTTGCGGGATGATTGTTTCAGGTATAAAAGTGTTCTGTAATCGGCTTGGAGCAATTCAAGCAGTGTGCGCGATTTCCTGTTCCTTCACCTCGACGCCACCAGCGGCGCTGGATAGCAATTTCTCAACGCACATGCACTGCCTGGAACTCGTACTCCAGCAAGACGATCATAGTACCTAAAGGATATCACTGTAAATTTCTTAAGGTTCCAAGAGCATTGTGCGCATCGCGATATGCCCATGCTAGGTGGTTAGTTGCCGTTACAAGTCTACTCACTACACGAGCTTCCTCTCGAGCTCTACGTAGAGCAGAACATCTGTCCTACCTTACTAAACCTTCCGTCATGTTCTGAGCTAGATCTAAGCATGATTAAGGCTGACGTATATATGGTATACGGATGGCGACCAAGTCGCTAACAGTTTCGATCGCACTACACGACATGGATACAAGCTCCATATTGCGACGAGTCCTTTCGACCGTTAACACAAGAATATTGCACCATTTTAGGAGCATCCCAAGTGTTGTATTAGGTGCTATGCCGTGTGAGCTTGCCAGTGATAGTAGCGTTGCAGACTCCTAAATTGCTATCTCGCAGAAACAACTCGAAAGACTTGCGATTCATACGGGAGACTCTACGCAGCCGTTTAAAAGAGCCGTCGTCTTTTAGAGACATAACATCTGCTAGAGGCAATGCCATTGTACATAGACTCTACGTGGACTCCCTTCTAGCTAGATGCGCTATCGCAAAAGTCTACATAGCAAAAGCCTATACAGTAAAAGCCTGCATAAGACCTTTAAGAGATCGACAAAAGTCCTTATAGACACTAGAAGGTTGTATGTTACACTAAAAGCAACTAAAACATTTCGCGCATCCTTGCTCTATACCCGCTAGCTGCCCGCGCATTGCAAGTCGTCTATCTTAACGCAACGTCGCTATCCCCTAACCAAAAGTTGATAGCATTATCTTGTCATTATGCTTTAAGTCCCGTACAAGTCTAGGGGCGATATAGGTATAGCGTAGTTCGTAATGCTATACTAGACGGACGACCTATGCCCGCACCTAGCAGCGATCATCTAAAACTTAGATAGAACTGCACTATACTTTAAGTCTATAGAAGCTTCTTTCCTATTATTTAAGGGTTCCGTAAAAGTCTTAGGGGTTTGTATGCCCCGCGTAAAGTACTATGCTTTATAGGGTGTTTAGCTCCTAGCGCGGCATAGACTATCTTACTATATAGATATCGTACCGCCGTCTCTAATTTACGGAACTTAAAGATTACTTATATGTAAGTTTTCCTCGATTCGAATTATAGCAGTTTTAGTCTATAACGTCACCCTATACCTACGAGTTAACTATAATAACTAAGATTATGTTCCTTCTCTTAGACGACCGTAAACATGACCTTAGTAGCATAGGCTACTAAGACTCATCGAGATAGGCGATCCCTAGGGTGGCGTAGCTTTCTAGCCCTTAGATGTTAACAAATCGGTACCGTCGTCTAATGGCGCGCCCTAGCGAGCTATATATATTATTGTAAGAACGATTCATCGCCCTATAAACACTCCTAGATTGAACATTTGGCTAAGGTAGATTAATTCTACCTTTATCAACGTTAATAATCGAGTATTAGGAGAGATACCTACCTAGACTACCCCCCTAAAGCAACTTCACTAGAGATGCTACCTTCTAAGCCCTACCCTAGCATTTCTAGACTATAAGAGCTATCTATTAAGTTGTTCGTTCGGATCCAAGTATCTATAGTGCTTTCTAAGGGCTAGCACTTAATATAATAGGGTCTAAGATTTTTACCTCTACTAGCTTATAAGCGTATAGCGCTATAGAATCATCCTAAGACTAAACCTATAAGACAAAAAGCTTTTCCTAACTGTTAGCGACTAGCTATAGCAGATTCTTAACTTAGCTTATACTATACTTTCTATACTACGTCCCTATTATCCAAATTTAGTGCGTAGCGTATTAATTACCCTAGAAACATTTTACTATGCTACATAACTATTATAGAACACTCCCGCGGGCTTAGACTCTAGACTACTAGCTTACTCTATAAGTATAAACACTATAGAGTCGGGTGTAGTAATTTAAGCTAATCTAAGTACGAGTAAAACTTAAGGACTAGCATAGGTAGTCTATAATGTCTCCCTTGCTACATAGAGGTATGTAGACATCGCATAAACTATAGTCGCGTTATAGTTAATCCTTAATCTGCTATATACGTTTACTAATTATGTAGCATACCCTACTATTTATAATTCTACATAAGCCTCGCCCTTTGCTATAGCTAACTAGAGATACATATACACTGCACGAAGCTTAGGAAGTTGCCTTCTTACTTCTAAGCAATATAACTAACCGCGAGACCTAATGCAAGAATTTACTATAGTAGCATATGTTACGCTACGTATCTAGGCTATAGTAATTTACTAACGTAGCGTTCCTATTTGCATTATGTACTATAGAGTAAACAAAAGTCTCCTAGACGATAGCGATAGTCTTCTATATATGTCTTAATTATGCTATAGTGTACATCTAGGTTAGGAATGATTATGTTCTATAGCGATATATAAGAAACTAAATATTATTTATAAAAAGTTCTACTCCTTAGCGTATGGACATCTAAGACTAACTATGTCTATATAGAAGTTCCTTTAGCATTCTTCTAAACGCTATATTAAGATCTTAGGCCTATATAATCGTAATACGCTCTTTACTAATGTTATGGATTTAAAGCTCTTAGGATCTATAACTACGTTCTAAGATGCATATATATTTATAAGAGTACCTTGTTCTATAAACATATATAAAGCATTGGCTATTTTAATATAGCTAATTAAATAAGTCATTCGCGCATTTTTAGCTTTTTAAGAAGGTTCTACCCTATCTCCCTAGTCTTAGCTATCGAGTTTATAATGCGTAGTACACTAAGTATGCTATTAAGTTTATAGGGTCATCTACTAATTAACATAGACTTTATGCAAGCATCTAAGATTATACTAAGCACTATGTATGCCTATTCGTAGATGAACGTTACTCTACTAATAACTAAACTTATAATGCTAACTTTAATCTTTAGTTTTATTTTGTAGCCTATTTTGTACGTAACTAGGGGCTTACCGACTTAGGGTTTTAGGGTTTAGGGGTTTAGTATTTAGGCTACTATAGATTAAACTATATCTAAAGGGCGAGCCTACCCGCTTACTTCTAGAGGTCTAACTCGGCTTAGATGTAGTATAGTAAACTACTTTTAAAGCTACTTGTACTACACGAACTCCTCCTTAATCTACTCCTTCTACTTCTTAGCTTAACTATATTATATATCTAAAGGGACCCTAAAGGAATCTCTACTAATACGCTACTAATNTTTCTATCGTCCTCTTCTATACTATAAGACTAGCGTATAGGGCCTACGCTTTTTTCGTTAGAGCTATTACTAGCTTACCCTTACGTAGGACGCTAGCGCCTTTATATATTCGATAGAAGGTCTAATTATCTTTTCCTATTAGGAGGTGTTTTTCTAGTATATCCTTTTCCTCTAGGACTATAGAGTGTTGTTTATTCCTATTTTAATTTACCTAGTCTATATCTACTTACTTTAGTAAGGCTAGTTTATTCGTTATATCTAGGATAGAGCAGTTTTGCTAGTTAGATGCTTAGGACTAGGAAAGGTAAGGCAAAAGC